CTTAAGTGTTACAAGAACACGGAATCCTACTTTGATTGTAATTTACAAAGGGAAGCTTAATGAAGAAATGAGTAGATTCTATTCTCTTTCATGTAGCATACGTACTATGTTGCAATGAAAGCATATTTTTCTCAGTATCATCACAGCTCATCAAGAAATCAGATATTGCTATTGAAACTTAACCTCGATCGTTTCTGAGGCGGTACAATATTATCACAAGTTATATTCTCTAATCCATGCAAGCCACAGCTAGCGGTTCATACATGGTATAACGTTCAGAAAAAAATTAAATATTTTTTCCTTTAGAGAAGTTTGTTCTTTTAAAATTTAAGGTATGTGCGTCTATTAAATTCTTCATAGGCGGTTGTGCTAACTTGATGTTTATTTGTCTTCTGCGGGGAATCGCCCGCCATGTCAAAATCTGCGTTTTTGGCATTTTTCTCCGTTTCCTTTCACCTCTTTGGTAGACTTTGCTCTTTCCGATGGCGTACATGGCGCAAGCTTCGCAAAAAAAAATTCAAGATACGTGAATTCTTTTTTCCATGGCTTTTAGTTGAAATTGACATTTTTTGAAGACTGACGTCTAACATAGAATACGATGCTCTTGTTTTGTGTTATTTTTCGTGTTGACACCCTTCCGCCGGAATGACGTAATATCCTGGTGTTTTTATTCCCTTTCTTTCTCAGGTTTTCTTTTTAAACGGTTTTGATTACGTAAGTCGATTAAACATCGACACTTAGGCGTTTTGGTAAGGTCAAAAAGTGACCTTTTCTTACGATATCAACACTTTGCTGAGCGCATAGGTGATAAAATTAGATTGCCGGAGACTTTAATATTGAGATAATATCAAAGTATCTTCGTATTAAACATCAGGGAAGAGAATCAACAGATCTCAGTTGCGAATGAAAGATAATACAAAATAATTCTCCACGCGCAATGGAGACGTGAGCTGTAAAACCAGTGAACAGAATCTCATTGATTGACAAATTTGTTGTACGAGAGTCTGACAGGGTTAAACCGGTCCTTAAAACCGTCGAACGGTCAAAAATCAAAGAACTTTCATCCGTCTGGATGGAAAATTCTCGCTTCAAAATGCAAAGATGTGCACTTACGTTCACTGATTGCACTAAGGCAGTTAAAATGCTAGAGTATCTCAAAGAAATTGGAAAATCAAATGAAGATCTGAAATTCATAAAAATATTAAATTGGGAACAATAAGAATTATGGCATAGCGCGCGCAGTCCTACTTATTTCCTAAGGAGCTGCCATAGTAAAAATCATCATGTACTACATGGCCGTGCATCCATTACATGACATGTGAAATTTCACCTCGGCTGAAAGTTCCAGTTGAGTTTAGCCCCAAGGTTTCAAAACTTTCAATATTTTTCCCGCTTTATACTGATTGATGTAGACCTTTTGGAGCTCAAATGAAAATATAACATGTTAAGTAAAACTCGTTTCGAAAAACAATGAGCATGTAGGTCTTTCAAGCGACGAACTTAGTTTTGGAGTTGAAGATACTTCATTCCCAAACGCGATGCGAATTATGAATGAAAACAAAACTAAGTTTTCTGACTTCAACTGAGGCTTTGCGACGTTGAGTAATATTCATTAAATGGTAGATATTATTTTGTGTTGATATGTCCTAAAAGTGTCTTTCAATGTTTTGAAATCGTGCAATTTTCCGAATTTTTCAACACAAAGCTACGCAATTTTCTGGTCGTAAATTCTAGTAAACAACAATTTAAGCAGGGTAAATCTACTACACGGGTTTTATAAATGCAAGAAATTTGTAAGTTTTTCGGTTCGTTTTTTGAACGGTTGACATTATTTTTAAGTGTTGATATTTCCTTAAAGCATATTGTATAATAGAAGATTTTAATTTGAAACCATACAATCTCAGATTTTAGAAAGCAACGCAATTTTCTGGCAGTTAATTCTAGTAAACAACGATTCAAGCTTGTTGAATTTAATACATGTTTTCGTACATGCAAGAAATTCGTTCGTTTTTCGGCTTCTGAGGAGAAAATTTAAAATTCTTTAATTGTAGCAAAGATTTAATCACGAAATATTTCATGGTCGTTTTTGCCTTGTCATTTATTAGTAGTTTTCGGGCATAACACGATTACATGGTAGACCCGACACATTTGTTATAATTTTTTTTCCAGCACAACTTGAGTTTGCATGCTATGTCATAAAAGAATTGGTTCATGCTTTAGCTGCGTGTATAACGAGAAGATGCAGAATTGCTCGGGGCTGCGCCTTGAGCAACTCTTACACTTCTCCTGTGCTCACAAACTCCACACGTGCATCGATTACTCGATATACGCATGGATTAATTCTTTTGTACTCAGGACTGAGTTTGGCCCAAGACAAGAACTCTAATCCAAAAGGAACGTTACTATCGGCAATTAAGAGAAGAAAATGCTAATATTTTGGGCATCTAATCGAAAAGAACTAAATCCAAAGGGCTTTACTAGAGTGCTTATTGGGGTGCTTTTAGGGCTACCAGTTAAAATTTTGGCAATTTTACGGCTAATAGATAATATTTTCCATTGAGGTAACCAGAAAAATTTTGCGGTTCAATTTTTTTTCTTTTATCCTAACAGCTAATTGTTTTTGGCCGTTTAACTGAAGACGGTTAATAGTGAGTCCATGGGACATTTGGAAGAAAAGTAAGATCGGAGGCCATCATCTACTTTTATCGGTTTGCTCACAAAAAGCGTTACTCATCCCCACACTCTTCGTGCGATCCGCGCGACTCACCAAAAGCATATCGGATTAGGGCTATTAAAATGCCTTGTTAAGATACAGCTGAAACCTGAAAAAGGACTAAAATTGATCAAGAACAGCTGAAAAGAAAAAAAACTTGCTCACGTCATCCTTTGTTATGACCGCCTCATTTCCACTCTAATCGATTCGAAGTTCATCCTTGTCATAATTTGTTGTCTAATTCTACCAAATCTTTTTAAAAACGTACGAGAGAAACAATAAACTTTGCCGCTGTGATCGGTAAGTTGAGTAAGAGACAGTGCCCGTTTAGAGCGAATTAAAAAAAGGATGATGTTACTCACTTCCCTTTTTCGCCCCTCTAAGATGAGTGTGCATGAATCGATTTGCACGAAACGGTGTTACTATTTGTGTCGGTTTTATCTGAACATCAGTGTTTATTTGGCATCCTAAATTAGCAGTAGCGTTTCCTGTCGTTACCTGTCATCGGCTTTCCTTTAAAAGTAACCTAAGCCCGGTTCGACAGCTTGTCTTTCGCTATATCGTTATCACTTTTCCATATACCTTACAGCCTAAACAATATTGTCTCGGTGACAATGGTTATTTCCGTCGTCTTTGTCTGAGCCATAAAGAGGGTTCATGGAGACAAAATTCTTTAATTCATGAGATGGTCGAAACGCAAGTCCAAAATTAAGCACCATTGCACAACTTCCTACTTATTAGCACTCTGATATAAGCACATCGTTTCAACCAATCATGTCATATCAAGACAAATTTCTAGAAATTAACTTAGTTCCATTTCAGAGAGATATGTTATCTCGCATGATAATTGTCGTCTCGTTGACGAACAAGTAACAAAGCTTCTTTGTTCAGGTTGTGCTCGTCAATTTGTTCTTCATAGAAAAGCTGATTGGTGAAACTACTTGCAGTTGGGTGATTAATTCATATGGAAATATAATATGACCGATATGGCAGATATTTTATCATCAAAAATATTGAAGTGCCTATCTTCGTTCCACTTAAACTATTCAGTAAAGCTTGAAAACGATCTCAATTTGACCACGGATCTTCATATCGTTTTCACATTGCATCTTTTCCCGATAGCGGTGAAGGTATCTTTCGAGAAGAACTACACAGCCTAAAGGAACAAACTGTAATAAAATCCAGTTACGCATAATCTCGCTGTAAAATGTGTTCTGCGAGAATTTCTAACGAGAGAAGTGTAAACTTCTTCAAATAAATCTCTTATTAAATTATGATCTGCCACATGTTCAAAAGATTAATCGCAATAACCCTAACATATCATCAAACTAAATGAATATATATACATCAGGTTACCCTTAGATTCGATACCATTTAAAGATACGGTCGCGATTTGCGAGTTATACTCACTAATCCCTGTTAGTCTGTCTAACTTAACCCGAATATTGCTGATATTTGTATATTTAAACAATCGGTTATTTCAAGATCTCTTTTCATCTGAAGGAAAAAAATTTGGATAAATGCTTGGTAATTTAGGCGGTCCTAAAGACAAGTCAAGATATAATAGCTCTGCCACCAAATAAACTATCATTATTTAGGCCTTTATTTTCTGTAATCATCTCTTTAAAATGCGTCAAGCAAAGAACTTCCCGGCTGCCAAAGGAACTCTTCACATTTTGTTTTGATTTTTCGTCGAAAGATGATTTATTGATGACGCCCACACGGTCGTCGTTTGTAAACCATGTCAAGGTTTTGTTCGTCTTCTTCATACTTCTTCGCTTTCTTTTTTTAGTTATGTATTTATTTTTATGTTATCAGCAAAATTCTATCTTGCCACGTTTGCAATAGGCCTAAGGCATATTTACGTCGGAATACAAGTTTCACCTCATTACTCAACTTTGTGGAATGGTGAGTTTCAACCGGAAAGTGTTCCCAGGACACAGGAAGCAACAGAATACTCACACGAAAACAACAAGAAAACATCCTTTTTATATTAGATACTTAAGAAAGGCCTTGTTTGCGATAAAATACCAGTTTCACCCCGGTGCTTTACTTTGTGGACTGGTGAGTTTCAATTAGAAAGTGTTCCCAGGACAACGGAAGCAAAAAAATACTCACAAGAACGTCAAATATTATGAAAATTATAATAAAAGCGAGGCTTGTGGCTAGATTTTCACCCCATGACGTCATGATATATGAATTATTATTCGATGTCTCCATGGGTGAGTGGGTGCATGACGTGACCTTAAATACCCTGTCCTGCTTCATTTGGTACATAACAAGCAGGCCATCACGTGCGCAAGACGGCATTAGAATTTGGAAACCCTTTCAGCGAATTTACCGAGTCGTAGGCACCGTAACCTTGAATTCAAAGGAAGCGCCGAGGTAAAACATGAGCAAATCCTTCCTTACCAGTGTTCCTTTCATCGACTTCTTCTGGGGCTATGTTTTTTTCGTGCACATACAATGTCGAGGCACTCTTGGAATTCCTACTGAGTCGAAGTTACCGGAATTTAAGGAGCTCTGCTTCAGGAGATGTGACATTGGCCTTCATGCGGATGACAAGGGAATATCGAGTAAAGAGGTACAAAGCATTGCAGCGATGTGCATGTAGAACCTTCGCAGTTTAACAATTCAGCTCGACTGCATGTGTAAATAATTTTTTTGCTTAAATTTTAAAAAGCGGCACCTCTCTGAAGTTGTTGTGTTATTGTCCTAAGAAATTCTAGTAGCAGTCCTAATTTGTTTGCGCAGCCTCTTTTCACAATCTACGTTAGAGTAATTAACGCGTAGAATTTTGTCGAGATTCTGGTCATAAATTTATTCGTATCGAAAATTACATCTCAACTGTCAAGATGAATATTGTATAATATTTGGCATTTCCAACCTCTCGCAAGAGCGACAACAAGGTCGTTATGTTTCGAGGTCGTTATGTTCTGCACGGGCTTGCTCGCATTTTCATTTGAAAACATTGATAGAATTACTTACTGAAAATTTCTTTAGTTGTGAGGCGATCGATATATCGTATTCTAGCTTTTCGTAGCAAATTATCAATTAATCATAGCCCTTAGAGCTGTTTACCGAGTACTTTTCTCCAGTCACCGATATCAATTGATAACAAATGTTCACATGTTCGAAATTGTCTGTAAACAGAAGAGTCCATGACCGTAAACAATGGACTCTTTCACACAGCCGTGGGATCTTGAAGGAACAAAACAAGCCCTGGCGACTCAATAGCGCAGCCAAACATGTTTACTCTATTGTGCTTGAATGCCAAGAACTGACGAACAAGAATTAATCTTAAGCTGCTTAAAGCTATTTAAAGCCATGAACTTTGGTAAATTTCTATCGTCAATGCACTATCTTATCCGATATGGTGAGCTTGATGACTGGATTAGTAGCAGCTCCCCAATCAGCTCGATCAATTCGCGAAGCAACAAGCCCGCAACACGTGTATGTCGCCATGGCTGTCATCGTTGATTAAAGAAAGCTTATCTCGGCTGTTTAAGTAATGGTTGCTAATAACACCGAAGAACAAAGAAAACGTCAGGAAATACATGAATTAATAATTATTCGATAGCGCTGTAGTCATCAAAGTAATTATCTTCTTCCCTTTTTTTTCCTGTTATTATTATCATTGTTTTTGTGGTTTTGTTTTGTTTATTTCTTTTTCTGTCCCTACCTTCCTCATCACTTTTTCTTGGATATTACGCCTTGAGGATATTTCGGTTTTGGTGGAATCACGTTGCTTTTCATGTTCAGGCTCCCTTCTTTATTAGAAGAAGTAACAGTCATAAATAAACGATCCACTAATGTCGCCAGAAGTCTGTACAGAGTAAACCGATATGTCTGATCTTCTTTGGTCCGTTAAATGAGAAAAATTAACACTCATAAGCGCACAAATACAACACAAGAAAACGAAATGCAACCAGAAAAAAAAATGTTAAAAACAAACAAGTAAAAAACACAAGTTTCCCCCCCCCTCCAAAAAAAGGAACTTTCCGTCTGCGAACGTGCGCTTGATTTTCAAACCTTGACGCAAATTGCACATTTTCTAGATCCTTAATTAAAATTTTAATTTTATAATTTCCACTTAGACTGTCTGGATACGTCAGTCGCAATTACAGACATAAGCCGATCTCAGGACTCACTCACCCGCACGATCAGACAATACAATCTACGGGTTCAAATCATTGATCGTGTATGTAGACAGATATGTTTCAAAACGGTCGATTTATTATTTTCTTGCAGATGTCTAGTTTTGAAGCTTGTTTCGAAAGGTGTCTTTCTGAGAAAGGTAAGCTTTTAAAATCAGAACCTTGTTTTTGACCAGACAGGTCAAAGCGGAAAGGATTATCCCTCAGTAAATTTCTCGACAGAAATTTCTATAGTAACAACATTAATTTTTGGGTTTATCTTAAAAAGACAGAGATACTGAAATTTGACAGCCACTTGAAAACTTAGTGAAAAATATAGACATGACTAGAGGGCGTTGTGGCGTGTTCCTTCCATACAATTGGCTAATTTCCTACGTGAAACTAAATTGGCAGGATGTGATGTGATCATTAAATATTATACGCTGAATATTTTTGAGCCACAATTTTCACTTTATAGAATTGCTGTTTAAAACCAACTGCTTGTGAGAAAAATATATTTCCAACGAAATCAGTGCTGCAAAAAGTTCATTTTGCTAGACTTCATATTTCATTTGCTAGACCCTGAAGGCCTCCAACTTTTGGAATCGCGTAATTCTATGGCAAACCTGAATTAGGGGTTCATTTGGCTACCCATTTAGTACGCAGGATATTGTGAAAATTCACTCCTTTTATGAGTTTTTTTCTTCTCCTTTGTTCATAGGGGAACTAAGCGCTATTTCGAATGATCAGAAAGCTTTGACTAATAAAGAGAAGACGGCACCCTTCAAGAGAACCAGACGCGGTTAGTCATTACTCATGATCACATCACTAGATCGCGTGCGGGAGAAACAACATCATTGGTAGTTTGAATAAATATAAGCAACTTAACGGTGCGTTGGTGCTAACTAATTACCATACCCTTCTCATTTCCTGACTAGTATTTGGAAAGAAAACTACGATTGTTAACTGATAAATTTTCATAATAGAAATCTTCTTCTATGCCGTTGAAGTAAGGTGACGGTTATCGCTTAAAAATATTTTAAGAATAAAAGCTCAAGGGAAGTGGAATAAAGATTGCTTGAGGACCTAACTCATGCGTTCCTCGTCGTTCCAGTCATATCTTCCCCCACTTTGGCAGGGGGCTGAATAATGCTTAACTCTTCTTTCGGTGATTAATTCCATATACAGATGCCTCAAGCCACACAGCCAGTCAGAATTCTGTAATAAAATATGGTAAGGTGAAATTCTACTCTTGTAATGAATTAAGATTATACACCAATTCCATTTTAGAGGGGAAATATCTATATTGCCTCTACACTGCATGGAGGCTCTGTTACATATCATGCTTCCATTCTTCCTCGAAACTCAGTGATCACATTCGACTTATGTCACAAAATGATGATAACAGACATAAGCCTTACAATAATGACTAGCAATGAGTGAAGAATTGAAGAGAATTCAGTCGGTAATTAAATCCCGCGAATAACTACTGAATTTCCTAAAAATGGCCCTGTTTCTGCAAATCGACGAAGACTGAGTGACTTGCTCCCTTTTGCTTATCATAATTATGCTAATTCTAGAACTGTGAGCTGCCTTTTTTTATCTGCCGTTTTTTCGTCGATCTTTTGTCAAAGTTTTCCAAATTAGTCTTTACTGCTTCTCTGGCGCAACCTATTCCGCAACCGAGAGTTCTCAACACCTGAGCATCAATTTCTTTGCCGTTAATCTCAGCATAGTCAAGCATCGCGAGACAAAATGAGCTCCTAGCTGTTATTTCATTCCTTGGTTCTTCAAGCACCCAGTCTGACTCAAGATTCTTTTTCCTGCGCACCGTCTCTTTAATCGGGTAATTCTCGTTTGTTATCTTCATCCTATTAGTCCTTAGGGTAATTTAGGAATTAACAAATAATTCAGTTATCTATTTCATTTGATTTAGTAATTTTTTTTTGTACCATTTGTTGCATTTTCTGAAGGCTTTGACTGTTACAATGGCAGTGCGAACAGTACTTCCCCTGCTATGATTGCTTCCGGTGTAAAGATAATGTTCCAAGAACTAAATGGCACGAAAGGATTCCAAGGAAAAATATCATGGAAACCTCTGCAAAGTATGTAAACCTTGAAAATTTTATAGCTCATTAGCTCTTTTTTTTTCCTTTTGTGGATGAAAAAACAACTGAAGTAATTATAAATTTTACCTAATGGATCTAACCTATTGCTTGTCCCCCTTCCTCTAAGCTGAAGGGAGCTGGGGCGCTCTATTTGAAGCCCACTTTCTTGTTTCGTTTACATAATGAATCCCTGGCGCATGGGGAGGGGAGGGGGGGGGGCATTTTTTTTAAAGCATTTTGTTTCGTTGTGGTTTGTGTTATCGGCGGGACCGGAAGATTGCAAATCGGAACACCATGCTCCATAAAGTGGCATGAAACAATTTCGAATGTACTATTTACAAGAGATTTCGGATTTTTCGAAAAGTTTTCGGTAAATCATAAACGCCTCATGTCCCCTGAAAAGAACGAGGAATAGCCGATCGGAATCAGCGGTTATTACATTGAATATATAATTTTACGGAACTTCATCATCACCATTCTTCATCATGGTGAATGACCACTAGTTTTCCTTACGATTTTACACTTTTTTTTGATAGATGATGGTGTTACTTGGACCAAGTACAAAATAATATCTGTATATATGGCTAGTAATCACGTCGAATGTACGGAACTTGATAAGGTGAGGTGTAGCTTATAACAGTCATATAGATTATTTCCACAAACCTGTCTGAAAAAAAAATGCCATTTAGCAATTCTGCCTAAATCGTCAGTGTAATCTTCCCACCCTCCCCACCCCTACCCCTCTCCTTATTTTTGACCGACGACCGCCCCCTTGGTACATATTTCTTTCTCTTCCCAGCCTTCCGTTGTCACTAAAATCAAAGATGGCGGTCATAGTTTTCGTTAGGAAAATGCTGAGCACTCGCTCAGCCAAATTACGCCTGCTCTGCAGGCTAATTGTCTATACTCATTCTGATCATACAATTTTCGTCAAAAATTATCTAAACTAACGTAAATTTCACCACAGAGACTCCACGGTGAGCGAGGTCTATAACGAAGTTCATATGACACGCGACCTGCATACTGCTAGGATCAGCAATGTCGATAGCGTAATGTTTGTAGATGGAAATATAGGAGGGATGGTAAGTTTTGAGCTCGGTAAAGAAATAAAGAAAGATGTTTTTCGTCTTGCTACGAGCGTGGGACAAAGAAAAATTCTGGCTCAGTGGTAGAGTATCGGAGCGCGGAATCCGAAGGTCTGAGGTTCGATTCCTCATTAGGACTTTTTTCTTTGTCCCACGCTCGTGACAAGACGAAAAACATCTATCTTTATTTCTTTACCGAGCTCAAAACTTACCATCTCTCTTATTTTTTCATCTGCAAACATTACTCTATCGACATTGATGATCCTAGCAGTATGCAGGACGCGTGTCATATGAACTTCGTTATAGATCTCGTTCACCGTGGTCTCTGTGGCTCAATGGTAGAGCATCGGAGCGCAGATTCCGAAAGTCTGAGGTTCGATTCCTCATGGGGGCTTCGATTTTTTTCTTTCTCATAAGACGAAAAACATCTTTCTTTTTAATGTGAACTTGTTTTCCCAGCAAAGTTTTGAACATTTTTGACGTTAGTAATTTCCATTATTGACAATAGTTATTGTGGAAAATGCAGAAAAAAATCAAAGAAAAAGGAAAGTTCAGAACACGAAAAGTTTTTAAGGTCAGCCAGACACTACTCAATTGCGTTTTCCATTCTTTCATCCAAATTTGTTGTCGGTCTTGCGATAAAGTTTGACTCGAGCGGAAATGATTCTCAGGGTCAAACAAAAAGTTGTTTGTCATAAGCACTAACTAAGTATCTTAATTTCTCGCTTTTAGATACTAAAGAAAGACCTTGCTTTCGATAGAATTGTAGAAAAAACTTTCATGAGATAACAGTGTCCACTAATATCTTAATTAATTCTCCATCTTTCTTTTTTCCCCGTTTGCTAAACTCGACTACTTCTCTAAAGGCTTGTATTCGAGTTTGAAAAGATTGCAAGATCTACGGAATCTATAGACCAATTGCAGTCACTGTCACCGGGCAAAGTCCTCTCCAGAGCTACCCTCGCCCGAACGCCTCCCATCTTTCTCCTCAACTCATAACGAATTTACTGTACTTGTTCATCACTCAAACGCGTGTACACGTTTTTTCAGAAAGTCACAACATATACAATTACCGACTCTTCACATGGCATAATGAATAATTCGGAGGTTTACGTATTGGTAAGTGTCAGCTGGTAAGCATTACCTTTATCGCAGGGAAGAGTCGGCTCTTGAACCTTCACCTCCTAAAGGTGATTTTAAAACGGAAAATAAATTAATGCGTTGCGTGTTGTCTTCAAAGAACTCAGATTCTCCTCAATACTTCTCAGGGAAATGTGTGTCAAGATAACTTTAAACTGAACTAGCTTAGTGAAAACCACCAATTCGTTGTCTAAAAAGGGTTTTACCGATTTCCTGTTCGAAAATTGTAGTGGAGGGCTAAGGAGACGTAGTTGAACTTATCACTTGAACTTATTTGGGAAAAAATATATTCAATTTTTAAAAAAAACTTAAAGCACGATCCGGCACAAAAAATGTTAATTATTGCGTACGACAAGTTAATAAGTCGAGCGAATATTAAAGATGCAAAAAAAATTATGTTGTGGGAAACGACAGTGGGTACGAAACGACCGGTAATCAAGTCAGGAAGATGACGAAAAAGCTCTCAAAACTGAAAAAGGTTCTCCTGTCTATCGGTCAACACAAAATTCAAATCCTAATTAACTTGAGGAGTGTCAATGTGTGGTATATATTACCTGATCCGCTGAGTACGATGGACCCATGAACATATCTTGCGTTGATCGCCTATAATATCTTCATTCATCTTTAGGTCGCCTCCTACCCACATTCGAACGACCTGGCTAGACATTTTGATAAATTTTTGTGTAAGTAATTTTTTTAAATTGATATCTTCATTCATGCTAAGTAGTCCAAAATTTTTGTACATTTCTAGTTGTTTTTTTTTAATTTATTTCATGAATTAAAAAGGTTTGTCATAGCAGCAGAAGATCGCTTGTCACTCTCATATGATTTTCCTTTTTTGTAGGGTGCAAAGTTCCAAATGCCTGCCAAGGTTGGTACTGAGGATGTATATCTGAAAATAGCTTCATATAATGACTACACTGTATATTTGACAAATTTTTTAAATCGATATCTTTTTGTAAAAAGCGGATACGAAACATTTGCTGAAATGTTCTTGTGAAAAAGCCGTAGTAAACTCGGTAATTGTATATAAATTTTTCAAAAATCCTTAGTCAATGCATATTTTATACAGAATATTGGCTTATTAATAGTGCACCCATACCCAAACGTTGGACTTTGGATAGTGTTTTTAGTTCTAATCAACTGTGGCCTTACCGTAACTGGTTGCCATGTTTTCTTTCGGCCATTTGAAACCCTCTCCAGAAATGCTTTTGTTTCTCTATCACGAGTACTGAAGTTTCTGTTAAATAGGTTATACCTGTCCTTGGGTAAATTTGGGAAAAAATACTGCTGCACATAATGCTCCAGAATTCGAGACCTTTTAATTTATATCTCCGCAATCTGAAAGTATGTCTGAAGATATAATAACTTGAAGTAGCCTAACCTTCCGAAGGTTTTCCTCATTATCGCCATAAATTTGATTTCGACAACCACCATATTGAGAACATCATGCGCACTTTTTGTTCTCCCTCTTTCTAAAAAACGCCTGCCGCTTAAAAATAAAGGATGAGGTCACAGCATTTCTTCATTTTCGGAAATATTGAAGTCCTTGTCCTCTCACTTTGTTTGTTTTCAAGTGAGGTTTAGTCCACTTTTCATATACAGCTTATATTATACAGTGTTCATTATCAAACATTCTTGCAGCATGTAACATGCTCTTTCTTCTAACATGAGACTTCCATCAAATTATTGTCATGAAGTAAAGATGATGATCATAATTATCTTTGCCACTGACCTTGCCACAGTCAGCGATATTATCATCATCATCATCGTCATTATTATCATCATCATTGTTCATGTCATTGTCATCGTTATGTCGTAGTCATTGTTATTGTGACCCCAAAGTAAACAACGGGGATGAGCGAATAAATTCCTGCCGCTTAAAAATAAAGAATAAGTTCACAGTAGTTCTTAATTTTTTTAAAAAAGGAGCCACATTCTGATGTTAGGAAACCAAACGGTATTAATTTTCTCTTATTTTTGTTTTTTACCAGATTCGACTACAACACCACCGCCCAAAGGTGAGCTGATCACAATTTACAATATTTACAGAAGCCTCTGCCGTGGTTATATAGTTTTGAGATGAACACAAGATAAATTATATTATTTTTTGACTTTTCAAACAAGAAACAATGCACTCAATTATTTAGAAATTTTAATGTTTTCTCTCGAGATATATATTAAATACATATATTCGTGTGGAAAAGCCGTATTAAATTCGGTAATCGAATACAAATTCTTCAAATATATATTTTCGTGTGGAAAAGCCGTGGTAAATTCGGTAATTGAATACAAATTCTTCAAAAATCCTTAGTCGATTGGTTTTTTTACAAAATATTGACTTACTTATGGGACGCCCACACCCAAACGTTGAACTTTGGATAGTGTTGTTGATTCTAAACAACTATCGCCTTACTGTAACTGGTCGCCATGTTTTCTTTCGGCCATTTGAGACTTTCTCCAGAAATGGCTTTGTTTGTCTTTCTTTACAACAAAAGTTTCTGCTAATTAGGTTATACCTGTCCTTGGGTGGTGATTGGAAAAAATTGCTGCTGCACAGAATGCTCCAGAATTCGAGACCTTTTAATTAATACCTCCGGAATTTAAAATATGCGTGAAGATATGATAAACTCTACTTATTCTGTGCAAGGCATTTTCGGATTGTAAGATCAAATGAACAAAGCAGGCGATAGCGGGCCGACGGATCTTCTTGAAACACCAATATCTCTGGGTGTATACATACCGAAACATTTGCTGTCCTGCTCCCAATAGGAGATACCTTTTTGGGAAGCACAACTATATTTCTGCTTTCTTTCTCCAATTTGTGACTTATTCTAGTTTTGGGTCCATTTCTTTAGGAAATGACTAGCTATTTTAATATGTTTTTATTTTTCCGCATGATCAGACTACAGCAAAGCATTGTCTCCGACTTCTGGTGGGTTGATATCATTTTGATTAGAATAGGGCATTTATCTAGTATGCTTAACGAATTGGAAACAAAAAAATATCCAGGACACCACGGAGCTAGCAACAAAAATTTCAAATGTACCAAAAGAGCAATCGCTAGACAGTGAAAATTGTACAAGCTTGTTAATGCATTCAAAAAAATGTCTTAGTCAATTTGAAAAGGCCAAGTGAGACTATTATCTTACCACTGACCTTGTCACTATCATCATTATTATCATCGTCATCGTCATTATTATCATCATCATTGATCATTTCGTTATCATCGTCATGGTCATTGTTATTGTGACCCACAAGAAACAACGGGATGTGCAAGAAAATTCCTGCCGCTTTAAAATAAAGAATAAGGTCACAGCAGCTCTTCATTTTGTGAAAAGAAAGCCGCATTCTGATGTTAGGAAATCAAACGGTATTAATTTCCCCCATTTTTTTTTTTTTCTTCTAGATCTGATTACACCAACCCCGCTCAAAGGTGAGCTGATCACAATTTACAATATTTACAGAAGTCTATATTGTAGTTAATTAGTTTTGAAATGAACACGCGAGACATTTTTACATATTTTGACTTTTCAAACAAGCAATAATACACTCATTCACTTAGAATAAATTATCATCATCATCATCATCATCATCGTCATCATTATAATTATCATTGTTCATGTTATTGTCATCGTCATGTCGTAGTCATTGTTACTGTGACCCCAAAGTAAACAACGGGGATGAGCGAAAAAACTCCTGTCGCTTAAAAATAAAGGATAAGGTGACAGTAGTTCTTCATTTTTTTTAAAAAAGATAGCCACATTCTAATTTTAGGAAACCAAACGGTATTAATTTTCTCTCCCTTTTATTTTTTTACCAGATCCGCCAACAACACCATCGCCCAAAGGTGAGCTGATCACAATTTACAATATTTACAGAAGCCTATGCCGTGGTTATATAGTTTTGAGATGAACACAAGATAAATTATATTATTTTTTGACTTTTCAAACAAGAAACAATGCACTCAATTATTTAGAAATTTTAATGTTTTCTCTCGATATATATATATATATATATATACATACATATATTCGTGTGGAAAAGCCGTAATAAATTCGGTAATTGAATACAAATTCTTCAAATATATATATATAGAAAGTTCTGTCTGACGAGCGCTTCGGCGCGATACTCGGAGTCACACAGAGTCGATGCGTCATCTTTGATTCTTTAACTTGTATGTACATACATATATTTTCGTGTGGAAAAGCCGTGGTAAATTCGGTAATTGAATACAAATTCTTCAAAAATCCTTAGTCGATGCATTTTTTTACAGAATATTGACTTACTTATAGGACGCCCACACCCAAACGTTGAACTTTTCTTTACAACAAAAGTTTCCGTGGTTATATAGTTTTGAGATGAACACAAGATAAATTATATTATTTTTTGACTTTTCAAACAAGAAACAATGCACTCAATTATTTAGAAATTTTAATGTTTTCTCTCGATATATATATATATATATATATATATATATATATATATATATACATACATATATTCGTGTGGAAAAGCCGTAATAAATTCGGTAATTGAATACAAATTCTTCAAATATATATATATAGAAAGTTCTGTCTGACGAGCGCTTCGGCGCGATACTCGGAGTCACACAGAGTCGATGCGTCATCTTTGATTCTTTAACTTGTATGTACATACATATATTTTCGTGTGGAAAAGCCGTGGTAAATTCGGTAATTGAATATTGACGCCCACACCCAAACGTTGAACTTTGGATAGTGTTGTTGATTCCAAACAACTATCGCCTTACTGTAACTGGTCGCCATGTTTTCTTTCGGCCATTTGAGACTTTCTCCAGAAATGGCTTTGTTTGTCTTTCTTTACAACAAAAGTTTCTGCTAATTAGGTTATACCTGTCCTTGGGTGGTGATTGGAAAAAATTGCTGCTGCACAGAATGCTCCAGAATTCGAGACCTTTTAATTAATACCTCCGGAATTTAAAATATGCGTGAAGATATGATAAACTCTACTTATTCTGTGCAAGGCATTTTCGGATTGTAAGATCAAATGAACAAAGCAGGCGATAGCGGGCCGACGGATCTTCTTGAAACACCAATATCTCTGGGTGTATACATACCGAAACATTTGCTGTCCTGCTCCCAATAGGAGATACCTTTTTGGGAAGCACAACTATATTTCTGCTTTCTTTCTCCAATTTATGACTTATTCTAGTTTTGGGTCCATTTCTTTAGGAAATGACTAGCTATTTTAATATGTTTTTATTTTTCCGCATGATCAGACTACAGCAAAGCATTGTCTCCGACTTCTGGTGGGTTGATATCATTTTGATTAGAATAGGGCATTTATTTAGTATACTTAACAAATTGGAAACAAAAAAATATCCAGGACACCACGGAGCTAGCAACAAAAATTTCAAATGTACCAAACGAGCAATCGCTAGACAGTGAAAATTGTACAAACTTGTTAATGCATTCAAAAAAATGTCTTAGTCAATTTGAAAAGGCCAAGTGAGACTATTATCTTATCACTGACCTTGTCACTATCATCATTATTATCATCGTCATCGTCATTATTATCATCATCATTGATCATTTCGTTATCATCGTCATGGTCATTGTTATTGTGACCCACAAGAAACAACGGGATGTGCAAGAAAATTCCTGCCGCTTTAAAATAAAGAATAAGGTCACAGCAGCTCTTCATTTTGTGAAAAGAAAGCTGCATTCTGATGTTAGGAAATCAAACGGTATTAATTTTCCCCTATTTTTTTTTTCTTCCAGATCTGATTACACCAACCCCGCTCAAAGGTGAGCTGATCACAATTTACAATATTTACAGAAGTCTATACTGAAGTTAATTAGTTCTGAAATGAACACGCGAGACATTTTTACATATTTTGACTTTTCAAACAAGCAATAATACACTCATTCACTTAGAATGAATTATCATCATCATCATCATCGTCATTATTATCATTACCATTGTTCATGTCATTGTCATCGTCATGTCGTAGTCATTGTTACTGTGACCCCAAAGTAAACAACGGGGATGAGCGAAAAAACTCCTGCCGCTTAAAAATAAAGGATAAGGTGACAGTAGTTCTTCATTTTTTTAAAAAAAGAGAGCCACATTCTAATTTTAGAAAACCAAACAGTATTAATTTTCTCTTACTTTTGTTTTTTACCAGATCCGCCAACAACACCATCGCCCAAAGGTGAGCTGATCACAATTTACAATATTTACAGAAGTCTATATTGTAGTTAAATAGTTTTGAAATGAACACGCGAGACATTTTTACATATTTTGACTTTTCAAACAAGCAATAATACACTCATTCACTTAGAAAATTTAATGTTTTCCCTCTTTATAATTCCTCATCTTTAATATTCAATACTTGCCTTACTACTTTATAGATGTATTAAAAAAATAAAACATTGTTCGACTTTTTTTTTTAGTGCAGTTCCGATAATTCAAATTCCATTACTGCTAGTCACTAGGATCCCACACCAGAACTGAAAGGTCCCCGAGAATATCAAGGCATTCTTTTATAAACCATGATAAACGCAAAGTCTTAGTTATTTTCATCATGCATATGGCCTCATTTAAACGTTTACTCTACGTTTAATTGCGGAGTAAACGTCAGATGACTGAAGCCTCTGTGTATAATGTTTTGGCCTGTCGAGTGTTGGAGCTCAATATTGCTAGCATATCATAACATCCCGATTTTGTTTTGTCTCTCTAGATTACCAGAGAATCATGATCTTTGTACCTGTCTTTGTTACCTCGAGTGTATTGGCTGTAGTTACTTTATTAGCCTTTCTGTATTACCGCCGACGTAAAAACTACGAATCCCCAAATCCTCTGACAGGTTTGTGTGTTAGATATGTGTTGAAGTGCATGTATTCAGATTTTAATGAAAGGTCGACTCGGATTTAACCCACATAATACACACACCATTGTTAGACTTCATCACTGCATGGCGTGATATATAAGTCCATAAACCACCGTGGGTATGCTTTAATGTAGGAATGATGGCCTGAGGAGGATACAACTAAACAAAAATGGACCTCTCAATTTCTGGTTTACACGTTTGATAAGCGTAGAATAGAAGTAATTTAAGAAGTAAAACTCGATTTCCAAATGTGCTAGGTAAGGATCATAAGGTAAGGGTGTGGGCATAATTAAGATTTTAGACTGAGGGTACACTTCTTAAGTAAACTGACCATGTGCCGATAGTAATATTAGCAACAGTAAAAATAGTATTAATAATAATAATAACAATAATAATAATAATAATAGCGTCAATAATTATCACACACCCGTGCGGTGTTTATCTGAATTTTAATCAGCGAAAACACGCCGATAATTCTTGCTGGCTCTGTTTCTGTTTCGTCATACCCACTGACAGTAGCTTTTAGACTTTTAGAATTGACGCCATACCCACACACATAACTTTAGACGACGCAAGCAGTCGCATTTTTCTGCAAAGTGCCCGTCCAGTTACGTTTAGCTGATTAGTCCGATCCATCGGTTCCGATTAAGATAAGCCTTTTGGAGTTCAAAATGAAGTTTAAAGTTACTGTGCTAAGGAATGCTCGATTCAGGAAACAGTGAACATTTTAAAACTCTTAAAGGCAGCGAAATTTGTTTTGGAGTGGACGATATTCTCAAATGCGACACGAATTGTGGCTGGAAAATGAAAACAGAACTTGCTAAATCTAAGTGAGGGTTTGCAATGTTTCGACTACTCTTGGACCGGTAGATTTTATTTTTAAGTGTAGATAAATCCTTACAGTATTGTTCAATAGAAAATTATGTTTTAAAATCTTAGAACTTTCGCAATTTTTAATCACAATGTTACGCAATTTTCTGACCGTGAAGTCAAGTGTACAACAATCCAGGCATGATGGAAATCTACACTTTGTCATCTTATGTTTTCACTTAGTTTGAAATGGGTAAGTAATAGTTCCAAATAATGGACCTTCGAACAAGTGTTGCACACTAAAGCATCTTGTGTACTAGATCCCTCTCTTCCTTTCAAAATTTTTTCATATTCACCGATCAAAAGACCGTAGTCATGAAGAAATTGACGGCAACTTACCTGTGTATTCCTGTGTATTTTAAATAACATCTGCAATTTGTTTGTTTGCCGCACATCGAACTTGGTAAGTATGGTGAAAACGCGCTGTCATCGAAGTCTAAGGAAGTCAGAGGAACGTCGTCCCTTAATTAAAACTGTGTGTTAGCATCAATGGCGAGGCGAATGTCTTAGATGCAAGTTTTTCCTGCAAAGCGGTGTGAGTTTTAATAAAAGATCGACAGTTGTGATACTATTTTGTTTTAAAGTAAAGGAAAAAAGTTAAGCATACATATATGCGCCTACCTCAGTTCCTATTTTTGTAATCTTTTTTAAGGCGTGTGCGACACTACAATTGCATCTTGGGTCTGCTATATACCCTGAATAACTGGTTTCTGCTAGGACTTAAAGAAATTTCTGCAGATAAAACATCAATAATCTTTTCTGCGAGCACGGTTTCATCCCAGGCCAGGCCTGCATATAAATCCAGAGCCCGCTGTGAGCTGCTGTTTTGAAAGCACTGATCTTGACGATCAAAATAAATATCACCAACTTCCTTTAAACCCTTTGATCCTAGGTAAAAATTTTCCAGGTCAGAAATTTGGAGACGTGGTAGTCACATGAATGAGTAGTCGAATGAACCCTCTTGATCTTATCTATTATAATTAGGTGGCTCCTGCTCATGTCAACACGATCTTCGGCAATTTTCCTGATGGTTGTATTTTAAGCATGAATTGTTAAGGTGGAGTTCGCAAGACGCTCTTGTATTCAACTGTGATCGACCACTTGATCAAGTCCGTGCTATAGGTGATAACTGAAAAACATCCTTCTTTCTCCCAACCTGCCATAAAGCCTTAACAGGATCTAACCTTAGCGGAAATTCCCCGCTGATCTAGTGTTAGAATAGCCTTGGACATAGAAACTGCTGAAAAGATGAGGCAGATAGCTGTCAAGCAATCGTCTAAATTGTTCCTTCACGATATCAAACTCTGGCCTAACTCTTAAAAAGAAAAAACCTATCCCACTGTTTCCTCATAAATATTTTTCAACCCCAGGGATCTAACGAATTTTTCCTTCGTCAAGGACAAAACTGAAAAAGCTGTAAGAGCTCGGTATGTTCTTGAAATGCAAAAAAAGAAAAAAGGATCTTAAGTTTACTGTGTTTGAAGCAGGTCTTGTCATTAATTTCCTACCAACCTTTGCAGGGTGCGTCTCCTGATGGAAAAGTATTCGACCTGACAGAGAGAGATTCGTTTGCTTTATGAGACATTTAAGCTCCCTAAATATAGGGGAACAGTACTTTTCAAAAGGCTTGGCAAGATGATGATTCCTTTTGTCAAATAGTGGATTTGAAACCTTACTTAGAGACAAGAGAAAATAATTGGACTTGTTAACGATCAATCTAAAATACTGGTTTCGTGATTATCTAGTGCTTCCAATAAGATCCAGAAACGTTTCAGTCAGTTAAATTTTACTCAGTTAAATGCCACAAACTGAATGCAGACCATTCCTATAAAGCTATTTCCCTTTTACCCTGACCGTGCTATTTTTACTGACGGGAACTGAGTATTGCTGTATCATCATGTGATGGAGATTTAAGAAGAAGTCTGTCACAGTTACACCTTTACAAAGGCAATTGTCAATTTCAATTAGCTAAAAAGTAAAAAATATTTACAAGACATTATTTCGACATTTCTTTTTCGTAACAAAAAGTGTAGATCCAGTTAACTACCTATTGTTGCCATGTATGTACCGGTAGCTATATAAGTATAAAGTGTACATCAGTACTGATTATAGTTCAATGCACACATTTGACCGTTCTCACTAATTCATATGCCTTATGGCTCACATCGTATATGAAACATAGCCACCTAAGATATTTTGCTTGGGTAAAAGAAGACTCAACATCTTACCAAACAAAATATAATATTTTATAAACGTTGCCAAGCGATCGTCACAGGGTGTCTTAATCACATTGGACTCTTCAAATTATGCATCTGAGCTCTGGATGGGGCGAATGTTCAACCTCAATTTTAGTTTTTTAGATCTGATTCTCTTCCATACTCCTTGTCTGCCATGATAGCATCTCGGGAACTGAATCTCCTCAAAAATATGCTTGCTGCAATAAATTACTAAAGCCAATCCAGTCCAATGAACGATTTGTCTGTCTAAAATGGAACAAGTGTTGAACTGGGAGACGAAAAGAAAACCCCGTAGAGCATCTACACCAACCAAGCCCTTAAGGGTGTGCGTTTCCTCATAGTTAAACAGTACAATCGATCCTTGCAGCATTATTAAGCCACTTTTCCTGAGGATCTTTGAGCATATTAGAAATCAAAACACTTCAATTTGGCCAAATCTTAAGATTTTCAAGTTGTATCAATGAAACATTCAAGTTTGCGTGATTATTGTAACAATTATAATTGTATACGCAGCAATAATAGACCATTCTTGACGCTTTCTAGTCAATTTATTTCGTCAACGACGAATTTTTACCCATTTCCGACCACGTGACGTATGAAGCAAAAATGTCTGATGCGCGAAAATCGTTTCGTTTCTTTGTATAAACGTTGTTTTAATATATGGTTAACACGCGGTTCTGATATATCTGACCCAACTGCATATGGACTTTGAAATCCAAATTTTAAATAGAGTTGATTTGCCATACAGTGGGCACTTTCTTGAACGCGCTTTTGGCATAACAAGTGCTTAGCAATAAGTATCCCAAAACAATTATTGTATACGTTTTTCATATGATAGATCAAGGCCTCGGTTTGTGTTAACTGCCTCAGCATTTGGCTTCGGCCTTGATAACATTACCTTTCATACTCATTGTTAATTATTATCATTATTAGCAGTGGTCATCATTATCACTACCATCATAGCCATTATTAAATAGAGAATAATACATGGGCGCGCGTAGATATGGAATTTCTCTTCGAGTTTAACACTAGAAGAGAAATTTCATATCTAAAAGCAACAATGTATTATTTTGTTTATCATATAAACACAAAAGCCCTTTACTGGCAAGAAAAGCCGACTTCATTAATGAATGGAAATAAATGAATCGACAATCCCCAAATGACAATCGAAGAGTGCGTTAGCGCTAACTCTTACGATGGAAAAATGCGTTGAATCTCGATTATAAAAACAACAATGGTCGTAATTTTCAATTTACAAAATTCTCATTTATTGAATTTGTCCTAACCGACAGAAGACAGAAGAAGTCTTCAGGTAAACGGCCAAAATCAGCTAGTGGCAAATCTTCCAGTTGTCGATTTTCATTCTCAGTCGCGAGAAATGCCAACACCAAAGCCACTGAATACGTAACTTTCGGTTTTTCTTTTTGTATATTGGTTTTTTCCCCTTCTAGGAAAGTTTGAACCTTACTGTCTGTCAGAGATACGGATATTTTAGTGTTTTAGCCTCCATAATCCGAGAAAGTTCCGATAAACTACCTTGTATTGAGAATCGTGAAGGCTTTGCCGTTCATTCAACAAACCGACCGAGTGGCGCCAAAGGCGAGTGACGTGTAAGCAGCTGATTGGCTATATCAACACTCGTCAAAAAATACGATATTTTTTCACGTGTGTTGTTACGGCTTTTCTCAGGGCCGGACATCCCTGTATAAAACCGTAGTTTGTGTGATAAATATTGATAATTTTAGATCGTAACCAACATAACTTCTTATTTTATATATTTTTAGTGGATATCCCTGACCCAACGGGAAAGGTGTTATATTTATCATTTAACTCATATGTTTTTCTTTTCTTTGTTTTGTTTCTTTTTATTGGGATTTTTACAAGTTTGCTTTTGAGTATTTTTTGTTGCTAGTTTTGTTTTGCTATTAATTTATGAATTTAAATACGCGACTTGTCAATATTCGCAACCATTCATATTCTTCCTGTCGCAATCTATATTCTCAATTAAATATAATGTTTGTCTTAATTTTCAGATCTGAAATTTGAATACGATGCATTCATTATATACAGTTCCTATGACTCAGAATGGGTGGTAAAAACCCTTCTTCCCACTCTAGAAGAAAAGCACGGGTTAAAGTGCTGTGTACACTACAGGGATTTCACGCTTGGAATTCCCATTCGGCAGAACATGGTGGACAGCGTATACAGATGCAAAAAGACAGTGGCTGTTGTCTCCACCAACTTCTTCAACAGCAGTTATTGTGGATCCGAACTGGACTACGCCCTCCACCGACTTATGGAAAAAAAGGACGATAGTTTAGTTGTCATAAAACTTGATAATGTCGACAGAAACAAACTTCCTAAGGAATTACAAAGTAGGAGTTACATAGATTATCCTAAGTCCATTGAAAAGGAAACTTGGGAGAAAAAGCTCGTGAAATGCTTAAAGGTCATAAACTAAATTAAGATCGAATCATCTTTTTCATGCTCTTAACCCCTCATGACAAGCTTGTGCGTCGATCATGGGAGGTGGTTGTTTGAAACCAGGTCAAGCATAGAGGTTTCGCTGTAAATGCACACCACGATGTAATATTAGCTAGTTGGCTGTCAGTTACCTTAGAGCTATGGAATTTTGAATGGAGAAAACGAAAGACGCATTTCTCTTGTTTATAGAAAGGTGGTTGGAAAGGGTTCGTTTTTTTAAATTTAAATTCCAGAGCTTAAAAATATTTATCAATGTAACCTATCATGTAATGCGATCCTGACAATAAAAGAGATTATTTGGTTAGGCGGGTTACCCCAACTAAGCGGGTTACCTATCCTATCTGGGGTGTCCCGCGTCCATGTTAACAAGCCCGTAGTCTCCACATTATTCACGACACCGCTTGACATTGGCAGTTTTTTTAAGCAGTTCGCATGGGATTGGCTCGAGTCAAATTTTACAGAGCTGTCTATCTTACCCTTTATAACCTTGGTTGTAACACGAACCGTGTTTCTCTTTTTTTAATGTATTCGTGTAGCTGATGAGTAAAATGAAGTGACCTATATTTGTGTCATTATTTTATAAAAACACGAGCCTGTCTTGCTTCGCCTACATCAACTACACTGCGATAGAAATCTCGAGCTCAAATCTAATTTTTTGAGATATTAATTTACAGTTTTACCTCGACATCGCACAACATCACTAACTATAATTTTGGGTAGGAGGAAAAAGTTTCATTGTTAAAGAGCGGAAAAATAGCCCACGAATATTCTTACTTGTGCAACTTTTTCTTCACGGCTCCGAAATTGTATTTCAAGTATCCTGTTTTATTTCTTTAATGGAAGGTACTTTAAAGGCTCTTAATTAACATCTATTAAAGTTTTGTCTCTTTTCCAGTTCTTTTTACTTTTATCGAAGTTGAATCCATTTAATTTCCTGCGTAAAAACACTCATCACATCTTAACAGGTATCGGCCATTATTGGTTCTACAGGAACATCCTCCTGATATACATGCATCTCTTCTCGCTTCTTTCGTGTTGAAACAGGTGTTATTTAACATTCGACAATTCTCTGCACTCGAACATGATCCCCCTTTTTTTTGGAATACATTTAAAAAGTCATCGTCACTCTTATCGTAGTTTTCTTCTAGGAAGATTTCAGGGTTGTAGTCTTCCACATATTTCCATGTATGCGTCTTAAGGTTAGATTCTGCTTTTGCGGCTTTGGCTCTTCCAAATTTACTAACTTGCGAGGCTGCGATCACAAAAAGCAGGACAGCAGTAACTTTCAAACCACCAAACTGAGAAAAGAAAAGAAAACATATAAAAAATTAGCTGTTTAAGAGGGTTTTAAGAGTTTACAAAAAGTATAAGTTTAAAACCTTGCCAACGTTTCGCAGCATCTCTAAATTCGGCTTCGAGTTGATTCTGTCCGTTCAAAGATGAAACAGTCGGTTCATGCGAGTCCCAGCTTAAGAGAGTCGTCAGGCTGTGTGTTTGGAGGGTCAGATGGTTCAATTTATATCATTTAAGCATGATTAATATACAATGATTACGGAACGTGCGCTTACCTAAAGTTAAATTTAGATTTGCTCGAAACTGTCAACCGTCAGATGAATAACGTAAATACACCCAACCAAACACAAAGCGAGTTAAGAAAGCAGGTGGAGACGACGTTAAATAAAAAATATTCTTCATTACTATTGATCTGCCTTATCTTGTGGGTGTAAATGTTGTATATGAAGTATTTTCCCAAGAAGAGAAAAGGCGAACATTTGAAATTGATGTCATTCAGCGTTGTCTACCTGTCTGTTGCCTCATAATAAATTTCAATTTTCCTTGGTGTCTCAAAGATCCCTTGCTCACACGACAACAACAAAAATTGTGTTTCTCTCTTTCGTTTATCGTTGATCTGGTGGTCAAACTGAATACCTTAACAACGATCGAACGTCAAGAAAGGTCGAGAATCTAGCAAATTCATTTTATTTCGAAAAACACGAGTACTGCTAAACAAGAAGTAAGTTTGTCTACAGGCTTAGGTAAACACTAGTATACTGATATAACGTTGTCAGCTTTGCCTAAACTCCGGTAACAGCTCAGTCACGGGGGAAAAAACGGTAATACGACGGGCGATCTGGAAAAAGGCGTAAGCTGTAAATAAATAGGAGATCTTTAATCTCTAGGCAAGGGTGGGTGTTATTAAAATATCAATGACCCGAGGATGTGACAGTCAGAATAATTTGATCGAAAGGACTAGAAAATTGTATATTGCAAAACGTGCAATTCTTTATCCAAAATCCAACAGCCTGGTGGGAAGTAAAGTACCGAGTTACATAATAGAGAAAATTAAGCCACAGGGTATTGAACATGAGTTGGGATACATTATAATAAAAACTTTGGTCTGAGGTTGACGAGAAATTAAACAACATTTAAAATAATTCTCTCGTATATAAAGCATCATGCATGATATGGATCTACTCTCAGAACGACACATTCAGCAAGCGGACAAGTACAGCATGGGATGGATACGTTTCTACCTGTCTTAGCAAACTGTCCCGATTATCGCTTTCGTACATGAATGTGTCTACAATATAACTTGCAACTGTGTTTGTGCGTAGCAGTATCAGTTCATTCCTGGATTCCTGCTCTCTCTCTCTCCCGGCCGTCACAGGAAGGAAGAAGTCTTGCTTGTTCAACAGTTGACGACCCAAGAATCGAATTAGCTTTTGCGATTTCCTCCACAGAATTTTCAGTTAAAAACAGTTTGCATTTCCAACTTTTTGAGCACTATGAAAAGGACAATATTTGAACCAGCGCTTACCTCTCAAATCTACGGTCTTTTCGGCTTGTTTAATGTGCGAAATGAGAAGTCTAGAACAGTCATCATTTCTTAGCAGCCTCTAAATTTTATTGCTTATTTCATTTTTTTGTTTTATTTGTTTGTTTGTTTGTTTGTTTGTTTGTTTTTTTTTCGTTTTTTTGCCTGTCGTCTTCTTCTTCTTGGAATACCAATGCTGAAAAATAATAACTTACATTTCTGCCCGCAGTGTCGTTCATCATGAGCTGTGGAAACCGAAGTCCCTCGAATTTACGAGTAATCGATTATTACTCGTTAGTTAGCTTCTGTGGCTCGCTTGATAATTGTGAATTCGTAATCATTGCTGTAATTTGTCGATTTGGTCAAAGTTGAGGTAACATGCCTTCATGATTCTTGATGTTACGTCAAGTTAATGAGACCGGAAGTATATAAAGCAGTCATACAGCGTTGAATTTCACGGTTAGGAAGGATGGAGGACGATATATAAAGCAATGAGATATGAAGAAACAGTAACTTTTATTAAAAAAAACAACAAAACAAAAAAACCTTTAGAGCGCTTGAGAGCCTCCCAGGTAGGGATCAGCTGTTTGAATGCCTTTTAGTAGTAATTTTTTTTACAAGATATCTCAGTAAACAACGGGACATACATATGTCAAGGTAGTGCGATCATGCTTTAGAATATGTGTCTATTTTTAACTCTAAAAATTTTACCTTTTTACCAAGGAGGAACTTTAAAGAGGGAATTTAAACCCAAATCGGCATCAAAATCTACGTGTCAGCTAAGGCAGCTGTTTAACATCTTACCATGCAATTCAAATTGAACAAATTTCTATTTCGAGTTTTTGTTCCACTATCAACTTACTAATAGCATCCTGTCACCTGCCTTCTCATCTACTTCCCTTATTTCGTAGGATGGGTATCACATAAAAATAGTCAATAACAAAACGTTTATACCTGAAACAAATGATATAAGCTACAATAAGTTTCGCATTAGTGCAGCGCTTTCATTCTTGGCGGCAAAACAATTGAACCTTCAATAGCAACACCCGACGAAAGAAAAACTGACTTAAGTGTAGGTTTAAAGACAAATGGTGAAACTAACGGCGCTCCTAATATTGCCTAATTGACACGCCCACCTAGGAAACGCGTAACTTAATTCACAGATGAATGATAAAAGAAAATACGAGATAGAAGTTACTATCGGCACAATAAAATTACGCGTGCCAATTCATAAAAAAAAACAGGAATTTAATCAGGTTAAGCTTAAAAATTACACTTTAAACAACAAAAGTCGAAAAAGAACTTTGAAACACCGGCAGCAAACAGTTCATTAAATTTATGCAAATACCTTTGTTTAGTACTGACACAGAAATTGCGCAAACGAGCGAAAGATAACAGCGAAACCTGTCTTCGGCGAGAGATTCGTGTCCCGATTCTATCTGGATACAATAGTGACAGATGAGTTTGCGAATAATCTCAAAAAAAAATTTTTCTTTTAATTTTAAAGCTCATGCCTACGCGCAAGTTCATAAGAAAAGTGTGTTTATACAATGGTTACGATTACGATGACACGGGCAATTATAATACAAATGGTCGACTGAGTAATATACGTTTATGAAAAATGATAATCATAAAGACTGGTCATTTTCTACCTTTTGCGATTCAAATTACGTGGAACATTTACCTTTCATCTAAGTTTCTCGTTATCACCTTTTCTTGTCTCATTTTCGAGCTGTTGAAACGGAATTTTAATTTCACATCAAAAGTTTATTTATTTTCCATTGAAGATAGCATGCTAATTGTGCGTGTGTGTTTTCTTCCAGTAGATTAAAAGAAAACGGGATTCGAATTCATCCCATCTCTTTTGTTTTTCGTTCCTTCATTTCCTTTTCGAATCTAAGCGTTATCAAGAAATTTTCAATGGTGACTCATCGATGGGCTCCCCATCGGCAAGGAAATATAAAGATTAGATATTGAAAACCACATAGGATGAAGGCGTCATTTCGACGGTTAATTCCCGACTAAACAAAGCTTGTCAGTTTCCAATGTTATTCGTTGATTAAGGTCGTTTCTCTTTAATTTTGAAAAGTTATGTCCGAGTAGTATGTGTACCTACATTTTCAAACTGCTTCGTCCGATTTAAGACGATTTCACTTGATTGGGACCTTTCTGTCTGTTTTCTAACGATTCCGAACGATCTCCGACGGTTGTTAGATTTTTAACAATTCCGTCTGATTTTGGACACCTCGGTTTCCTTACAATTCCGTGTGCTTGCTTTGAGCAGCAGGCTCTTATCATGTACGTAGTAGATTCTTCAAAGAGCCTGCTATCAAATTTCTCAACAATAGTTCGACTCTTTCCTATTCCTTACCCTCCCCGGGGCTGGTGACAATCTGCTTCCCAAAATTCCATGCGGTACTTTTCAGGAAAATGGCGGAGTGACCGATTTCGAGTTCTGCGAGCTTGCTTTCCTAGTTTAGTAACTGGTAATTCTTTCTCTTGTCTTTGATCATGAATTCGAATAGACTTGATTTTCCTAAGGTTAATTTTTTGAAAATTGTAATCCTAGAGACCTTTCATACAGTGAATACTGTATCTGTATAAATTGATTCTGGCCAGCGGATCCGTTGGTCAGTCATCTTACAATACAGACCTCTGGAGGGAGACCAACCAAATACCAGCAGAAGATGAAATCAGAAGGCGAGGATGGAGATGGATAGGGCACACCAAACATCAAAGGGTCACAAGACAGGCCCTCTGCTGGAATCCCCAGGGTAAGAGAAAGAGAGGACGACCAAGGAACACCTGGCGTCGTAACCACGTGGTTGACACTAGAAAGACCGGCCACTCATGGAGCCAATTAGAAAGGATGGCCCAGAACAAAGATCTCTGACAGACTGTTGTTGACGGCCTATGCCCCAGGAGGAGCGATGGGCTTAGATAGAAAGATAGATAGATAGATAGATAGATAGATAGATAGATAGATAGATAGATAGATAGATATACTAATTATCTAGCCAACTGACAGGAATAATTAATTAAAAGAAGTTTAAGTATCTAACCATAAAAGTCGTTTACAGCCCCTTAGATTGTAATAAACTACATGAGACACATTAAAATAACCGGCCTTTCTTGATCTATCGCCTTTAGCAAATAGTACTTGCTTCCTGTACTTGCAACCATGACTGACTCCATCAGCCTACCCCCTCCCCCTCCTCTCTCATCTCTCTCTATCTCCCCACCACCTCTCTTTCAACCGCAATCTCCATTTAGTTAAATAGGTGTGTAACAACTTCATTATCAAGAGTCAATTTTTATACGGTATAAACAATAATTTAAGACCTTTCTCCAGATTTCAAAAAGGTTTGTAGGTTTTCAATTACCATTTATACTGTTGTTACTCTTAAGGGAGATAAAGGTGAGGAAAACAATTGAGACCAGAAAATGTTACCATGCATATTGTTGGTGCGAGAGAAAGACATCAGGTTTTATCAAATTAAGCTTTGACTCTCCCTAAGGAAGTCAAAATTTTCAATCTTTGATCGGCGGGAGGTAAGCTAGTCTAAGTTTTTAGAAAAGAACCTCTTTTTCTGCAATGGTAGATAATTGAAACAGTTGATTTTGAAACTGTCTTCTACCTTCTGAGTTTCAAGGAGAAAAATCAGAAAAAAACTTGATGTTTGAATTTCCTTTATAATCAAGCATGAAGTCATGTCGTGAAAACCAGATGTCAAGCGACCAGATTAAGTGACTTTAAGGGTATTTGTTTAGACAAGCATTCCTGTATTTTTTGTTGTTTACGAGAGTCAACTGAATCAAAAAGTGACAATGTTGATACCTCTGATATGCTTAAAGAGGGTACTGTGGAAATTGCAGTTGCCGCGTTGGAGGAGTGAACTCATTACGACTTCAACACGGACAAAGTGTGTAATTTATTAAGAATTCCAGTTTTAATCGACGCATGCGCTATGAGGCGCTAGAATTACCCAGGGACACTGGACACCATTAAGTATCCTGCGACCGATTGCAGATTCATCAAAAAAAGTTGACCGGCTTTATCGATCGCAAACCTGTTTTGATCGCATGAGCTAAACGCACGGTTCAAAAGAGATTCTAAAGCTCACGTTTCAAGAGTTTGCCCTTCCTCAGAAGGAATCGACAACACTCATGTAATTAATTTTGCTTCGGAAGGAGTATCATCAAAGTAAAATTTACCTGATCTTCTTATCATTATACCTGCAAACTACTATCCGCGAGAGTCTTTAGCCGTCCATTAGTTTCCGATGGCTCAGCATTATTAGGACTTCAGTTTGGAATGCTTCTCCTTCGACCATATTGTTTTTGTTTCTTCACTTGTTTCTTCATTTCTTTCATCGCTATATTTTTATCCACTGCTTTCCCAGAAATATTATCTCTTAAACTAATTCTCATCTTTTCAGAGGACTACAGCATTCAAGGGGTTAAAATCTTAATTCTAAGAAGAAGATAAGATATTTAGTACTATTTGTGTAGCTTGTGTCTATTTGATTTGCCCGTCAATTTAATTATAAGTGGTTCTCATTACCTCTTGTGGAACTCATTTGAGTTTGTAGTAGAGTGGACTCAAATGTGACGTGCTCTTTCATTGACCATACCTTTGAGGTAAACGAATCTTGTGGTACTTTCGCTGGAAGGGCGCTTTCCACGTATGTTTGGTTTCGTTTTCTCATCAATTTATTGTCTTTTACAGAGCATACCCTCGCATATTTCTAGGAAAGGAAAAAAAAGGCTCAAACTCTTGAAACTCGCGAAGATTAATTGCAACTGTTAAGGACGCCGCCCTTAGACGCTTTTTAGTTTCAAAAGCACAATTAGACAATACTTGTTATTTTCATTTAAGAGAAGAGCTAAAGAAAATGGAAGTTTGCTTTCCCTCTAATTCATACAGACATTCATTGTAGGCAGAATTCGCGACAACATATGTCACGTAATTAATTATTCAGTGTATTATTGCATTGTTTAACTTGACATATTCTGCAAATTTCAGCGCGCATGGTTGCTTTAGAGAGTATTTTCAGGGCGGATTTCTCATATTTGAAGTACGGGGACAGCAATTTTAAGAAACCATAGAGGTTTTTGCGGAATACGACTAACTTTACGTGAGGTGAACTGGTGGAATTTATTCTATATTTTTCAATAAGGTAACTTAATATTGGGTCCTCCACCGTCCATTCACAAAAATTTTCATCTTTTTTTGCTTTGATTGTGGCTTTTTATTGAGATAGCTCCCCTGTCTTAGCATCTACAGTGTAAGAGATTTTACAAAATCTTGTTGCTAAGGTTGTTGGGGTGCACTTTTTTTACTTGATTCATTTCTTCCTAAACTCGAGTTTCGCCTTTTCTTTGCGGGTCAGCAATACCTTTTTCCTTGTCCTCTGGGCGTGTCGACATTACTGGCGGCTAGGAGACGTTTTAATTGAGCTGCAGTGCCTGCTTTTATTTGACCAATTTTACAAGAGATCTTAGCTTTATTTTGTAGTTTTAATATTACATGTAGCCTTTTACAACGATTCATCTCATGCAACCATGAGTGATAAAATTTTCCGCATCCTCGTTGTATTCAAGTCGTGTTTTATGTTTCAGGGGCTCATGTTTGGAGTGTTGGAAAGTACAGGATAGAACAAGACAACCCAGTTAAACGAAATGAATTGTAAGCAATGGTCACCTAACATCATATTGTCTTTTTAGCTAACAATTCATAATCTGACAAGCAGTAGCACAAAACATATATTCATAAAACAGCTGTGCTCCAGACACATTTGTTGGTACATCAGCTAACCGCCTCCCATACTCTCGTTGTTTAATTGTCGGCTGCAAGTTCGCTCAGACACATCGGCAATAAAGAATATTGGAAGGAGGAGAGGGGCGAAAGAACATCAAAGGGGTTTTTTTGGAATTTTTTTTTTCTTTAATTTCCTCCATTTCAACAACTAAAACATTTTGAATAATTACAAACAAAAAAAAAAATGGGGGAGGGCATAGTATAGCGAGCTAATTGGATGCCCATTACGTTAATTCACATTATATCATATAGGAAAACCAAAGCAATACAAATATAAGAGAGGGTATAAGAAACAATAAATACATAAATTGACATTGTCAAAGGAAGACATTGATTAATACTGAGAAAAGTATCACATAAAAATGTTGCTCTTTTAAAAAGTTTTCTAATGGGCTTTCTCCGCATTGACATAGGAATATCAATCCAATAGTAGCATCCAATAACTATTGAACAGAATCTCCTTTTATTTATCTTGAAGGGTCTGGGGTTCTAGTGCTACTAAGACGTACTTTTAGTGGCATAATCATGGTTCTCTGATACAAAAGACAGTGCTAAATTAGATGATTTTTTATCTACAATATGATCGTAAAATAGTTGACACGTACTTAACTTATTAATATCAAGAAGCTTAATTTGGCCGGTTTTTTTACATAATGGGGAGGCATTGTTGATGATTCTTACAGCTCTGGTTTGTAGCTTTACCGAATGAGACAATGGAGTTTCGCAACTACTACCCCACAATATGTAGCCGTGTGTTAGGTAAGGATATACAAAGTAAACACTTATCAAAGGCGTTGATGTTGATCTGAAATAATGTCCCAACTTTTTAAAACGGGAGTGCAACTCTTTTTTTCTATATAAACAGAAAAAAATTCCATTGGATAATTGAACAATCACCAACATGAGTTACGTTTGGCCTCTTCTCTCTGACCTTGAATAACGCTTTTGTCTGCTGCTCTATACAACTCGTTTAAAAATTTGGTAAGAGAATTTAATAAGTTGTTAACACTTTATTAACAGATCACACATACATCAAAATAACTTTATAGATAAATAGTTTCCAACATAGCTGGCTTACATCGTTTTGTTCAAGGTTGAACTACTAATAAAAATTATTAAATAATCGAATTTCCACTCTGGCAATGATCTCATCATTTCTAATTACAGCTACTGACTAAAAACCTTATTTACAGTATCTTTTTCCTTCTTTTTGCAATCTACTGTAAGTATCTGGGGCTCGTCTCTGTGCTGGGGATAGTAAATCCCTCTGATCTCATCGCAGCCGTCCACGCAAACCACCGTTTTTACAGCTTTATTGTCGATTATCTTGTATATGATTTCTTGTACACAGCTGTTTTTCGCTGTATCTCGTCTGGTTCTTTTTCCCACGCCTAGAAGTGCGCCATCCTCCGCTTTATCTTCTGGAAGAGAAGATATCAAGGTCATGATGTCGTCATCAGCAGGAATAGTCGGTTTACTCCTCTCAGTGTCTAGTCCGACTCGCTTCTTCTCGTAAAGCGGTACATGTTCGTCCCCACTGTACTCTGCAGAATCACTTGCCATTGCCGTTGCCATGTCCCCGGCTAAGAGATCTAAATCCTCAATTTCCTTGGCTGGAAATGTTGGCTTGCTTTCAGCAAATTCATAAACGGCGAAAAGCACTAACAGAACAGCCGTGGTTGTATAGACGACGTCCTGGAAGGCGAATAAAAAGCCTAGACTTGATTACTTGTTATGATGTTTAGGTATGTTTACATTACAGGAATCAGCCGGGAAAGTTGGCCCTGAGGCATACAATTTGAATTTAATTGCCTCCTCGTATGTACAAGAAACTCAAGTAAGTGTTGGTTTCCTTTTTCGGTTGAGAGATCTAAATTGAGGGAACTAATCTCCCTCAATTTTCCTCTTCCTAGGACTTGGTGGTGCAAGTTGTTTAGACCAATTGAGTATCTTTCAACGCTCAATTGAAAACTACGGTGATCACTTCGGGAACTAAGGGTCAAGTGCTAAATGCAGAGCAGTTTAAGAGACTAGAACCGACTGTTAGAGTAGTGACACTGAACAATTTTCAATAGATCAACGAATGATGAGCGAAAGAGTAAAAATGAGAGAAATGAAGGGGAGATTTCTCTTGCCTTTTTTTGTCTTTTTTGAGTTGGAGATGAAGAAAAAAATTCAGAAATGAATCGTAGATGAGTCACGATGCCCCCAACCAGAAAATGGCTACTTACCTTTGACTTCAAGCAAATCATCATAGCGATTAATGAATATGAAATCGTTCCAAGTGTTCTCCAAGGCACTCACTGTTATGTGCTCACTTTAAAGTTCTGAAGTTTTGGAATCGTCCGCACCAACTTTTATAGCTGACACAAAAGTGGACATGGCTCCCGTGACTAAAAATATATTTTAGGGAATTACACCGCTCGTCCATTTTAGGAGTTTCGTTTAACGAAAAATAATTGTTCAAAGCCGGTAGGAGAATCCTTCTTCCTCCATTCTGGGAGAATGCGGATTGAATAATTGGCGCTAGAGTCTCGAGGCAATTTAGTGTATCGAATTGAATGGAAACCATGTTGCTTCCTTGTCTATTTTAAAATCTCTTTATTGCAGCCTCATAAAGAATTTATGCGCATCACGTTTCTAAAGGAAAATTTTTTTTATATTTTCCCGTTTGCACCTGTTGGCGCAAGTTTTGCCTAGTTAATGAAAGTTATGGAATCTGCGTAAGACCTTCAAGTGTTTTAACTCCTTCACTGACGTCATCTCGTGAAACAAAGCAGTTATATACGGAAATCAAACTAAGCAGCAAAAATAATTTTTGATCAGGTGATATTAGTCTGAAAGAGATACTTTCGATCTTAACAAAATAGCTAAAAGCTGGATCAGTGCATTCTACATTTAGCGATTTTCAAGGCTCATCTGACTGGTTCTATCTGTTATTTACTTTTGATGAACTTTTGATACTTTCCCTTTCCTTTCTACCTGTCTCCCAATTGACATATTTATTAGAGGAGAGTTGGGTGTTGTTGGCTTCCGCTCCATATAACACTTCCTCTAAACGAGTTTCGCACGTGGTCATTATCAATGTTGCACTGAGCATCCTCAGCGGACCGTGTAGAGGGTAGGCGTGGGCGAAAGTCTTATAAACAAAAACCACAAACCGTTACGCGGAATATTCAACCGTTTTCAGTTACGTTACGTAAGTTTGTTTACTCATGATTCTATCCTATTTTCCTTTTAAAGATGATAACAAAAAGTATTTTAATTTTATATATTCATATCGTCTTGCGAATAAGTTTACTGTTGAGCGGCTTTTTAATCGAGTTAATTTTCGATAATTCGTTAGGTTTCTGCGGTAACTCGTTATGAATAATATACAAAATACAATACCATGGCAATATACGATAAAAATGGCATTAAGCAGTAGATTTCTATGTGGCAGGGCTGGCAAAATGAAACTAGAAGTTTCCTCTTTTTCGTTGGTCAACCATTTGTTCAAAACCAAACTTTCATTTCTTTCTACTGCATGTTTTGGACTGTGTAATATGATAAGTATGTTGCGGAACAAATAAAACATTCAAAGCGAAAAATATATGCTTTACATGATGATCCTTAAGCTTCGTAGAAAAAATTCCCTTCCTGCAATTTAAAGCTTTAAAAATGGAAATTACGAAGTCTTCCGCTTCTGCCTTTATTTAGTACCGAGGTGTTGAGCAACAGCAAGACTACTCGTGCGTAACTGCCAAGAGCCTTAGTACAATCAATAACTTCCTTAATTTGAAGTTTAGACTAGCCTAAGGAAATATGAAATGTCACCATAATAATCATGGAAAATTTCCAAGTCAATTCTTTCTCTTTTTCCTTTTTATTTTTAACGGAAGAACAATGACGTTAGAACATGAAAAATGTTGCGGAACTGAAATGACGAATTGATTTGTCATGATGGAAGCATATCGAAAATGATTTTTAATGAGAATATCATGAAAATCAAGTTCCTTTTTTTCAGTGGGATTTCAGCCCTTTCTGCTGAAAATGATAATACATGCAGTATGGTATTGAACTGGTGGCATCCCTACTGAACTTGGAATAGTTTCGACACGTAAGGGTTTAACACGTATGGAGTATACTTCGGTGGTCATTCCTTCGGAAAACTACGACTAACTCTGATAGCTATTGGAAATAGTGTAGCAGTATTTAGGATGGGAAACCTAAGACCTAAGATTGTACATCCATAGCAAAGAGCAGTTCTGCACTAACGATCGAGGGTTCGCATTCATCCGTGTTAATCCTTGAAAAGAAGGCTCCACCGCGTTTTTGCTCAATGTTGGCGCACGCGCAAGCGTTGTTTTTCTTGAAAATTTTTATGTTTTGGCTTTCCAAGGTCTCTAAATGCCATCAAAAGGCGATGAGCAAGGTTCGGACAGTCGTTTCCTGTAGTAAATATTAACCAAATGATTTCCGTTGTTAAGTTGTTAAGCTAAGGTGTCACGAAAGGAGGCGCTCGCCAGTGGTAATTTAGCTTTGCTTTTAATTTTCTTCAATTTGCTTTCGTGAAATCTCTCAAAGTTTTCACAATTTGTGAAATTTGTCCCGCCGATCATTTACAAGCCAAATAAATAGGGTTACAAAGGTAGTTTCCTCGCTATATGCAATTTTGTGTTTTCTTCCTGTCTTAAATTTGGTTAGATCTCACGAAGTTTTCATTTGACAAATATGACAATCCAGCAAATCTTAGAAAATTCCACCGAAGGAAATGCAATAAATCTTACTCCAAAGATCCCAATTTTCTTTGTCGCAAAACTTTACGTCATAGAATGGAACTTTGCCAAGATCGGTATCTGAACATGCGTACACTTTCGAATCTGTCGCCTTTTGGCAACCTTTCCCACGGTGTTTTCTCTTCGGTTGACCTCTTTCTCAGGCGTAGAAGTCCTATGAATACTACGGGCTCAGTTGCTGGAAACCCTAAATTCCATCATATATAATCTGCGACGTTAACATTTGCGGAAAGCTTCACTTTGAAAATGTTCTCTCTCCACTCTTGAAATTCATTAACTTGAAAGAGCGTTCTCCATGTGGAAGAGAGGACGAGCCGTAAAAAGAAGTTTACGCGTTTAATGCGTCGACCCATACGCGTCATCGTCTACGTCTGAGACTTTGACGGGGTATCAGATGACACCTTCTGTGAAGTCTACGAGTACGCTCCCAGAGGTAATGGGGCAGGAAGGCAGTGGGGTCGGCCGGTATGATTGGTCGATTGACTTCAAATTTACGCGCGTTAGAGTCAAGCCATGTTCTCTCTTGTTCTGAGGAAGATTACCCTTAACAGTTAATTTAAAATTTTAGCTGGGAAAACAAAGACTTATCATCCGATTGACGGATCAGCGTGGAAAATTCATAGAAACAAAAGTGAAATTGATATTTATTAAAAAGAATTTAAACCTGCAAGAAGTGATCCTAAATATTTAATTCGTATAATAATCCTCCTAAACATCACACATCGGTAATTTTCACATTAGAAAAATTACGACAAGAATTTCGACAAACAACCGTTAAAATGAATAATATTAAAAAGGCAAGATCGATTTGGACGACTATTGCCTTGTTACTCTTACTATTGCCATGTTACTGGTTGGTTCAATTCTCTTATTACACCTGCTCATTTTTTGTGTCCCACTCAGTTCACTATAAACTCAAACTATTAAGTATTTTACCATTTTACTACATTAATGTATCACTCCCTTATGTATTTTTAGATGGCAATCAACACACATCTGTGTCATCTTCAGCTCATAATTTGTTTTTGCATTAAACGGACAAGAAGGAGGAGGGGGGGAGGGGGGGGCAACAAAAGAAAAAAGAATGGGGAATGGGGGGGATGGGGGAGGGGGAAACTCAGCGTTCTAAGCAATAGATACCAACAACAACACATAAGATGATAAAAATATGTTTTTAAGCTGATCTCTTGGTTAATGTTTTTGCAATCATAAGTCTCGGAAATGCCAGAATACCGCCCAGAAAATTTGTTAATGTTAATTTTCTATAGTAAAGAAAATGTCAATAGTTTCAAAGTGCAACGCATGGTAAAAAAGGAGGTAGATACAACCCAGAAATCTCATGCTCACACATTTTGGAAAATTACAATTTTGAGTAAAATCCCGAAATAATAAAAACGCTAGTATCTCTGCCCATTTAAAGTAAGTCATTCTTTTAGTACTAAAACTCAGCATAACTCCCAAAAAAGAGAGCACATAACCCTAGCCTCCACTCCCACCCTCCCTTGTACCATAATAAGAGTTCAAGTCTACGATGTACTTGTACTATATCTTTCTAACTTCATTCACTCAAAGTTAATAATTGCTTATCTGAACCAACAGTCGTGAAATTCGGTACTGACGCTATAATTAATAATACTACATAACATGAGACTTTGAGCCGCTTGCGTTTTGAACCTTGGACATGATAACCTTTTCCGACAAGTCTTCTGATGTTGTTGCGTAAATGGTCACGTGTGCAGGCTGAAACGAATATAGTCAAGGAAATTTAAATGATATGCAAGCACTGTGGCTGATATCACGCCAAAAAAAAAAAAAATCCGTTACGCACAATTACCTTTAGTATAAAGGGATCAGGAACGAAATAGAGATTTTTTTTTCAACAATGGTTTCAGATCACTTGTTTACATTCTCTCTGCCACCAAAATTCAGATGACATGATGATTATTTCAGAAGGTTACAGTTGTTCTTTATGTACATATTTTTGGCAATGATATCAATACATTCACAACAAATCATCCTGTGATCGGATTTGAGAGATGTCAAGGATGTAAACACGTTTAGGTTTCTTTTTTGTTTTGTTTTGTTTTGTTTTTCTTCTTGTTTACTTTCATTTAATTTGTTTAAGAAGGAAGATTACGATTTGAATGTGCGGTAGCGAAGGCAAACGCACCATTAGTGACAAAGGATACATGGAATGCCTTCTCCACAGTAGATTTGTGTGTACTGATTTTTCCTTTAGTCATTGGCTTGACGCCTTCACCAACCCACGTAATAAACACAAATTTGACGGTGCTTATTTCGTCAACAACATCCATCTGCAGGACAAATGAAATCTCAGTAAAACATCAGCAAAAGGGTCAAGATCATCAAGCAATGAGCCAAATCGTCCAGAGACGGTGAAAAAAGGTTGGTGACGATCAAATTCTTCTAGAAATTGTCATATCCTACTGGTGACAGAAAAGTAGGCCTCGAGACATATGAGATGAGTACATCAAGTGACAATTTAATACATAAACTACGTCTTGTGGCGGTCAAGGACTTCCAGCAATGGTGTAAATGGTTTAAACTTTTACTCACCACTCTAAGCAGAGCATAGGCCACAACATCGCTTTCCAACAACGGAAGGATGCCTTCCAACCCGTCCGTGCCTTTACCACTCAAAACTATGGGTTTCTTGGGATTTTTTTCTTCGTAGGAACCAACACACCTGATCAGAAAAAGGGACATATAAAATAGCGAAGAGAAGTCAAACGAAAAAGCAATTTACTGTTCAGTTAATCAAAGCACGATTAAGCTGACCGAAGGTGAGCCAACAATTTTTTGTTTAGTTTTTGTAGCTTTGCAGACAGTTTTAATTGGATACGTTTTTCCTTCAGTTTTGTGTCACGCTAAGGTAAAACTCCTTAAAACGTACGCCCTAATGAAAACTATTGATCCACATGTAAAGTTGTACAACATAGAAAAATATACCGCAGCCATTATCGCAAATGTTGCTCGCTTACACACGACTTCAAAAGCAGACAAAATTTTAGACCCAAGTTTAACTTCTAATCGCCATTTGAAGCACCAGTCCAAATGTTTGACTTGGGGTAAGCAATAAGTTACCTTGTAAAAAGCTAGCGGAAATTCGCCTTAAGTTAAAAAAAAAAGAAAAAAAAAAAAAAAAAAAAAAAAGGACCTCCGGCGTGCTGTGAAGGCATGATAACAATGTACTCCCTTCAATGTACTTGCTAAAACAAGTAGAAGGGATATAGATTTTGAAACCTTGGTAGGTAAAATCAGGTTATAGAATGCTTATACTGGTAAGCGGAAGTGCCTTTGGTCTTAACTAAAACTTTATTTGTCAGTGTCAACCACAGCTACTCTTCCACATGCTCTGCTTCGGGAAAAACTGAGCTCCCGGAAAAACCGGTCAAAGGTACAGTTAGTTTAGAAATTAGTAATGTAATTCCTAGACTGTATCAACTATTTTGTAGCTACCATTATACTTGTAATTGAGAGTTTTACAAACAGAGTGGAACTCTCGACAAAAGTTTCATCAGTTATGAAATAGAACGTTTTATTCGGCCATTTCTGACTAATGACGTAAAAAGAAAGAATTTATGATATTCAACACTTTACCAGTTAACTGCTCTATCATCGCTTCGTACATCAACTATCGCTTCAGTCAAAGATCCATCAATGTTCACAGCCACTTAAAGAAAACACAAGCGTTAAGCACAGAAAAAAAAACAATGGAAAGGAAAAGTGGAGAAACAAGGAGAAAAAAAGAGGAGGAAAGATAAATGAAAAAACGAGAGGGTACAGAGTTTTCACAGGCAAACAAGAAATATAAAAATATAAAAGGACATTTTCACTTCTTCCACTGTTGTATCTTAGAAAAGTGAAAGTACATGTTATTAAAGTGACACAATAGCGTAGCCTCAACTTAAAAACAATTACCTGCACCAGGTGTCTGAAAGCTATTTTGAGCCTTTCCTGTTTTGATTACATTACTACTACTGGTAAAACCTCGATCCTGTTTAAAAAGAAAAGCAAGGTCTGCGTTAAACTACATAAGTGACTCTAACGTACAACCTCGTTTGAAAGTGATAAGTGGAAGTGTTAGTGTCTCGTTGAATCTGAGGTGGACGATGTTGGTGTTACATGTACTTGCCATTAAATTACCAATATTATGAATTTAACAACTACACTGTAACCTCTTTAACAAACTGACATTCCTATGCCATCTTTAAATTAGATCTGTATATATCAGTAACAGAAAAGCAAGTACTGGTATCTATGTTCCACTTCCCCCCATTATCTGCCAACTATTTGCAGCAATATTCATGAACAGATATTTTTTCAATATGCAAATTTCTCAAAAATGTCTGCTGACTTACAGATGAAGTGGGTTACAGAATATCAAAAAAATGTAGAACATTTGTTTAAGATTACAAGAATATAATTATATCTGCATTTACTTTTCCAATAGAAACAGAGAAACTGAAATATTGGTAGCTCACATCCACACTTTTTTACAGCAAGCAGTTTTGTTCAGCAGTGTTCCATTTCCATTTATTAGATGGAACTCTATAATAAACCCATCTTACTTACTTGTCTTTGTGCAGCAGCTGAGGCTTCAAGTACTTTGTTTGTTCGTCCACTATTAAAGAAATATGGATTATTAACAAGTTTTAATTGTCAAGGTCTGATGAGTTGTTTTCCCTTGTGACTGCTGTATTTAAAATTTGGAAATAAGTTAATAGAATCTGGTGTCATCTAACTGTGTAGCTTATATCATAGCAACCATCAGTTAAAGAATATTATTTGAAAATTTTATAAATAAATAGTATTGCAAGAGGAAGTTATATGTGTTCATGCTGGTAATAATAGTTAGCTAAAGTTCAAGATAATATACATGTATGTGGGTGAGGTGTTGCATGGTTCATACACCAAGGTTGTGTTTTTATGCATGTCTTGGTTCAAAAGGTCTAAACCTGCATAATTACTGTTTCTGAAGCATGTCTACTCCCCTTTGGTGGTCTTAGGGTGGGATACTGGTCTATCTCAATTATTAATAATCTCCAGTATTTTGCCATGTTTTTCAAGCCCTTTTCCAGTATGCATTTATACTCCTGCTGGGTGAGGATAGCCACTGTTTGAAATGTTTGCTCCACAACACAAAAAATGGGCCAGTATTACACTCATTTTGGATAGGATGTTCATTTATCACTGAAAATCTCTTTTCCTATCTCATCTTACTAAATAACTTCCAAACATTATGACTTATCCATTTGGTGTCCAAAAAATTAAAAAATTAATCTCATAGGGCCAAATGATAGAAATTGGGCACTGCGTTGTTATCACAATATGATATTTTGCATCTCATTAGCATATGTAGTGAATAAAAAGACCGAGTATAAAGGCACAATATGGTTATTCTTAGGTATTGACAATTTATAATAATCATACACACTGTGAAATAGATGCAGCACCTGGTCTCTGAAATAACGTTCATCATCTCTTCCTCACTCAAGTCTGCTCTCTGTCCAGTTTCTATGACACAATGACTGGGCTGTTGAAAAAGAGAGGAAAGAAAAATGGACACAGATCAACATTTGGCATTTCTATATACAGTTATATGTAAACTTGCAAAAAGATGAGGTCACATGGAAGAAGGTGCAGTGATATACAGTGTACTAGCTTTGAGTATTGACTTGTCAACATAGCACAGCCACATGTAATGTATGTATGCCACTTGTAAACTTGAGAAAGGGATCCTAAGTACTAGTACAATTGGTGTTAGAGATTTGTTGTGAATTTAAGATTTTTTTTTGCAGATGTAATCATTTCTGTCATATGAATACTACATACAGTATCAATAAACCCAAAATGTTTCACCAGTTTTACAAACATGACTCAGCCTACACAATGAAAAGACATGTACTGTTACTAATAATTTCATTGCATTTGTAAGAACTTTTCAAAGTCAGAAAGCTAAAATCCTGGCTAGATGTTTAAGGCACACATACTAATTTGTAAGGGCTATTCATAGTTAGAAAGATAAAATCCTGCTGAGATGTTGAAGGCACTGTTCACATACAAAATGATACATCAACAAGGCTGCAGAATTCACAAGCCCAATGCTTTTAGACAAAGTGTTCATACTACAGAGTTTCAAGTAAACAACTAATTACTTTACTCTAAATAAAGCTGCTATACAAAAATAGTCTGTCAAAAGCTAGAACCAATCTGAATGATCATTCAATCTTCTTCAGACTATAATAAATAGAACAATACTTGTACTAGAACCAATCTGAATGATCATTCAATCTTCTTCAGACTATAATAAATAGAACAATACTTGTACTCCATGTACATGTTCCTGTGTGGATACCAATTTACCTTCTCATACTAATAAATATCTCTTAAAGATATATAACATAAGGCAACAAAGCTAATCATACACAGAGTTGCAATTATATCATCTTTATATCCCCTAAAACTGTTCATGTACCTGAAAGTGAACCTCAACACTACCATGCACTACACCAAACTTGCCCTTTTTGGTGAACGGAACACTTTCTCCAATCCAGTGAATGTATACAAATTTAACAGTTTTCTCCACATAGCTGTCAACCAACTCTTCTAACCGCACTGTAGGGAAGTAAAAATGTAAAAAATATAAGACATACTATAGTAGCATTAAATAGCTTCTAAAATAGATTATCCCAGAATTTTTTAAACTAAATTTTGAAAGTAATCAGTATTTAACTGCTTCAGGATAGATCCAAAAAATTCCTAGAATTCTCAGAACCAATCAGACAGAAATTAAGCTTAATCTAAATACCAATTGATTATTTGCATTTTCCACATTTGAGGTACCTTTTTTTGTTCTTAACTTGAGTTCTCATTGGCTATTCCTAATATTTTTCTTCACTCTAAGATTACTTTGTTTTACGTTTTTGATAGTCAATTGAAAATTTCTCTGACTCATTATAAAGAAACTTTGGATACAATTTGAAGTATAAATTTAAAGTTCAATTAAGACAACCTACATTGTACCATTAGTAAGTAACAGGCTGCACATGTATGTACACAAATATGTCATGAGGCAAAAACATAGTCTGATGGGTTTAAAATGAGTAAAGTGTTGTTCATTCATTGGAAGTTTTTAAGTTTCTAATGAACTGATACAAGTAACTGAAGCGTTCAACAAAAACAATTCACTACTTACCAAGGCCATACATGACTTCACCATCTTCTAGTTTCCCAATCATTTCACTTGCACCTCCACTGCCACTTGCTTTGAAGTGGATAATATTAGGATTGCCTTCCCAATGGCCAGCCAACATCCTTCAAGAAAAGAAGGATTTTAACAGTTACAGCTAGTGGTCAATTATTTGGGTTGCAAAGGCAATAATAATTGGAAGACAAGAGATTGAAGAACAACAGAAAAAAGCGCAAGACCATGGTTTGTAAATTACAATTAATTGGATAAATAGAAAGTCTTGGGTAATGTCCTCTAAAAAGGGTTAAGCTGATGTTTTAAATTATCACCAATTCAGCCGACAGTTATATCTAAATAATCATTATTTGTACGGTATCAAGGATGTAATTAATATTGAAGTGATCAGTATAGAAATCTCAACATCATTCATTGTTTAAAATCAGTCTAAACAGGACTTCTTCCAGATAAATAAAGTCATGGACTACACTGTACTTGTAGCAATTTGTTTCGAACAGTATCAGAACATGCAAATTCCAATTGTGCAGTTTGATTGTCCACAAGGACTTCTCATCCATTCGAAATTACATTTGTAGCCTCTTTAATCTTAAAATGTGTGTTACCAGTGCCCATAATTCATGAATTATATTTCATTTTCAGTGTGATGGTTAAATGTTTTTTCCCTCTACCACAAACCGTGTGTAAGTCGTTTTCAAAGTAATAACAGTGAAGAAAAGCAACGCTTAAAGTAGATGTGCATTGGGATCAAGATTTGAGGCAGAGACTACTATGTCACGCACATACTGTAACTAACGCAACTCTTCTTACAACGAAATCTATTTCACGTCATTTAAATTTGAAGGAAAGAGCAGGCGGAAATTTCACAAATGTTTCGCTTTAGTCGCACCCAGAAATGATACACAACCAAGCTAAAAAAAATTCAAGAATCGAGCCACGATCTATACACGCTAAAAATTAAAATTATTATTTATATTTGGGCAAGAAAGTGCACGATTTGCGTGCCGTAAATGGATAGGTCTAACAAATATCTTCCTACCAGTTTGTTGAAGAAAGGTCGCTCCTGACATCCAGCAGCGCCCCTTTTAGGGAGCTTTCGTCTTTTATCTCTACGTTTGTTGACATTTCTTAATACTGAAAAGGTGCAAAATCAAAAAGTCGCCGTCAACAAACTAATTTAGGCAAGAGAACTAGTGAATTCTCTGCATCGATGGCATTCTATTTACCAGGTATTTTGAATATAGTTGATCACTGATATATCATCACAACTGCTTTTTTAATTAAAATCATTGCCTCTTGAGAGTAACTCACACGACCAATAAATGATTGGGTCGCTGAAACGGCTAGAAAATCAAAACTCACCAGGTTTCCGTGACGAAGAATTGAAAAAGTCACCAACAGCTACCGACACACATGTATAACTTTACGCGACCACTACACAATGACTAAGATCTCGGCAGGAGACTGGGACCAGAGTCAACTCCCTTCCAATCTCGCGTGTCACCTCGCACATTCGCGCGAGTGGTGAATTAATTATTTTCAAGGTTGTCTTTTAGGAAAGACTTTCCAATTCCACTTGGAGAATCCTGCACTTGGGGATAATGCAACCTAGAGTCTTAGGACTGCCAGGTCGTTTATCTAACAGTTATTTAATGACTGCGCGTCGGACAGGAGATGGTAACGAGGCGCGTAGCACCCAATTAGCTACATCAACCAACCTCATATCCAACAAGCACGAATTGAATAATTTTTTTATTAAGTTTAAATGTTTTCTTCAATGCCGTGGGAGCTCACTTAACTTGTTTTCACTCCCCATTTTTTCAAATCAAACCGACCGGAAGTCAATTTTACTTCCGACCGCCCAAACGGCTAAACTTCAGTCATATGACAATGTGCCTCGCTTTACGAATGACGCTGAATGAAATTTTATACGGCGTTACCCAGCTAACGCTGGACCTGAATGTTTACACAAAATACAGAAATTTCTGAACCAGGAAACGTTCCAGGTTACGAGATACAAGCATTTCATCGGAAAGCGAAAAAGTTGTGCACACTTTGCTCAAGTGGTTTGTTTAACTAAAACCGCGCAATGGAAGTAATAGAGTGCTCAGTATGAGCGAGTTATGACAGCAAGTTACAAACTTACTAACACAAATATTTCGTTAAACTTATTAAACATGAAGCAAATCTTGAATTGTTGTGCACATTTGAAAAGGTTTTGTAGTACGGTGGCGAACAGACTTCAAAGGTGAGCTTTTGTAAATTAAGGTCTGGTAGAAATTTCAATAAAAGATATCCTGAAATATGAAGGAAACCGGCTGGTCCTTCATTTGTTGCAGCATTATACTTTTTCTAGACCATAAAGCGTTAATTCAGCTTAGCAACACTTGGTTGAGTCATTTCCCATATAAGGCGATGCGGAGTATTCAGTAACAACTCCTCCCGCTACGTGGAGGCGACTAGTGGTGTATGTTTGCCACTAGTCAACAATACTGAGTTGGATAGTTGTTTCAGTATACGGTATACTAAAACAGTTAGATATCGATAATGTAGCATAAAGAGGTAATTCTAACTCATTTATTCCTACAACGATTACTGTGTTCTCGGGCGCAAATCCCGTGCGAGCCTTCGGAGGTGAGTAGCAAAGGATATTCGGAGTTTAAGTGACCAATCCGAGCGCGCCTTTAAAAGCTAGCCTCTGTTTTAGTGTACACAACAAGCTAATAACCGAAGTACAGTGAAACAATCAGCCTCACTAGAGAGGCAATATCAGGAGTTTAAAAGTTAGTGATCATATATTTTTCTTTTTCCCTAACGAAAGGTAATAAGCTTGATGAGATATAGGCGTTTAAAAATGTCCCTTTCCAATATTGGCACTGTCAGTTTCTCACAAGCCCAGGGTCCGTTTTCTTGTATCATAAGAATTACTACACCCTAACCATCTGCCCCTCGGCTTATGTGCTTTTATACCTTCTTTGGGGCAGAGGGAAGGAGAGAGACCCGAAAGAGCTTGTTTGACTAGCTACTCATTCAAGCTACCCTTACAACTAAGTAACAATCACACTCTCTTCTAAGTAAAGATTTTAAATGAGGCTGACACACACGTTCACCGGTTAAATAGTCGGTGTTTAAGGAAGTAGCTAAAGTCTTGACCTTTTTAAACAATTTACTTAACGCATTCACAAAGAGAATCTGGCCGACCAACAACATATTATGATACTGAGCAAAACCGGAGAACCCGGGGGAAAACCCTCGAATTAATTTGCTTGGCTAAAGAAGTAATTTGTTAAACCTAAATAAATAATGTTTGAAGACAATAATTCGAATTAAATATCAAATTTCCTAAGTTCCGTTAAATACATGCAAAGTTAATTTCAGGTGGTGAATATTGCCAGGCAGGTCCAAAAAAAAAACCCCAAACAAAACTTATCTTAGTTAACCACCACTACCACTTACATGTAAATATAAATGTCACAGTAAGTTGCAAAAGATTACAAATAGTTTATAGTATCTTGTGAGTTATTATTCCTAAACGTCCCATCGATATCCGCCTTCTAGATATCGACCTTCCACTGTCACAAAAATATAAAGGCTAAAGTAAATTGTTATTGCAAAACTTCCCATCGATGTCCGCCTTCTAAATATAGATCATTCATTTAAAATTCATATTCATTCTAAGGGCTAAAATCGTCATTAAAAAGAGGTCGTTTAGTTTGCTCAAGAATATTGAGCTAGCTTTTTAGCTTCCAGAAGTCAACGACACCAGACTGGGGCAGAAAACGTTAAGACACTACGAGAAGTTTTCACCAAATTACCACTCTGAAAAGTTTTCTGGCCGGTTTACAAATCTGTGGTGTCCACTATGATTTTTATGAACATGGTGTCATCCCGGACGTAAGCGTGGTTGTTTAACTCCGACAGGGGGCAGAAGGTAGGACATCCACTTGCTATGTTCGTTTCCCTTCTTGGCCTCTGGAAAGAGGAGCTGTTAGGATCTGGTCGGAATGCGTCAATCACGTGTTCCACATTATCTTGATCCAATAACATGAAGGTAACCTTCTGTCTGAATGGCCAGCGGAGCATCGCGTCATACTGTCCGCGCATCACCACAAAGAAGATTGAGATGTGGGTTCCTTTGCCGATGCCGTCACCATTTAAATAGATACGCCCACACATCTTATAGCCATAACGACTTGTGAAGAAACACGGGCTGTAAAATGACACTTGACCTCCTGACTGTGCATCTCGTCGTCTCCTGGCGAAGTCGGAAATTTTCCACAGTAAGACTCCGTCGTGGCTGGATACTTCTTGTTGTGTCACGTATTCCTCTAAATCGCTCAGGGTGACATTGCGCAAAGCCAGGGAGTGACTCATGGACTCAAACTGCATTTGTAACCTGTTAATCGTCTCTTTGGCAGCTTCCAGTGCTCTCGCTAAAGTGGCAACCTGCCGTTGAAGATCTTCATTCTGTCTGTTCCCTTCGATGATGAGAACTTCAAGGTCAGCTGTTTTAGCTTCTTCATTGCGAAGTCGCCGTGAGAGCTCCATCGTTGATTCTTGACCTATTGCAGATGAATTCGGAATAGGTTCGTTTCGCCCAGCACCACCACTTTCTAACTGGTGTATGCGTTGTTCTTGCCGCAACAACTTGGATTTTAATTCTTCTTTCTCTTTTAACGCGTACTCAATCTGTTCAGCAAATCTCTCCAATTCTTTCTGGGATGGCATATTTACATCTTTATTATTGACGCAGTTTGGTTCCCGAAGGTTACTCCCTACCAAAGAGAGAAGTTGCATGACTGTTTGAAAGAGGAGCATCATATGCTCAGCAACATTTCTCTCGTCATGAACCTTTCTATCTCGCAGCTTCATGGTCTGAAAGGCAAGAGGGTGCAAATCTTTCGTGAAAATCAGCAGAGAAAGATGTTTCAACGATACAATTACCAATCAATAAATTCAACTTCTGGGGTTTGCTCTGTACAATAATCAAATAATGTCAACTAAAAAAAATCTGATATAATGCAGAGAATACACATTTCACCGTTCAAAATCAGTTCGAAACCTCAAAAACATCTTAAAAATGGGTGAAAATTTAAACGTTCACACTTTTTGTTTATTCCCAACACGAACCTTAGATTCAGGACATCCGATTTGCGACCAAGGACAAGGAGCTGTTATCTCTTCACAGTCTCCGTTCATTGGGTCAATATGAGAAGCCATCTAGAAATGGATTCAAAATGTCGAGACAAGCTAAAGTTAATTCAATACTAGCGTAAAAGCTACTGTCATGTGCTAAACATCATGATCCTGTTCAACAGACGCCAATATAACCCAGCAGTGTTTTGGCCCGTCCGTATAAATACTTCCAGAGTAAATAATCTGCACACTTTAACTTGCCAAAATGAGCGCGCAAGTATGCGTATTACGGGTAATCATATGACGTCGTATCATCTGGAACTCCCTGCTTAATTACAGATGACTATTAACGATGACACAACAGGGCTAACAATGGCACGCAGTTAACAGTATCTGGTGAGTTACCAACTCCTAATTTAATTAATTTAATTACCGATCATTATTACTTTTGGGTTGGTTACGCGTATTGAAATGGCAGACAAGCGTATTGATCTAGAAAGAATATACAAATTTCTCGATACTAAGTAGTAATTGCACCATATCTGATCAAAGCACCGTACTTGCTTATTTTCCTTATCCAAAATCGCAGATGGTAGTTCAAGAGAATTACCTTTCTAATCAACCAATTAAGAAAGTATATCTGAGCTTACCTGCCCACGAGGAATGTCCTTCCTATTACACTTTGCGCATTCGATTAGCACCAGAGGGCACTGGGTTTCATGATGTTCCTATCGTGAGAATAACAGAAAGCATCCATTAGACAAAATTACGAAAGCATCACACGTATTACGTACCACCTTATGCTTCTGTCATGATGCTCAGCCACATCGAAGCTTCTGAGAGCTTGGAAAGAAGATCATTGTGTAATTTGGGCACCTCGATTTTTGACGCAAATCTTGGCGAGAAGATGGTAAGGAGGGCTTCCAGCTTACGAAATTGTTCACCAAGAGAGTTTCGACTGGGGCAGGTCTCAGCGACCATTCAAGCATTTTGAATTTCACGATGTCTATTTATTCAAAGGCAAACGAAAAGAATTCATGCGAGACACAGACCAAGACACAGACCAACGTGTAACACTAAATTTTAAAAAGATGATTATAGTCGTTGTTGTTGTCAGGTGAACTTGAGCTTTGTCCACTTCGGTCAGAGAAATACTTTCAAATGACAGTGCATTTTTAGAGACGTTGCAGTGACAGCTTAAATGTCAGGGCGATTCGTCGTATCGACGCACAAGCTAAGGATATCTTCATCGAGAAATGTCCGTTGAGTTGTGCACGTTGGTAGGTTGTTTAATTATTTAGTTGTCTCTGTACGTACCTTTACAACTGCAAAAATGACTTGAGCATGGCAGTACTCACATGTGTCCAACCTATACTGGCACCTTTGTTCCAGATGGTCTGCTAACTGGGCTCTAGTCACCAGTTCGCCGCAATCGGAGTGAACACAGTGTACTTTCACATACTCACAAACAGCTTCATGGGCCTGTAAAGAGGCAGCCACATTAAAAATTACGTTAAAACGATAAGCAGTGGATTTCTTAATTATTGACGTCGAACCTCACGAGGTTTTGTCAGCATTGATAGCTGACAATAGGGGTTGGGGAGGAAAAATACATATTTGAATAAATCACATTGGGAATCAGTAATAAAGCGCATTTCGACTGAGTTTCGCAATACCAAAGTAATCACAATGACCAATCAGGACAAAGGGCAAACGCGGAAAGTCGACATTGATTTAAGTTCCGCAGCATCTGACTGCTTAAGAGGGTAATCAAGTATTTCTTTCGACACTCAAAGGAAAATGGCCCGTAACATAATAAGGTTTACTTCTCGTTTTCTCAGTTCATCCTTCCATTCACAACCGTGCTCATGGTTGACGCAGTGTAACGTCAATGACTGGATTTCTCGCTCAATAAATCGGTCCTGAAAAACCTAGGATACAAACACAGACAAGAAAAAGATATTGAAGATATAGTATCAATCAGAAAAAAGTCAAAAATATGAAATAAGCGATCAGTATCGATCCGATCTGCCTCAAGGCCTTGATAACGCAGGAAATTTTGAGCGCTCTTTCTCTGGTACTTTAGTTCATAATGTTTCAACTCTTATAATTTTCTTAAAATGCGAATGTGATTCTTCAAGTCGTTCTTGTAAGGCTGCTGGTGACTCATGCTTCGGTCTCGTTCAGTGGAGAAGCAGGCGATCATCTCGCTTGATTAAGTCGTTTTCCGCCGTTTGATCTGAGAGCCTGGCAAAATAATTTGATACCTTACTACTGATTTAGTAAGAAAAGTAAAATTCCAAAGATTTTCGGGATTTGAAAGAGTAACTTACCTGTTCTCGCTGAATGATTGTCCCATCTATGACACATTTTCTTGGTCCCTGACTGAAGATTATAAAGAATACAAAGACCTTAGCGAATTCATAGAAATGTAGCCTAAACCACTTTCCTTAAATTAAGAATGTAACCCTGTCCTGGTTGGAAACAGATGCAGGCAAGAGCTTCAGAATGCATCTAGATTTGAAAGCATTAAGATGCATGCTGAGCTAAGAAAGTAACGTTAAAATAAAAACAAACAAACAAAGCTAAAAGCTTCTAGATGCATGATTGACTATCGTACATACTTGTCACAAAGTACAGACTTGATTCAAGTATTAGTTCATGACTTCTACTAAGTACACCGATTGCCATAAATCTACTTCACTTATGTTTTAACTACATATGGTTGGAAACACCAAACATAATCTATAATCAAAGAGTATCGAGTCATCGCAATAATTCCCTATGAAATAGAAACTTACATCTGTATTGAGCCAAATCCACCTTAACCTACCTTAGTATGTCTTCCACACATGCCTTACAGTATCTGTGGCCGCAGGCTATGGTCTGTACTGCCTCTTTGAGGAGCTTGTCACATTTAGGACATAAGTTATCTTTGTCGATTTCAGATCGATCAATTGTCGTTAAGTAGTATCCAGGCATAGAGAATGATTCTTGAATCGTAAATAATCAATATCTATGGGAAAAACATCAGTCAGAATATAAATCATAGACGCGTTTCAATTCAGTTACCTTAGAGTACCATGCAACATTACTTATGCTGAGCAGATTTTACCGCAAGTATCATTTCACCAGTGAAGCAGGTTTTGGTAACTCGTTCCGAGTTATTTAACTGAAGTATGTGCTGAGCTAAGTATCTTTTCACCAGTAAAGCAAGTTTTGGTTACTCGTTCCGTGTTGGTTTAACTGAGGAATTTGCTGAGATATGAAATTTCTTAGCATGATATACATGATACATTTTGAGTAATTTGGCCACAGAGAACTGCGTTTTGAAAAAAAAGTATCAGGTTATTCATTTTGAGGTTGTTGGTTTTTTTTCGAAATGGTCAACCACAGAACATTTCCTTCTGGTTGTGTTCCATTTGTGGCAAATGCATATGTTCGATTATCTGATGCGACTGCTTCCATATCCTTCTCATCAGAGAATGACATAAAGCTCTAAAATCCCTTACGGGTAATACCTGCGGATGTTGTATCATAAATATTTTAAATGCCAACACGAACCAGCGATTAAGCTAAATATGCAAATCAGTTAAGCCATGCGTAGTCAGCATGCCTCTTTGAAATATAAATTAATGTATTTTCTTGGATAAATCTGGAAACTTGCTTTGCTCCACACTTTACACACCTGATTCTTAAATGCTTTCAACCGTTCGGATAGTGAAGTGAAAGTATTTGTATTATCTGTGAAGAAAATATTTGTCTTTAAGAGCTTGAAACGTGACAACCTGGCCTTTGTAAAACATTACATTGTTTTGGCAGTTTCACAAGAAATAAGTCTGTTTCGAAGGAGATCAGAGTGAAAATAGATCTGCGATGCACGTTGCATCAGCCAGTTTACAAAAGAACACTTAATTAAGTACCTGAAACATACTGAAATGAAGGAAATGCAGTGTCATGCTAAACATAAAGATAAATATTGATGCAAAACATTCAACTTATGACACTGATTTCCTTCTAAAGCGTAATTCTACCGCATAAATGAAGTTTCTCGTAAGCCTAGTCGTTCGGGAAATGTCAGATGAGGGAGTCTCGTAAATTTGGCTACACACTATCTTTCGTATAGATCTTCTTTTGACAACTAACTGGTAAATGTAAATGTCGATTACTAAAAGAGAAGATAAACGTTATCTCGTATGAAATATTTTAAATGCTTGAAAGCTATTTTTAAAAAAAATATGCTTGGTGAATATTACACAGTTGTGTACAGTGTATCGACTGCTACCTGGGAAGTGACGAGAAAAACATTCTTATCTCCCGACACACTGCATATTAATACGCAGAAAGTGCACGTTGGGCAAAATTTAAAAATTATATTAAAATAGCTACTTCAAGAGATGTTTTGTGAAGGGATTTCATTTTTAACCTGATACAGCGGGGTGAATTAATTTGATTATATACGATTCACACAGTCAAAGCAAAAACTTGAGAAAGAAACCCTGATGTTCTTTGCCCCATTGTTTGACCGAAATTCTCACTCCTTGCTATTTACGGGGTAAAGAAAAGTTTTTCAATGGTCTCGTTTTTTCATTGTATTCTTGCGATACACGATCGTTTAACTTAGTAAGCGTGCAAATCTGTCCCAAATACTTCATCAGTTCCGATTTACCTTCGAGACCTTTTTGAATGCGGAAGCAGCGGTAGTTCGAAGTTCAGGGAATCCCCCAAACGTTGTTGAACACTATCATCGTGTAACTCGGAGTTAAGTTCTCAGAGTCAACTAGATAGATCTCAAACTTTTCAAACTTCTTCTCTTGACTGTTCTACAACTTATCAACTTATCGTGACGGCAGATTACAAAAAAAACATACATGTGTACGCAACAGCTGATTTTCGCTTTCGAACACAAAATTGAGACATATAGGCATTAGCCATCCATAAACCGTTACTTCAGCTGTATGGTTATTACGAATAAAGTTTCACTCGAAACACGTTGAGTTATAAATTTCGACGGCGAAGTAATCGCAGATTACTGTGAGAGTCTAAAAAATAAGGCTTCCACTGTATTTCACTTACATGTACTTGCACTTGATTTCTGTCCTTATACTTGTGCATAAAGGGGCTGACACTGCGCAAATGATGAATCTCAGGGATGACTTACAGAAAGACATTAATCGCCCACGTTGGTTTACACCAGTTGGCTGATCGAACAGACTAGTAGAAGCTACACCCATTGATAGATATTGATAGATATCAAATTGCTTGGCATCTAAGTTTCTCCTTACCCTGAACCAAGCAGTCGAGGAACACAGTGGTGACTCTCTCCGATTTGTAATGATACCTATGACCCATGTTACGAGCGCCATCTTGGAAGATTTGGCGAGAGAGCTGCTGCTGCGTGACGCGTGGTAACATGACGTGGCAGATTACTTATGCAATGATGCAAGGCGGTATTTTTAGTTAGCAATTTTAATTGATGAATCATAGTGCACGTGACTGAGTCGAAGAACTCCTCGATTTCCTAGTTTCGTCTCACCTTTGCTTGATTTAAACCAACCAAAATGATAATAAAATTTTCCAGTGAGATTATCTTTTTTTTAAGTCCACTTATCCTTCAAAGGCGTCCATTTGAATATCCAAGTTATCAAGTTCGAATATCGATGGGAAAAACCCCACCGGGTTTTCAAATACGAATCAGTGATTCGTGAATACTTCGGTCTGATGATTCTCCTGATTCCCCTTACTTTAGTGACATAACTTTAACAGTCACGCGATCGCTTATGCTTACGCCGTTTGCAGTCGGTAATACAAATCGAACATTGAAAAGTTGATTCCATTTTTCAGCTTCGCTCTACTGATGTTGTCTACTGTCGACTTCTTTTACAATCGTAAAAATACCGTTAAAGGGAAGGTGAGGGTTCGCAAAAGAATCGATTTAATCCTATCGTATTTATGGTTTGCGGAGTAACTGGAGTTCACTCGTGAAGGAGTGAAAAAATGGCTCAATATTATTCGAAGAGATCCTCTCTCGGTTTGATCAAAGAGGCCGAGGCCGGACAAGGTTTTCGTCTACGTAATGGATCTTATTCGAGCTACATTCACATAAAAGAGAGGCTAGATAATACTGTGATGTTCCTAATGTCACGACACCAACATGGATCATTAACTCGATACGCGACAGGTTTGATAATTACAACTAAGGCAAAATATATGTATAATTGTATGCTCACCGTGCAACGGATAAGTAGAATGCTATTCTGTACAACTGATGGTTTCAAATACCCTCCCACGCATGCAGAATCGAGCTTAAATAACTCATTTGTTTATACCATTAAAGGCAAGGCGAGGCCCCCTTGTGAGTATCACAGATTAGTCATAGCTTTAAAGTGACTATGACAAGAAATATTTTTTGCGCAAATATTTAGCTTATCATATTGACAAACCGATTCCGATAAAATAAAAGATTTCAAAAACCTCAAAAAAACTGTGTCCGTGAGTAAGTTTTATTGATTTTACTGCAAGTTGCTCCTTTCCTCAAAGATTGCAGAGACCGAGGCTGTCGCCGTCGAGCCGGTCAAACGGAAAACGAGTGAGTTTATCTGCATGATTCAAGTTAACCTCACATAGAGATTTTAATGGAGAAAATTCTTTATTTTAAGAGCAGCATTGCCATATGACCCATTTTGCTAAATAGCAAATAACTGACATCAGTATTGTAAATTAACATTTGGTATGCATCGACTTTCACACAGCGCTTGGATTCGCTACTATCTAATTCAATAATTTTTTTTCTTTATTTTTCTCGTTTCAGTGCTGTTATCACATTGACATTGCTACTGTTGCTACTTTTAGGGGAGAATTGATGGCTTGTGGGATGTATTTTCGAAAACTTAAGTTAGAAGAATACATGGCGGCCCCTTCGAGCTTGTGTTTATGCCAGCATCAGCTAGAGGTTTCGCATTGTTCACGCAACAGGATATCGGTCAGTTCAGGAAAGGGCTTGAACTTTATCACAAATTATGTACTTCTAGTAAAAAAATACAATGGAAACTACAACTAGTAGGATTTTCATACGATAAGAAAAGCGCAAATGTAGTCACGAGGAAAGACAAGGAGTATGAGTATATCTCAAGCGCGAGAAATAAACCTGAACAATAAGGAGCTCACCATTCTTCGCTTGCGACATGTCAGCCGAAAATAAAGTTGAACAATCTTCTACGGTGAAGGAACAGGCTCCTTAATCAGCATTCTTTTAAGCTCAATTCTTTGGTTATCTTCCGCTGATTTCTTTAGTGGTATGTGTTCGTAACAGCCGCATTTAGAGCCGGCTGACGACATTTAAGAGTAAACTGTCGAGAATCGAAACGCGAGAATCGAAACGTCGAGAATCGAAACGCGTCCATTTGGCCATACAGCTACATCCTTTGAAGTTTTTTGCATAGAAATACGCTGTATATGTTTGTTATTCTTGTAGCTGACATCATTTGGCTCTTCGGCCATGCAAAACGTTCGTCCTCCCTTCTAGATTTCTCCTTTCTCCACTATTGTAGCCACAACGTTTCCACAACGATGTGACATGATCGTTTTGGCCGCACGCTTAATGGGGACACTTTTTGGCCGCCAAATTGCACTTTTAATGCACAAAAAATTGGTCAAGGAGAACTCGCTAGGCGCTGAAATCGGTTATTTCTAATTTTTAATACAGCTATCAGTCAAAAAATGCAAAATTTCGTGTCATAGGCACTTGAAAACCGGGTATTTAATATAATAATGAACTAGTGAAAAACCCTGTTGAGCCAGTTTTGTACCTACCAGTTTTGTACGCTTTCTTTTATTAGAAATGTTTCTCTAGTGCAGCTGAAACATCATATACGAAAACGTTGCCTCAGTTCATGTTGCAGCTCTCTGAATAAGGGAAATCCCCTCAATTCAATAACGAGTCGTCACGCCATTAAAGTTTATTGTTTGAAGCAATCGGTGACTTGCACGATATAGTTTATTTGGTATATCAAAGTATTAACCAGAAACGATTAAACTAGAAGAGCCAGAGCAGTTTCCACACCAAGAACTTTTGCATCTTAAAACTTGTCTTAAGCACAATCAGCACAATCAGCACAATCAGTCTTCCAGCAGTGAGAATCATGTGTTTAAGTGACCTTCCGTCTTTACAAGGCTGCGCGACATGGGAAAACGTGACATAGTTGTCTTTTAGGAAGGACTTTCCAATTCCACTTGAAGAATCCTGCACTTGGGGATAATGCAACCTAGAGTCTTAGGACTGCCAGGTCGTTTATCTAACAGTTACTAAGTCATGACTGCGCGTTAGATAGGAGATGGTAACGAGGCCTGTAGCACCCGAATTAGCTATATCAACCAACCTCATATCCAACAAGTGCGAATTGAATAATTGTTTTATTAAGTTTAAATGTTTTTCAATGCCGTGGGAGCTCACTTAACTTGTTTTCACTCCCCATTTTTTCAAATCAAACCGAACGGAAGTCAATTTTACTTCCAACCGCCCAAACGGCTAAACTTCAGTCATATGACAAGTGTGCCTCGCTTTACGAATGACGCTGAATGAAATTTTATACGGCGTTAACCAGCTAACGCTGGACCTGAATGTTTACACGAAATACAGAAATTTCTGAACCAGGAAACGTTCCAGGCTACGAGATACAAGCATTTCATCGGAAGGCGAAAAAGTTATGCACACTTTGCTCAAGTGGTTTGTTCAACTAAAACCTCGCAATGTAAGTAATAGAGTGCTCAGTGTGAGCGAGTTATGACCGCAAGTTACAAACTTACTAACACAAATATTTCGTTAAACTTATTAAACATGAAGCATATCTTGAAGTGTTGTGCACATTTGAAAAGGTTTTGTAGTACGGTGGCGAACAGACTTCAAAGGTGAGCTTTTGTAAATTAAGGTCTGGTAGAAATTTCAATAAAAGATATCCTGAAATATGAAGGTAACCGGCTGGTCCTTCATTTGTTGCAGCATTATACTTTTTCTAGACCATAAAGCGTTAATTCAGCTTAGCAACACTTGGTTGAGTCATTTCCCATATAAGGCGATGCGGAGTATTCAGTAACAACTCTTCCCGCTACGTGGAGGCGACTAGTGGTATATATTTGCAGAGCTGCGCGCGAAGCGGTGCGGAAATTTCCGCCACTAGTCAACAACACTGAGTTGGATGGTTGTTTTAGTATACAATATACTAACACAGTTAGATAATGTAGCATAAGGAGGTAATTCTAACTCATTTATTCCTACAACGATTACTGTATTCTCGGGCGCAAATCCCGTGTGAGTCTTCGGAGGTGAGTAGCAGAGGATATTCGGAGTTTAAGTGGCCAATCCGAACGCGCTTTTAAAAGCTAGCCACTGTTTTAGTGTACACAACAAGCTAATAACCGAAGTACAGTGAAACAATCAGCCTCACTAGAGAGGCAATATCAGGAGTTTAAAAGTTAGTGATCATATAGGTGTTTAAAAATGTCCCTTTCCAATATTGGCACTGTCAGTTTCTCACCAGCCCAGGGTCTGTTTTCTTGTATCATAAGAATTACTACACCCTAACCATCTGCCCCTCGGCTTATGTGCTTTTATACCTTCTTTGGGGCAGAGGGAAGGAGAGAGACCCGAAAGAGCCTGTTTGAATAGCTGCTCATTCAAGCTACCCTTACAACTAAGTAACAATAACACTCTCTTCTAAGTTAAGATCATTTAAGTTAAGATGAAGCTGACACACAGTCACCTGTTAAATAGTCGGCGTTTAAGGAAGTAGCTAAAGTCTTGACGTTTTTAAACAATTTACTTAACGCATTCACAAAGAGAATCTGGTCGACCAACAACATATTATGATGCTGAGGGAAACCGGAGAACCCGGGGGAAAACCCTCGAATTAATTTAGTTGGCTAAAGAAGTAATTTGTTAAACCTAAATAAATAATCTTTGAAGACAATAATTCGAATTAAATATCAAATTTCCAAAGTTCCGTTAAATACATGCAAAGTTAATTTCAGGTGGTGAATATTGCTAGGCAGGTCCAAAAAAAAACCCCAAACAAAACTTATCGTAGTTAACCACCACTACCACTTACATGTAAATATAAATGTCACAGTAAGTTGCAAAAGATAACAAATAGTTTATAGTATCTTGTAAGTTATTATTCCTAAACGTCGCATCGATATCCGCCTTCTAGATATCGACCTTCCACTGTCACAAAAATATAAAGGCTAAAGTAAATTGTTATGGCAAAACTTCCCATCGATGTCCGCCCTCTAAATATAAATCATTCATTTAAAATTCATATTCATTCTAAGGGCTAAAATCGTCATTAAAAGGGGTCGTTTAGTTTGCTCAAGAGTGTTGAGCTAGCTTTTTAGCCTCCAGAAGTCAACGACACCAGACTTTGGGGCAGAAAACGTTAAGACACTACGAGAAGTTTTCACCAAATTACCACTTTGGAAAGTTTTTTGGTCGGTTTAAAAATCTGTGGTGTCCACTATAATTTTTATGAACATGGTGTCATCCCGGACGTAAGCGTGGTTGTTTAACTCCGACAGGGGGCAGAAGGTAGGACATCCACTTGCTATGTTCGTTTCCCTTCTTGGCCTCTGGAAAGAGGAGCTGTTAGGATCTGGACGGAATACGTCAACCACGTGTTCCACATTATCTTGATCCAGTAACATGAATGTAACCTTCTGTCTGAATGGCCAGCGGAGCATCGCGTCATACTGACCGCGCATCACCACGAAGAAGATTGAGATGTGGGTTCCTTTGCCGATGCCGTCACCATTTAAAGAGATACGCCCACACATCTTATATCCATAACGACTTGTGAAGAAACACGGGCTGTAAAATGACACTTGACCTCCTGACTGTGCATTTCGTCGTCTCTTGGCGAAGTCGGAAATTTTCCACAGTAAGACTCCGTCGTGGCTGGATACTTCTTGTTGTGTCACGTATTCCTCTAAATCGCTCAGAGTGACATTGCGCAAAGCTAGGGAGTGACTCATAGACTCAAACTGCCTTTGTAACCTGTTAATCGTCTCTTTGGCAGCTTCCAGTGCTCTCGCTAAAGTGGCAACCTGCCGTTGAAGATCTTCATTCTGTCTGTTCCCTTCGATGATGAGAACTTCTGGGTCAGCTGTTTTAGCTTCTTCATTATGAATTCTCCGTGAGAGCTCCATCGTTGATTCTTGACCTGTTGCAGATGAATTCGGAATAGGTTCGTTCCGCCCAGCACCACCACTTTCTAACTGGTGTATGCGTTGTTCTTGCCGCAAAAACTTGGATTTTAATTCTTCATTCTCTTTTAACGCGTGCTCGATCTGTTCAGCAAATCTCTCCAGTTCTTTCCGAGATGGCATGTTTACATCTTTAGTATTGACGCAATTTGGTTCACGAAAGTTACTCCCTACCAAAGAGAGAAGTTGCATGACTGTTTGAAAGAGGAGCGTCATATGCCCAGCAACATCTTTCTCGTCATGAGCCTTTCTATCTTGCAGCTTCATGGCCTGAAAGGCAAGAGGGTGCAAATCTTTCGTGAAAATCAGCAGAGAAAAATGTTTCAACGACACAATTATCAATAAATCAATTCAACCTCTTAGGGTTGCTCTGTACAACAATCAAATAAAATCAAGCTAAGAAAAATCTGATATAATACGGAGAATACACATTTCATACAGAAGACCACCGTTCAATATTAATCATTAACGGAGTTCGAAATCTCAAAAACTTCTCTAAATGTATGAAAATTTAAACGTTTATTCCCAACACGAACCATAGATTCAGGACATCCGATTTGCGACCAAGGACAAGGAGCTGTTATCTCTTCACAGTCTCCGTTCATTGGGTCAATATGAGAAGCCATCTGGAAATGGATTCAAAATGTCGAGACAAGCCAAAGTTAATTCATTACTAGCGTAAAAGCTTCTGTCATGTGCTAAACATCATGATCCTGTTCAACAGACGCCAATATAACCCAGCAGTGTTTTGGCCCGTCCGTATAAATACTTCCAGAGTAAATAATCGGCACACTTAAACTTGCCAAAATGAGCGCACAAGTATGCGTATCACGGGTAATCATGACGTCGTATCATCTGGAACTCCCGGCTTAAATACAGATGATTATTAATGACGACACAACAGGGCTAACAATGGCACGCAGTTAACAGTATCTGGTGAGTTACCAACTCATGCATACTTTGTTGCCCAGTAGGACAGTACGATTGGTTACGATTGCAGTAGTCTCATTTGAAATCGCCACAACTCGTTCAGTCAGTTCGATAGGAAAAATCAAGATTAGTACGTACCACAAAGAAGAATAGTTTTTTTTCGCGCGCGCTGATTGGCCAGATCGGAAGTGACAAGCAGGTTTAGCAAGAACCATTCAACTCCACGCGCGTCAAAAGTTTAATTACTGACAATTATTCGGTATATTGATAGAAATAAACAAGCTACTTGTTTCTGTGTGGTGTATACTAAATAATCATTCAACACAATTTACTTTTGGGTTGGTTACGCGTATTGAAATGGTAGACAAGCGCATTGATCTAGAAAGAATATACAAATTTTTCAATACTAATTAATTAGTAATCGCACCATATCTGATCAAAGCACTGTGCTTGTTGATTTTCCTCATCTAAAATCACAGATCGTAGTTCATGAGACTTACCTTTCTTATAAACCAATGAATAAAGTATATCTGCACTTACCTGCCCACGAGGAATGTTCTTCCTGTTGCACTTTGCGCACTTGATTAGCACCGCAGGGCACTGGGTTTCATGATGTTCCTATCGTGAAAATAGTAGAAAGAATCCATTACACAAAATTACGAAAGCGGCACACGTATTACGTACCACCTCATGCTTCTGTCATGATGTTCAGCCGCATCGAAACTTGTGAGAGCTTGGAAAGAAGATCATTGTTTAATTTGAGCACCTCGAACCTTTAAACTTTTGACGCAAATCTTGTCGGAGATGGTAAGGAGGGCTTCGAGCTTACGAAATTGTTCGCTTAGAGAGTTTCGACTGGCACAGGTCTCATCCACTATTCAAGTATTTTGAACATCGAGATGTCTAGTTATTCAGAGGGAAACGAAAATAATTCGTGCGAGACACAGACCAAGGTGTAACACTAATGTTTATAAAAATAATTCTCGTCGTTTTTGTTGTCAGGTGAACTTTAGCTTGGTTCTTTTCAGTCAGGGGAAATACTTTCAAATGACAGTGCATTTTCAGAGACGTTACAATGACAGCTTAAATATCAGGGCGATTTGTCGTATCGACGCACTAGCTGAGGATATCTTTATCGAGAAGTGTCCGTTGGAGTTGAGCATTGGTAGGTTGTTTAATTATTTAGTTATCACTGTACATACCTTTATAACTGCAAAAATGACTTGAGTGTGGCAGTACTCACATGTGTCCAACCTATACTGGCACCTCTGTTCCAGATGGTCTGCTAATTGGGCTCTAGTCACCAGTTCGCCGCAATCCGAGTGAACACAAGGTACTTTCACATACTCACAAACAGCTTCATGGGCCTGTAGAAATTAATTAATAATTACGTTAAAACGATAAGCAGTAGATTTCATAGTCATCGACGTCGAAGCTCACGAGGTTTTGTCAGCATTGATACCTGACAATAGGGGTTGCAGAGGAAAAATGTATATTAGAATTCGAAGTAATCGCATCTTAGTCAGTAATAGAGTTCATTTCGACTGAGTTTTGCAATATCAAAGTAATCACATTGGCCAATCAGGACAAAGGAGGATACCGCAAAGAGCCAATAAGAACACCAACTGAAAACAAGCGAACCCCTGCAGCGCGGGAAAACGCAGACGAGAAATTCAAGAGGGTGATCAAGTATTCCTTGAGAGACTCAACAGTGTAATAAGGTCTACCTCTCGTTTTCTCAGTTCATCCTTCCATTTACAACCGTGCTCGTTGTTGACGCAGTGTAGCGTCAATGACTGAATTTCTCGCTCAACAAATCGGTCTTGGAAAACCTAGGATGCAGAAACAGACAAGAAAAAGATATTGAAGACAGTATCAATCGCAAAAAAGTCAAAAATATAAAATAAGCGCGCAGTATCGATCCGATCTGCCTCAAGGCCTCGTTCACGCGAGTAATTTGAGCGCTCTTTCTCTGGTGCCTCAGTTCATAATGTTTCAGTACTTATTATTTTCTTAAAAATGGATACGTGATTTTCCAAATCGCTCTTGTAAGGCTACTGGCAGTTTGTGCTTCGGTCTCGTTCAATGGAGAAGCAGGCGATCGTCTCGTTTCATGAAGTCGCTTTCCGCCGTTTGTTCTGAGAGCCTAACACAGGTCAGCTAAGTAATGGCTAATAATTTCATACCTTATGACTGATTCGGTAGGACAAGTTAAATTCTAAAGATTTTCGGGATTTATAAGGGCAACTGACCTGTTCTCGCTCAATGAGTGTTCCATCTATGACACATTTTCCTGGTACCTGACTGAAGATTCAAGAGAATACAAAACAGGGCTTACACAAATTCATAGAAATGTAGCTTGAACCACTTTCCTTCAGAAAAATATTGGATAATATAACTCTGTCTGGTAGGGAACAGATGCAGGCAAGAGTTTCAGCATGCATCTAGACTTGAAAGTATTAAGATACATACTGAGCTGAGATAATACTGCTAAAACAAACAAACAAACAAACAAACAAAACTGAAAGCTTCTAACTGCATGATTGACTCTCGTACATGCTTGTCATAAACCACAGACTTAAATAAATTATTTATTAGTTAATGACTTCTGGTGACCTTGTACTCAAACACTGACTGCCATAAATCTCTTTCAGTCTGTTTTACTTACATATGGTTGGCATGACTATCAACGTAATCTAGAAGTAATATCCAGTTATCGCAATTATTTCTTGTAAAATAAAAACTTAGTTCGGCCAGATTCACTTAACCTACCTTAGTATGTCTTCCACACATGCTTTACAATATCTGTGGCCGCAGGCTATGGTCTGTACTGCTTCTTTGAGAAGCTCGTCACATTTAGGACATATGTTCTTTTTGTCGATCCCAGATCGGTCAATTGTCGTTAAGTAGTATCCATGCATAGCAAATGATTCTTGAATCGTAAACAATCAATATCTATAGGAAAATCATCAGTCAGAATCATAGACTCCTTTCAATTCAGTTACCTTAGAGTACCATGCAACATAACTTGTGCTATAAGCAGAAGATTTTACCGCAAGTACTATTACACCAGTAAAGTAGGTTTTAGTGATACGTTCCGTGTTGGTTGAACTGAGATTTGTGCTGAGCAATGAAAATTCTAAGCGTGACATACTTATCGTTAGACAAGCAAGTCTTGCAAAAAAAGTTTTCTTAAGGTGAGGCCGCAACCAGACATAACTTGCATAATTTAGTAATTTGGCCACAGAGAATCGCACTTGTTTTACATATCTGCAGAAACAACACAATAAAAAGAGAGTCAAATCGCCTATTGTCGATTATAATATATATATATATATATATATATATATATATATGAAAGAATCGAAGAGGACGCATCGATTCTCTGTTACTCTGAGTTTCACGCCTAAGCGCTCGTCAGACAGAACTTTCTGAATTTTTCAGCTTCGCTCTACTGATGTTGTCTACTGTCGACTTCTTTTACAATCGTAAAAATACCGTTAAAGGGAAGGTGAGGGTTCGCAAAAGAATCGATTTAATCCTATCGTATTTATGGTTTGCGGAGTAACTGGAGTTCACTCGTGAAGGAGTGAAAAAATGGCTCAATATTATTCGAAGAGATCCTCTCTCGGTTTGATCAAAGAGGCCGAGGCCGGACAAGGTTTTCGTCTACGTAATGGATCTTATTCGAGCTACATTCACATAAAAGAGAGGCTAGATAATACTGTGATGTTACTGATGTCACGACACCAACATGGATCATTAACTCGATACACGACAGGTTTGATAATTACAACTATGGCAAAATATATGTATAATTGTATACTCACCGTGCAACGGATAAGTAGAATGCTATTCTGTACTAGTGATGGTTATAAATACCCTCCCACGCATGCAGAATCGAGCTTAAATGAGCTCTTAGTCTATACCATTAAAGGCAAAGGCGAGGCCCCCTTGTGAGTATCACAGATTAGTCATAGCTTTAAAGTGACTATGACAAGAAATATTTTTTGCGCAAATATTTAGCTTATCATATTGACAAACCGATTCCAATAAAATGAAAGATTTCAAAAACCTCAAAAAACTGTGTCCGTGAGTAAGTTTTATTGATTTTACTGCAAGTATCTAATCATCATTATCTAATTCAATAATTTTTTTTCTTTATTTTTCTCGTTGCATTGCTGTTATCACATTGACATTGCTACTGTTGCTACTTTTAGGGGAGAATTGATGGCTTGTGGGATGTATTTTCGAAAACTTAAGTTAGAAGAATACATGGCGGCCCCTTCGAGCTTGTGTTTATGCCAGCATCAGCTAGAGGTTTCGCATTGTTCACGCAACAGGATATCGGTCAGTTTAGTTTTGTATACAGAAATACGCTGTATATGTTTGTTATTCTTGTAGCTGACATCATTTGGCTCTTCGGCCATGCAAAACGTTCGTCCTCCCTTCTAGATTTCTCCTTTCTCCACTATTGTAGCCACGTGTCTTCACAGTTTTCTATGTCACAACGATGTGACATGATCGTTTTGGCCGCGCGCTTAATGGGGACACTTTTTGGCCGCCAAATTGCACTTTTAATGCACAGAAAAATGATCAAGGAGAACTCGCTAGGCGCTGAAATCGGTTATTTCTAATTTTTAATACAGCTATCAGTCAAAAAATGCAAAATTTCGTGTCATAGGCACTTTAAAACCGGGTATTTAATATAATAATGAACTAATGAAAAACCCTGTTGAACCAGTTTTGTACCTACCAGTTTTGTACGCTTTCTTCTAATAGAAATGTTTCTCTAGTGCAGCTGAAACATCATGTACGAAAACGTTGCCTCAGTTCATGTTGCAGCTTTCTGAATAAGGGAAATCCCCTCAATTCAATAACGACGAGTCGTCACGCCATTAAAGTTTATTGTTTGAAGCAATCGGTGACTTGCACGATATAATTTATTTGGTATATCAAAGTATTAACCAGAAACGATTACACTAGAAGATTGCATCTTAAAATAATGATAATATTATATTAATAAATAATAATGCATCTTATTTTGCATCTTAAAACTTGTCTTAAGTTTACAGCACAATCAGTCTTCCAGCAGTGAGAATCATGTGTTTAAGCGACCTTTCGTCTTTATAAGGCTGCGCGACATGGGAAAACGTGACTAGCTGTCTTTTAGGAAGGACTTTCCTATTCCACTTGAGGAATCCTGCATTTGGGGATAATGCAACCTAGAGTCTTAGGACTGCCAGGTTGTTTATCTAACAGTTACTAGGTCATGACTGCGCGTTAGACAGGAGATGGTAACGAGGCGTGTAGCACCCGAATTAGCTATATCAACCAACCTCATATCCAACAAGTGCGAATTGAATAACTGTTGTATTAAGTTTAAATGTTTTCTTCAATGCCGTGGGAGCTTACGTAACTTGTGTTCACTCCCCATTTTTTTCAAATCAAACCGACCATGATAATGTCCCTCGCTTAACGAATGACGCTGTAAAATTTTACACAGTGATACCCAGCTAACGCTGGACCTGAATGTTTACACGAAATACAGATCTTTCTGATCCAAGAGAGGTTCCAGGTTACAAGATACAAGCATTTCATCGGAAAGCGAAAAAGTTGTGCACACTTTGCTCAAGTGGTTTGTTTAACTAAAACCTCGCAATGTAAGTAATAGAGCAGTCCGTGTGGGCGAGTTACGACCGCAAGTTACAAACTTACTGACACAAGTATTTCGTTAAACTTATTAAACATGAAGCATGTCTTGAAGTGTTGTGCACATTTGAAAATGTTTTGTACTACGGTGGCGAACAGACTTCAAAGGTGCGCTTTTGTAACTTAAGGTCTGGTAAAAATTTCAACAAATGATATCCTGAAATATGAAGGTAACGGGCTGGTCCAACATTTGTTGCAGCATTATACTTTTTCTAGACCATAAAGCGTTAATGACAAGTGCAAACTGAACTTCCTAGATAAAACTTCAAAGATGTATACCACTCAATAAGGTTATATCGTTCTTTATGGCTTTTACCCTTGAGATGCCTTTGACTTGTATTTGTTAACTCTGTTTCCAATGCACAGGAGAAGTGTTTGCTTTCAGCCAAATGTAAATTCAGTTTAGCAACACTTGGTTGAGTCATTTCCCATATAAGGCGATGCGGAGTATTCAGTAACAACTCCTCCCGCTACGTGGAGGCGACTAGTGGTGTATATTTGCAGAGCTGCGCGCGAAGCGGTGAGGACATTTCCGTCACTAACCAACCGAGTTGGATGGTTGTTTTAGTATACGGTATACTAAAACAATTAGATAATGAGGCGTAAAGAGGTAATTCTAACTCATTTATTCCTACAACGATTACTGTATTCTCGGGCGCAAATTCCGTACGAGTCTTCGAAGGTGAGTAGCAGAGGATATTCGGAGTTTAAGTGGCCAATCCGAGCGCGCCTTTTAAAGCTAGCCACTGTTTTAGTGTACACAACAAGCTAATAACCAAAGTACAGTGAAACAATCAGCCTCACTGAGGAGGCAATATCAGGAGTTTAAAAGTTAGTGATTATATATTTTTCTTTTCCGTTAACGAAGGGTAATAAGCTTGATGAGATATAGGCGTTTAAAAATGTCCCTTTCCAATACTGGCACTGTCAGTTTCTCACAAGCCCAGGGTCCGTTTTCTTGTATCATAAGAATTTCTACACCCTAACCATCAGCTCAAGATCGTGTTTTGCTCTAACAAAGGGCTAACGCTCGAAACGTCAGCTTTGAAACTCTTAACGATGGCCAAATTACGGTATTAACCCAATTGAAAATACCAAATTCATTTGTCTTTTTGTGGCTGATGTTGCAACAGCTACGTCTGCCTCTCGGCTTATGTGCTCCTATACCCTCTTTGGGGCAGAGGGAAGGAGAGAGACCCGAAAGAGCCTGTGTGAATAGCTACTCATTCAAGCTACCCTTACAACTAAGTAACAATCATACTCTCTTCTAAGTTAAGATCTTAAATGAAGCTGACACAAATGGTCACCTGTTAAATAGTCGACGTTTAAGGAAGTAGCTAAAGTCTTGACGTTTTTAAACAATTTACTTGACGCATTCACTAAATAATCTAGTCGACCAACAACATATTGTGATGTTGAGCAAAACCGGAGAACCCGGGGGAAAACCCTCGAATTAATTTAGTTGGCTAAAGAAGTAATTTGTTAAACCTAAATAAATAATGTTTGAAGACAATAACTCGAATTAAATATCAAATTTCCAAAGTTCCGTTAAATACCTGCAAAGTTAATTTCAGGAGATGAATATTGCCAGGCAGGTCCAAAAAAAAACCCCAAACAAAACCTATCTTAGTTAACCACCACTACCACTTACATGTAAATATAAATGTCACAGTAAGTTGCAAAAGATTACAAACAGTTTATAATCTTGCAAGTTATTATTCCTAAACGTCCCATCGATATCCACCTTCTAGATATCGACCTTCCACTGCTACAAAAATATAAAGGCTAAAGTAAATTGTTATTGCAAAACTTCCCATTGATGTCCACTTTCTAAATATAGATCATTCATTTAAAATTCATATTCATTCTAAGGGCTTAAATCGTCATTAAAAGGGGTCGTTTAGTTTGCTCGAGAATATTGAGCTAGCTTTTTAGCTTCCAGAAGTCAACGACACCAGACTTTGGGGCAGAAAATGTTCAGACACTACGAGAAGTTTTCACCAAATTACCACTCTGAAAAGTTTTCTGGCCGGTTTACAAATCTGTGGTGTCCACTATAATTTTTATGAACATGGTGTCATCCCGGACGTAAGCGTGGTTGCTTAACTCCGACAGGGGGCAGAAGGTAGGACATCCACTTGCTATGTTACAAACAAAAACATACATGCAATTATACGCAATGGCTGATTCTCACTTTCGCACGCACAAATTGAGATAGATCACATCAGCCATCCATATACCGTTACTTCAGCTGTATGATTGTTACGAATTAAGTTTCATTCGAAATACGTCAAGTTATAAATTTTGACGGTAAAGTGATAGCAGATTACTGCGAGAGTCTAAATAAAAAAAATGGCTTCCACTGTATTTCACTTACATGTACTGGCACTTGATTTCTGTCCTTATACTTGCACGTCAAGGGGGCTTACACTGCGAAAATGATGAATCTTTTGGATGACTCACAGACAAATATGAATCGTCCACAATGGTAGGTTCTCGCCATGTGCCGAAAAGACCAGAGAAGGCTGACCCATTGTCAAAACTGGAAACCGTAGGGGATCAATTGTTCTGCCTGCAAATCTGCTTCACCTTTCCGATTTTTTCTGGTACCTACGGCCTAAATTGCGACCGCCATCTTTGAATAGTTTTGCTAGAGAACTGATACTAAGTGACATAAGACACAATGACGTAACAAAATACTCATGCAATGACGCAATGCGGTACTTTTAGTTAACAAAATTAATTGATGAATCATAATGCATGCACAAAGATTTCAAATGCACGATTTGCACGATCATCATCATGTGACTGAGTCAAAGAACTCGATTTCAAGGTTTTTTTTTCACCTTCGCTTAATTTAAACCAACCAAAATGATAACAATTGATGAAAATTTGATTCAGCTTTGTTCTACTGATATTGTCTACTGTCGATCAACTTCTTATTCATTCGTGAAAATACTGCCAAAGGGAATCGAAGATGAGGGTTCCGTAAAATTCGATTTAAACTTATCGTATTTATAGTTTGCGGTGTAACTGGAGATAACTCGTAAAGAAGTAAAAAAATGGGTCAATATTATTTGAAGAGAGCCTCTCTCGGTTTAATCAAAGAGATCAGACATGGTTTTTGTCTAAGAAAGGTATCTTATTCGAGTTTCATTCACATAAAAGATAAGCCTGATAATACCGTGAGGTTCCTGACTTCACGATACTAGAAAGTACATAGATCATTAACTCAATACGCGACAGGTTTGATAATTACAACTCAGGCAAAAAAAAAAATATATATATATGTATTTGTATACTCACCGTGCAAAGGAGAAGTAGAATACTATCCTCCACTTGTAATAGTTTCAAATACCCTCCCGCACATGCAGAATCGAGCTTAAATGAGTTCATAGTTATGCTATTACAGGCATAGGCGAGGCCTCACGTGAGTATCAAGGATTAGTCACCTTTATAACCGCAAATTTATTTAAACATTGAACTTGTAAATAACCCTGTTCAACCAGTTTTGTACCTACATATAGTGCGGTTTCTCTTTATAGAAATGTTTCGTTAGTGGAACTGTCACATCAAGTACGCAAACATTGCCTCAGTTCATATTGCAGCTCTCTGAATAAGGGAAATCCCCACTATTCAATGATGAGTCGTCACGCTATCAAAATTTATTCTTTAAAGCAATCAGTGACACAGGGATGGTACGTTTTTTCTTGGGGGAGGGCTGGGGCCTCAGAGGGGAGGGTCATCAGTGAAAGCGAGCACCCAAAGGGGAGGGTCATGCCTTTCTGTAAACTATTCAAAGGGAGGGTCACACACCTTTGAGTGTGGCTCAAAGGTGACTAATTTGAGTCAGAGGCTGGCTGAATTTTGTTCTGACTGTCCTGCACGATAAAAGTCAAAATCTCACTGCCAGTATCTGCCTTCGACACCTTTTTTTTCATCTTCCTTTCCTTTAAATGCAGTATGGTGGTGATTAATATAAAGTTCAAGTCAACCTACTCTAATAAGGGGTGACAACTGGTTTCTGTGATAGAGATCTTCCCGGTCAATGTCATTGTTTTCTTGTTGCTTTCTTTCTGCACGCTTCCTGTCATTACCTATTCGCCGCTTATCTTTTCTCATTTCAATGTCTGCTAGATGTTCAGTAAAATATGCAACAAACTTTTCAGAAACACTGTATTTTTCAGAAAACTCTCTGACTGCTTTTTTATCCCTTGCTTTGAGCTTACCTTCTTGAAACATCTGATTTATTTAAGCTCGAAGCTGATAGTCATCAAGTTTGCAGCGGAAAGTTTTTTTTTAATCGGGATAGGGTCGTGGAGTTGGTGTAGCTGGAGAAGGACTTACAAAGTCTCAAAGTTTATAATTCTTTACTCAAACTTCAGCTATAAAACATAAATATCCCACACTCATTTTTCGCATTTTCTTGTTTCAGCTCGCACACCTTCAATATCGAGATGTATTTGTATTCAAACTTTTTGCGTTCACAAGCGAAACGTTCTGAGGTTTCTACGGCATGGAACCTACCTTGTAGTAGTGAGGGGAGGGTCGCACTTTTGTCAGTCACTTAAAGGTAAGGCCTCACGTGGCTTTTGAATTAAACGTAAGGGAGGGCCGACACTTTTTCCGAAAAAAATACCAAAATTCTCCACCCTCCCTTCTCCCCCCAAGAAAAAACGCACCTTCCCTTATACACTAAAATTTATTTGGTGTGTCATAATATTAACTAAAAATGATTAATCTAGAAGAGCTCGAGCAGTTTTTGAACCAACAACGTTTGCAACTTACAACTTGTCTAAAGTTAACCGCACAATGAGTCTTCCAGCCGACAGTCAGAATTATGTGTTTAAGTGACCTTTCGTCTCTGCTGGGATGTGTGACAAGAGGAAAACGTGGCATTTGTGACCGCTGTTAACTAAGAGTAAGCAATGTGTTCACCCACTTAAATATATTGCTTCCTTCTAATTTTTTCTTTTTTCTATTATTATTTATTATTTTTGTCACACTGTTTAATCGATTCTAGATTTTTCCACTGCGAATCGACGTTTGGAAAATAGTCTTCTACTTTTTAGAATTTCCGAAGTTCTGTCTTGTAAACTAAGGTTTAAAGGTTCTGCAGATGCCATTAATCATAATTCAAATGTCTGTAGTGTCAATCATGACCTTAAGGAACATGGTATCATCTCGCACGTAAGCGTGGTTGTTTAACTCCGATAGATGGCAAAAAGTTGGGCAACCACTGGCGATGTTCATTTCTCTCCTTGGTCGTTGGAAGGAATCGCTGCTTGGGTCTGGTCTGAAGGCGTCGATAACATGTTCAACGTTATCCTGATCCAACAACATGAAAGTGACCTTCTGTCTGAAAGGCCAGCGGAGAAGTGCATCATACGGACCGCGCATAACCACAAAGAACAACGAGATGTATGTTCCTTTACCCATACCATCTCCGTTTAGATAAAGGCGCACACACATCTTGTATCCATAGCTACTAGCGTAAAAAGGTGGACTGCAGAGAGACACTCGTCTGCCGCTGAGTGCATCTTGCTTTTTTCTGGCGAAGTCGGAGATTTTCCAAAGCAGGATGCCATTGTGACTAGAGACCTCCTTCTGTTTGACTTGTTCCTCCAAATCAGCCAGAAGCACATTATGCAGGCCCAGGGTGTGCTCTATGGACTCGAGACGTCGCTGTATCTTCGAAACCACTTCCTTGAATTTCTCGTTTTCTCTCTTCAACCCGTTGATCTGTCGCCCAAGATCTTCGTCATTTTTGTTTCCTTCAATCATAAACACCTCCAGGTCAGCAATTTTGGCTGCTTGGTCGCTCACTTTTGTGGAGAGTTCGAGCTGCTCATTACAATCGCTTGAGTCACCAAGCAGTCTGAAATGATCCACAGCTTTCTCCAGGTTTTTGATGCGAGATTCTTGTTGGTCACCTCTTGATTTAAGTGCATCAGTCTCTACTAATGCTGCCCCTATCTGCTTAATCGAGTGGTCCAGTTGTTTTTCAATGGGAACAATTAAGTCATTGATGTTGCTTGAAGATGCAGAATTCAAAGTTCTGCTAACAAGAGATGACAGTTTTGTAAAGTGCTGCAGCAAATAAGTCATGTGTTCTGGTGTGTATTCTTTGAGGTGATCCTTTCTTTCATTAAAACGCATAGGCTGAATGAAAAACAAACAAACAAAAAGAGTGTATATATATAAGCCTGACTGAATTCGTTGTGGCATGCTTTCCCTCCAAGATTTCTATGAAATGCAGTCAGAATATTTTCACCATAAAAAGCAAAGAGTGTCGTTCAGTGTTACGTATTCATGTACAAGTCATAATTCTCACTGACAGAACCCGGGGATGCATTGTTAACCCATCCAAAGGGAAAATAAATACTCCTTGTCGCTCATGTCACTGAAACCGAGATAACTACGACTGTACTACCATGCAGAATGTACCACTGGCCTCATTTGTGAGATTGCTGCTCCACCTTACAAGAGGCATTAGATTTGATTAATATAGAGGCAATGAGCAGGCTCTTTGTTACCTTTATTTCCTTGCAGCCCATCGCTGCAAATGGACACACTGTTTTCATTTCTTGACAGTCCCCAACTACTGAGTCCAAGTGGACAGAGACCTGCACAACATGCGAAGCGATATAGCTAGTTAAAATCACAAAGTGATTGAAAAATACAGATCAAAACTTGCCCATGAGGACAAGATTTCTTGTTTAAGAGAGAAACAAGAACAAAATTAACCGCAGTGAATAATACATGTAAGAACGAAGGAAAATATGACGATCAGATGAGAAATTAAAAGGAAACAAGCAAACAGCTTGACACATGGTACAAATGTTTGCAATCCTTAATTGCTCTCTATAACTCTTTGGCTCAATATTGACTTGGAAAACCCTTTTACCCGTATATACCTGACAGCGAGGAATATCTTCCTTTCCACATTCAGGGCAACTCTGAGGATAACTTGGACAGTCAGTTTGATGATGGTCCTGAGAATAAAGATAAGAAAGCAACAATAAAGTTAAATCTTCTTTTCTTTAGATATGCGTGTGATTGTATTTAGGGAAACATCGCATTTGATTTGATCATTAACGAGGTGTAAATCCAGAGACAGACTGTAGGAGCTGTAGGCTACCTTTACGGGTTGACGTAATTATCATTACTCCAACTTGTTTTTCATCATGTTATTCACAATAGAAATTAAACAATGTGCATTAGATTCAAATGTAACCAAATATAACCTGGCAAATGAATGTAGGGGGTAGGTTTTTAAAGAAACTGTGGTGCTTCGTCGGAGGGGGAGTATAACAAGATAATTAAGTATTATCAACTGAGTTGATAACATAAATTGGGTGTCAGCTTTGAAACTCTTTACGGGGGGCCAATTTATGTTATCACCTCAGTTGATGTCATTAAATAATTCCCAAATATTACCTAGGTTTCTCTTATGAAACTTCTTAAAAAGTTGCGTCATTTTTCTAGGTCAAATTAGTATCCAAACCTCAACTCCCAACACTATTGGAATAATATAATTTGCATGATATTTACCGTCATATCAATGACCAAGATGCGTTTTCCACAATAGGTGCACAGCTCCTCCCTGTATCTGCAATCGTTTTTAAGATGACTGGCGAGGTCTGATCTTTGAACCATAGTTCCACAGTTGGAGTGTAAGCATGGAATTTCAACAAACTCACAAGTGTGGTCATGATCCTAGGTAAAAATAACGAATTGGTTTGTATCTAAATGTAAACGCAAGTCAGCCAATGCAAATATGTAGACTGTGTAATAAAAGTCTGTGGTCCTTTTATGCCTTTGACTGAACGTTGCGTAGACTAGACCTCTTAGTTAGCGTCTGATGTAAGGACAAGAGAGTGGCTCGTGCAAGGCTCTCATTCAAAAGAGACGAGCAAGAAAGCAGGCGAGCAAAACTTATCATGGGTAGTGGGAATAAGTGAGAAATCTCTTCAAACTACCATTCCTCCCGCCCCCTCCCCTTTCGCTCGTCCAGACTGTTCACTTTTACTCATAGATAGAATGCTTGAGTAAGCTAAAACGAAGAGATAAGCTTAAGCTATTTAATTGATCACCGTCATAAAATGTTTCATTTTTTCATTTTTTCCATCAACTGTCTTAATTCTTGGTTGAAAGTGTTTTTAGCAGAACCGGAACCGGAACTGTAAAATCAAAGCGTCACTGTAAAATCAAAGCATCACTGTAAGTTTTAATAATACCTGACGGTGCTTTAGCTGGCCGATCCACTGGCACCCTTTCTCGAAACGGGGACAATGAAGCACTAGTTGGAGGATTTCGCGCTCCACAAATTTATCAGGGAAGACCTGTATTAGATTGACATAGGTAATTGAAACTTGAATGCATTCATACATCGGCGAGCACCTTTTAGTAAACCTATTAATAAATCTGTTAATCATGTTAAATCCATCTGTCTTCCTACTTCTACTTCTTCCTACCAGTGAATCAGAGAGTTTTCAAAGGCCTGGTAAACAACGATGAAAGAGTTAATTCCTCGACATAAAGTAAATTGACAGAATGCAACTCCTGATTGAGTTGCCAATTGAAAATTGGCACCCAGACCTTCTCAATTTTCTGGCGGAAACCCTGCAATTAACTCGAATCACTATCCAAGTGTAAGAGGTAAACACCAACACCCTGGTCATTGCAACTCCCACTAAAATGGTACTTAGAACTTTTCGTTACATTTTGGGATAATATTTGGAAGCGCATCGTTACTCAATTTTTTGTACCTTTCTATGATATAGTAAAATTCCGGATTCATGAACGAACCTCTCTGATTAAGAACTTCCAATTCAAAGGTTAAATTGAAAGAGTCTCCTATGTAAAACCACTCCATACATAAACTATCGGGGGACATGCAAAAACAAAGAATATCATATTGGAAGTTAAGGACACATTTGCAGACTTGATTGCATGTATCAGGTACCGGTACCGGTGTTTCTTTGTGTTCCACCCATGCTTGAGCTTGAAGCTAAAGTCACAGCGTTATTTTTTATTAATCAAATAATTACCAGACAAACCCTCTCTCTACCAGCAATTCCATCCGTATGTGATGCCCTCAAAATACAAGCCTCGTTTCGAACACCTTTAATGAATATATGTCCTGGGGCCGAGTTCCATGATTCTCGGAAATTTACGGTTGGTAGTCTTTACCCTTACAGACCGGTTTCTGATCTTTATCGTGACTGTAAACTGATATAATAAACTCTTACCTCTTCTTCCCTTAGCAAGGTACCATCCTCAACACACTTCCTCTCCGAATTTTCCTTACTGCAATCAAGAAACGGTAACACAGTGTTTAACATTACAAATGACCTTAAACCTCCCTTTATTCGGTGGTAAACCTCTTAAATCCGCGAGTGTATGGAGTCATAATTTGTTATCATATTAAAAGTATATAGTTAAGTTATGAGTCACACTTTAACGCGCTCAATTTACATTTTCTTGCTAAGATACAGTCAGTTTAGGTGCTTGGAGACCCCATTTTTCTAAGGTTACCCCGAACTCACTTACATGAGGCAAATGTCGACAAGCAATGAATATTAATTCAGATGAGGGTAAAAGTTTTAGTTTCAAACCATAGTTTTGGTTTCGAGCCAGCCCTTTCTTAAAGGGATCAGAAAATAATTCAGGCTTCAGAATATAGGTCTATGTCAGTGCTTCAGTAAATTAGGCACCTTCCAAATTTTTAGCAACAGACACTAGAAAAAAGCGTGTTTCTCAAACAGCCGTGTTTCGTTTTTATTATTTAGGTTCTGTTACTGAGGCGTTTAAGCTTGAACATACATTATGTACACCAGACTCTCTCTGAAAGTTCTCCATCCCTTCTTTAAAGGAAATTTTTTTTATAATCATCATTATGTAAAAAATTATTATCAATATCCTAACCGCCATGCACAACTCTTAATACCACTAGGCGAGAGTACAAAGCAATATTTCTAACAGCATTTCCTGCTGATCACATTTACATCAGCCAGTCTGAATATCATGTTTACCGATGACCGTTTGGTTCGAATGAGAAATAAAAAGAAAGAAGCATAACCCATAGAAAATGTCAGTAACGTAGGCAATTAAAGCAAAATTCTATGCAAGTATATGCATATAAAATACCTCAGAACTGAGTCTATGCATCGTCTACAGTAGCGATGTCCGCAAGACGTCTGCTTCGGTTCTTGTAACAGATCATTGCACTTGGTACACAAATGTTTTGGATCAGTCTTGTCTCGGTCAGTTTCAGCGAGTCGATAACCCATTACTGTCCCTCGTTAACTGAAACAGAATCCGCAAATAAATCTTCAAATAATTGTTATATAACTCGGTAAAAGTACCTTGCATTCGCAGCTTATACGCATTTATTTTCACTATCGATTTTATAATCAGTGCCAGTCCAGTGCTAAATCCGGATACTTATGAAACCTACGTAATATCAGAAGTAAATAATTTCACTAAAATAGAAAAATACTCCCAAATTAGGTATTGGGAATTTTCCCGGAAACGTCACTTTTAATATATTTAGTAAGAAGAGATTTTTGTTCTTTCTGTACTGTCGTCCATTATTCTGAATAGATTTTTATGAAATCTATCCCAAAATTGAGTAAGCGAAACACGATTGGTACCCAAAATAAGTACAACTTGTTTTGGTCCATTTTAAATACCAACAGTTGGTTAAAAAGGCTTTAGTCAAGCGCATGAAACTTATCATTATTAGCTTAACTAAACACTATGGTTGAGATCACTTTACTTCCGGATGTCTTTCGGGGCTTACAATTAGTCCTACAGCTTCCTGCTAAAGAAGATACGAGTGGCATTTGCACTAAAGTTAAAGTTTGCTTTTTCGGAAGAGTCAATATAGTCAGAGCGATAACTACCTTTAACAAATAACTCAGTGCGAAACGAAATACGCAGCGCTTATGGGGCATGAACTAAAAACGTAGAAGGCACGATCAAACATGCTTGTTTTGCGCCTAACATTTCGGCTGAGTTTGTGAGGCTGTTCAAAGAGTCGAGGAATTAATTCTCTTACCATCGAAATAAAGAGATCTTCATTGATTTACTTTCAAAAGGCTGCTTAATTTAAAAAATATATAGGACACCAGAAATGTACTCCTTACAAATTCGCTACGATCTATCGAGCGTGGGAATAGAGTATGACGACTTTTTGAAGTTAACTTGAGTATAGAATACTTGCATAAGAACGTACCTAAGTATTGAAACTTTCTCTTCCAATTAGGATTGAGTCCGTTGGGTCTTCAGATCTGTTTGTACCATACACTAACGGGTTAGTAAGACACATTATACATATATTGTTTAGTGGAACAAGGGAGATTCCCTAGTTAATATGCTATTTTTTTCATTTGGCTAATAATCGTTCTTCTTTAGACCTGATCTAGCACTTCCTGTTTACAGCTAAATCTTTGCTCCTAGTGCAAAAAAACTCCCAGTTTATCAGCCCTTGTTACGGGTACTATACAAAACTTGCTTTTGACGTTTTCTTTTTAATCTGCACGTGTTGCTGTGAAATTCCCCGTGTCACTAAGGGTATCGATGCCTTTTCCCCGATGACTATTGTTGATTCGCAGATCACGTCTTTTCAGAGAGTCTGGTGGTCAGCTTCAAGTTATTAGTGTTCATTCCTATTCAGAACTGTCCAAATGATATCTTCTTCGTGTTAAAATACCACTCTGGCTATTGTCCTGACCTTCTGTTCAGTTGATACCAGGTTGCGCCACGTAGCTTTTGCTATGAATTAATAGTATAGTCGACTATGCCTTAAATAAGGGGGGTAAGTTTCTAAAGAAACTTTGGTGCTACATTCAGAATGCAATTATAACAGGGAGAGTATAGTTTTGTTTTCAAGGTTTTATTTGTCACCGCTATACTATTTAAATTTGCCCATAAGGCACGAGCCAAGTTGTCTCTCATTTCTATGGCTTTTGTAAAACAAATATGTCGATTTACATAGACAGAACTTTATGTTTTACTTAGATTGATAACTGGGGTGCACTAGGACCCGGTTACATCATGTTCTTTATGCATGTAGATTAACTACGTAATAAATGAAGCTTTCCTCTTAGCCTGATTTGAAACTAAAACTATGACTACATGTGGATTTGACGCGTTATTCCTTATGACGATTTAATTGTTGCCACTTTATATACGAACTATTCCCTTAAGAAATCAAAGAGAAAATTTTATTATTGCTAGGTTAACGAGGGCTGCACTCAAATAACGTCATACATTCCGAAATGGCGCCACGCGAGATATCGAAACATTTGTCATCAATTTTTTGAGTGTGGTGCTTTTTTCCCAGTATCTGGAGCTATTCCGCCTCCTTAAGTCTGTTCAGCCGCCTCCTGTAGTAAAGCAAATCTGCCCCCACCCTTACGAATTCGCTCTAAAATCTTTCAACAGTTTTTTTTTTTGATTGACTCAAAAGTAGAAAAAAATGCATTTTGATTTCGACAGAAAAAGAATATATTCTTAACGGTAAGGAAACGAATTAAAAGATTTGGGGGCAAACTGGTGAAGGTGGGGGCGAACGTTTTGTACTTCAGGGGGGAAGGGGGGGGGGCGAACTTGCAATGCCGCGAAACCCCCATAAACCTTCTTTTTTATTGTCTCAGTAACACCCTAATCCTTTTAGCAGGCAAAGGCCTGCTTCACGATCAGCACATTTCTGCATTACAAGTTTCATGACTTGTAATTGAGCTTTTCGTGTGTTCCTGTGCAAATTAATCTACCATTTGATCGTCTTTCGTGCTCATCAGTGTTGAAGTGTCCTACAATGTATAAACACATTTCAAGAATAGTAGCCTAGGTAAACAGCCAATTTCCCAAAAGTAATAGTTGGAATGCTATATAAGGAAAGTCGAAATCACCAAGTCTATAAAAGAATGGAATTCAATCGTCTCAGATAGCAATTCTTGGAAGTCTGCTAATGGCAACTACTAAAAGGGTTAATGGGAAAGAATCGAAAAAGAATACGAAGATCCCCACTATTTAGCTACAAAAGATTAGTGTTTCTATTGCGCTTTATCTCTGACTCCTTCTAAATGTAGAACTTCTAGGCTTACGTTTTTACGTTTTTTTCTTCAGTAAGGTATCATTTTTTTCTCAAAATCATAAATGTTAACAAAACATAAAAAAACATATTGAAAATTTGCATTTCACTGCGGCTAAATTTTTCATAGGCAATATATATACCTTTTACAGGTCAGAGCAGTCAACTATAACTTTGATGAACATAACTTCATCCTTGATATAAGCATGTTTGTTCAATTCCGTCAGCGGAAAGAACAAGGGACAACCGCTGGCGATGTTTGTTTCTCTTCGTGGTCGGTGGAAGGATGAACTATTCGGATCAGGTCTGAACGCGTCAATCACATGTTCCACATTATTCTGATCCAACAACATGAAGGTGACCTTCTGTCGGAATGGCCAGCGTAGTAGTGGGTCGTATTCGCCACGCATCAGCACGAAAAACAGCGAAATGTGCGTTCCCTTGCCTGTCCCGTCGCCATTTAAATAGATGCGCGCGCACATCTTGTAGCCTTGACGACTTGTGTAGAACGGAGGGCTGTAATAGGACTTCTCTGGTTCGTTGAAAGAATCATATATCTTGGCTGAGACATTTGAAATCCTCCAAAGAAGAACGCCATCGAAACTGTAAGGTTCTTGATCTCTGTTACTTGACAGAGCAGCAACCGGCGGCAGATTTGTCGTTCTCGTGGCTTCCTCCATTGAGTCTACTTTTGCTTGCAGTCGCCTCAAAAGTTCTCGGTTTCTTTCGTCTTGTCTTTTGAGCCAGACAATTTCGTTATTTTGTTCGTGTATGGCTTGATTTGCTTCTGTGAGTAGAAACTCGTGATTTGCAAACTGTCCTTGCATGTTGCTGATCGCCCTCTTAACGTCATCTAACACATTAGTTATCTGTTGATACTGAGCGGCAAGGGAACCATGCTGTCCTGTGGGGACTGAATCGGGTTCCACCAAGGTATCCTCCACGTGCATCAAACGAGATCTTAAATCATGAAGTTCATCTTGTATGCTCCCATTCTCTCGCACCACTGCTGTTACCTGGGACACAAGCTGAGAGACTGTGGACTTCAGTCGTCCCATAACAGCCACGCCCTCTCTTAGGGGTTTTATCTCGCTAACAAAAAATCCAAGCTGGTCTCTTAGACGGAGTACAAAGGAGGGAAGGAGGCCGAGATGAAAGACCACCAAATTCTCGTCATGCTCGCGTCTTTCGCTACGTTTCATCTCCTGAAATAATAGAGGAGGACCCTCTTAAGTCAATAGGCCCACCCTCAAAAATGACCGAAAAGAAAAACTACACCTGAGAGCAATCATTCAAGCACAGGATAGATGGGCATCTAGCCACAAGAAATCAGAATTTACCAGAATTGAAGTCATCACTTTTGCAGTGAACATTGGAAATCAGTCTAAATTCTTCATTGTTTGGAGAAAAAAAAACCATGACCTCTGATAACTTTTTCATCCTATTAGCTGAATATTAATAAGTGAATTAACTATAGAAATAAAGTACATATGTAGGTGCATGTGAGGCAAGACTGCAAGACTTACAAATAGTACCATGTGAGAGAAGTGAAAAACTTCGTTTACCGGTTAAAGGACTGAGAATAAATCCCTAACAAGTTATTTCCTCAAACAACAAACAAATCAGTCGTCCCAAGGATACTGCTGAAAATACCTCTGTGGTTTCGCATCCAAAAAGGCGGAAAGGACAAGGGACTTTGGATTCCTCACAGTCTCCATTCTCTGGATCACGGTGTGCCTCCATATTTCCTCGAGGGATATCCTTCTTGTTACAGAAGATGCACCTCACTGGAAGAGACTGGCAAGTGTTCTTGTAATGATCCTGCAATCGCAATTAGGCGATAAGTGATTGACAGAGAGAATACCAAAGAAGGAAGAATGAAAGGGAAATGACAGAGAAAATATTGGAGTTGTGAGACAGAGCGCACGGAGAGGATCTCCGTGATAAAAGCCAAAGTATAATACCAGCTAAATTTGCAAGGGATTTTCAGTTGTATCTACTATTGTAGACCTTAAGAACAGTTGAAGTATTATAAAGAGAGAAGCAGCACCACAGCCATCAGCAACAACGCTTGCGACAGGAACGAAGCAAAAATAATAACCTTATTGACGACAGTAATGCATCGTACCTTCAATTCAGAGATAGGTAGTTCTTGGCGACAGTGTTCACATTCTGCCTTTCTTTGACTGCATTCCTTTTCCAGATGTTGGGCCAAATCTTTTTTCAGCAGCTTCGTTTTACACTTGTCCTTGTAGACACAGTCTATCTCTTGGTAGTCGCAATTGGCCAAATGTTCCTAAGATATTATCATCATAATCATCATTATCACCATTATCATTATCATTATTGCATTCGAAGTCAAGAGAATGCGTACTATATTCGTAGCTTCTTTCTGGATGCTGTGCGATTTGGACTTACTGACTGACCACTCGCCTCAATTTCATGCGTGAGCTTTGAATCCCGCAGGTTAAGTGAAGTCCTGCGGGTCGACTCGCTTTAGTCTGGATGTCATGAAAAGATATGAAGAAAATTGTAACCATTCGATCGAAGGAAACGAGTAACTAGAAACCAGAATTGTAAGTTATGCCACCATTCGATGTTCGTAAGTTAAGTTAATCTATGGCGAATCCATGATTATTGTTTGTTATTAGATTTCAAACTCCGGATATTACATTTCTAGTTATCCATAGTTCCGGTTAGCGGCTCATATACTGAACCACCTTATATGGAAAATAATTTACCCAACTGTTGCTAACGTGGACTTTCTTATAAATTAAATACAAAAACACTTCTTCAGTATATTGTGGATATCCTAATTTAATAATTTCATTTGCGCTAGTTCGACGAGATTGCTTATAGCCAACTCGGCGCTATCATGTTGGCTGTTTACCATCATATACCCGACGTGCGCTCATGGAGTACTTGTTAGTTATTATTATCATTATTTTATTTCTTCATTTTTACGACATTTAGGGTAGTTTTTAACTTAAGTTTTAGGGTATTTCTAAAAGCAGTGAGTGAAGTATCTTTTAGATGGCGAGGCGAGGGAGGCTTTGTACCCTTGCAAAAGCTAATAGCTGGCTTACATGGCAAAGTGATAATTTAACTTTGGGGAAAGTAAAAAGTATTGTAGCTTGCTGGATTCTGCATGGGACTATAGATCCGTTATAGGTCTATAAGTCACTAATGACAAGGAGTGAGATTTTTTCACCGATGGCGAAAGAATTTTCTTCCCTTGTCCGTCCATTTATCCTTCCTTTCTTTCCTTTCAAAGTTACACAGCTTCCTCCTCCATATGAGTCTTCTTCCGTAGGAGTGAAGCGTAAGAGCAATGCCGAATACGAGTGATGGTGAGAAAAAAGAACAATCTGAATTTCCGTGCAATGTTCTTGAGAGACTAAGTTAGGACCAGATCTACCCAAACAAATAACAGTTTACATCCAGCAGTAGTATATGTAGGAGGCTAAAAGACGTAATAGAGGTAAAGTTTTGACCTGAAACAATTTCAATTTAACCTGTGTTGGTTGTTTCAGGCGAATTGGGGAGATTTAGTTCAAAGTAACGAACTACTACCACCCCTATTTCCGTGATAAATTTACTTAGGTTTTTATAAATACAATAGTCCAGCTATGTGCGGACGGTTGACTTACCTCTTGATCAGATATTTTACCCTCCCACTCACATCCGTGGGCGATATGCAAGCAATGCACCGTAAGACTTTGGATCTCCTTCTTGACACATCCATCAGGAAAGATCTGCAAAATTGTTCGTTTTATTATCTATTAATCAATACGGATGCAGTCGACATTTATGGATACAAAATTGAAATAAATCATTGACAGTTACGGGAGACAAAATTTTTATGCCTCGGAAACGTATTCTTAGGATTTTTGTTTGTGAAAACCACACAAATGAAATCTGCTTTTCGCGCGCGCTGATCGGCCAGTTCGGAAGTAAATAGCTATTACTAACCATTCACTTCCGAGTAACCGATGAGACAAAATGGCGCGTCAAAAATTTAATTTCTGACCATTTTTAGAATATTGAAAGAATAAACCAAGTTTTTGGTACCTGTGTGCTATACACTACAAAAATTATTCACCTCCACTTTGGTGAATAATTGTTAAGTATTCCGGAAATAGCTTAAATTGAATGGAGTGAAACTATCTCCAAACAAGAAGCGGAGCACTAATGGGGCACTGACACTCTCGAAACTAGGAGGTTTTCTTTGCCACGTGTCTTCTATTCATTTTAGCAAGTACCAGGCAAGTACCGGGGAATATTCTATGGATCCACCAGTGAAAATGATCAATCATTTGACACGCATGCCGTGAACTCGTACATACCGTTTGATCAATAAAAAAAGCTGTTTCCCCACTGGAGCGCAGGTTACGGATCGTCGCCTTAAAGTTATCATTTAAAACTTAGTTGTATGGTAATTTTTCACCAACAGAGAATTTTCGTATGATTTTCTCATTATCTCTCCTTGAATTTAACAGTCTACCTAGGTTGACTAACCCGAGCAGCGCTGAATTCTTCATCATCAATCTGACACTTGAAAACCGCGTCCCTGCGAGAGTCAAAGATGTAAATTTATTGAAATCGTACTAAGACAAATGTGATGAAAATTATTTATCGTGACACTTAAAACGGACTGAACGACGTTAAGCAATCGCGAGGATGTTTTTTCGCCTCTGTCTCTGAAACAAAGTTTTGTTAAGCAATGGAATTTTCCTTGCTTCGTGAAAATTGCATATTTATCGAACAGAAGACAGACACTTATTCTTTGTGACACTGGAGAATACATCCGGCCGTGGTTGGATAAATCGCTATCTGACGGATAGCGTAATACATTTTTTTAACATTTATCCGCTGGATAGCGATTTATCCATTGGATAGTATTATCCGCGCTTGCAAAACTGGGCCCTGGTGTATATGTTAAGGTTTACCTTTTCAAATGTTCGAAACAGCCTCGACAATAAAAGTGTGCGCATGGTGTTTGCACTGGGTCACGCAACAGTAAGTGGCAGTGCTTGCATATGTACTTCGGCGAGATATGTTCCAAATCATCGTCAGGTAGATGATACCCTGGCATCTTTTCTGAATCCAAATTCAACGGTAGGTTGCGAGAAATTGAATAAATGGTGGACAAAATCAGTTGAGCCAACAATGATTCTCCCTTATTTTAAAACGAGTAGTAGAGGTGTTATGTATGGAAGATTCTCCCTGCAAGCTTGACAGAATATTGGAGGATCTAGGAAAAACGAAAATTCGCCATAAGCTCCTAACAGACTTTTTAGTCATAACATCCAGTGTTCAGAAAGACTTAAAGGTCGCTTATAATGCTGCGCAACAATCCTTATTAAAGCTGAAAGCTGTTCTTAGGGCTGAAGTGCGAATGCAAACAACTGCGACCTTCACTTCAAGCTCAGCCCGAAAACCAGCCTAAATGTGTCTGAACATGTTCATTCTTCCCTCGTATAGTAGTCACCATAGAAAAAAAATTGCCTAGTGAGCATAATTGTCTTACTCCTTGATACACACCGACGAGATGTGGCTTGTATCCGGGAAAAGAAGTCGTCGTTGATTCTTGTCGTTCTCGCTGTGAATTTAAAAACAGAGAACATATCCGTTAGTTTAGTTCCTCTTAGAGGGAAAGATGTTCTTAGTTCGCGTAGTTGAAACATCAAACTTCCACGGGCCGCAAATGAAAGAATACACAGTATTGTAGTTGATAAAAATGAAACCGGAAGTCGAGAGTGATTCAGTTGAAATGTCGATCGGTCTACACACAAAATAATTCTCTGAGTGAAAGACAATTTCAAATGCTTACACCCAATCGAGTAAGCGGACATTATACACATTTGAAACCTATTTTTTTGCCTTTTTAACTAACACACCTAAGATATTAGCCAACTTCTTGTGTACGATCGAGTAATTTGCGGGACGACGAGCATTCTGGGATAGGGAAAAACCCCCGCACATTGTAAACAGAATTTAATGATATCCGCTCTTGTTATACTCGCCAATCGCCGAAATCGGGAAAAGTCTACCAAGGGTAAAACGTCGGTCAACACTTCCAAGGTATGTAAAAGTGATGGAGATAATAATTTGCATAATAACGGGAAAAGGAAACCGCTATCGTTTCAAATAAAATCATCCTAAAGAAGAATTTTTAATGTTTTTAAATACTTCACGCTTCGTCAGCATTGCGAATATCAAGTAGGGGACCACAATATAATCAGGGCAACCATTCAGATTCGAAACAACAATGCATTTGAGAGATATACTCAAACGAAATGATTGCCTTTATCAAATTGCCGATCACCAGAATGTATAATTTAACTTTGATTTTTTAAAAAAGTAAATAATAAAGGAAAAACCATTACGATGCCGTTTCGCTCCCTGCAGTGTATGGTAATGAAGTATCGTACTTGTCAGTCAGCAGTGAAATTTTCCGCCTGGATGCATTGACTGCTTCCCTTACGACCAGCGACGCGTGGAAGGGGTATGAACTGTTTTATTGCCTTTCTTCTGTGTCACAATTTTTACATTATCTGTTTGCATGGGTGCCTAAAGTCTTAATTTCATTATAATTTTTTTGCACGTTGTGTATCGTATTGGGTACAAGGTAAGATAATTATTAATGAAAAATCTGCAAAACTTTGATGTACTCGATCAAAATACAGTGTTCTGAGGCCTTCTTTTGCATGATAAAAAGATGCCGATATGAATTCTATCTCTAGCTGTCTCAAAACCTGCAAATAAAAATGAAGAGTATCGCGATAATGGAAAACTGTTTATTTTTGTTGCATATGACAGTTGAATGGCAAGAAATAAGTCAGGAATAGGAGAGTAAAAGAAAATTAAAGTAAAAGAGTCGGGAAATAGGTACCCAATAAAAAAATATTATGGACCATAATAGGTTTATCGCGGCATTTGAATAAGTTTTCCGTTAAGCTTTTAAGTGTCATGTAAATCATATACAGCGTCTGCTTTTTCTAGCTTTAGACAATGCTAACTATTTCCCCTTAATGAAGAAGGGCTGACTATTGCTTTTGCGGATCGTCACGCATTTCGCCAAACCATTTGTTAATCAGCGAATATCTGGCCGTTCGCAAGTGCTTTAAAGTTATTTCAGAAGCTTAGACTCGCTTTATGCTTGTAGAGTTAGCTGTTGTAGTGAGGTTAGAATAAGACTGAAAGTATCGGTCGTAAAAACCGTTGTAAGGCGGCAGTGAAGGTGCTACTATGGTTGCTTTAAACGAACTTGGTCCGCTTTCAGAGGACGCTTTAACTAAAAATTTTATGTCACACAGAATATTGATTCTTGGCCCACCGTAAAAGAAACCGTGACACTGTGAGGTTAAAAAGGAGGTTGTAAATGAACACTATGCAGTTGAGGATTTGATCGACGTAGGTTGCTCATATTCGAATATGTGAAATTCCTTGATGTTGAGTTGGCAACCGTGTCAGCGACCTAAGTTACCAAATTAAATATGAAAATAGAGACAATTGTAGGAATTTTGTATATTTTATGTTGGAGCCTGAAGCGCAATTGTGGAAAAATTCATTGAGATGATAGGAAAAAGATTACTTCATCATTGAAAATGATTCAGTTAATTACATTAAGACAGAACTGTAGTAATAGCCCTTTGACAAAACCAGCGCAATCAACATTTCGAAACACGCGATGATAACCGTTTTAAAATATGTAAATCAAGACTATTGTGGTACTGAATTCGACAGAGCTGTCTCGTATAGTCTGAATAATGGAGTGCTTTGAAAGCGTAAACTCGATAACTTGTGGTTAGGGATTCAATCCAAACCGAAAGAAAAAATATTAACGATTTCAGTTTCTACTAGTGATAAACGCTTAACGGATCGTGGTTATTCGTTCACAAAAGCGGATTAAAAACATTCATTCTGTAAAGGAAATTTGGATGCGTTTCACATATCAGTATAAGAATATGGGAAGAAAACTATTCATGTACTATACAGACTCAATGTACATTCTTCTTAGAATCTGAAGAACCAAATATTACGATAAAAGTGATCAAGACATGAAGTTTTGCGCAAGGACATATTGCACAGGTCTTCAACGTCTTCACCCGGTGATCAAAATCGCTGTCGTCAACATGGGAAAAAAATGAATTTGCATACTTATTCAAGAAGGCAATGCCACTGTATTCTCACCTTCTTACTTTTTCTTTTGCTCCCTTCACTCTCGCTTGGTTTCACTTTCAGTTTCAATAAATCTCAGAGACGTATGTGGACCATCACAAGTTCACGGGAATCATGGAAAGATGATATCAAATTTAGAGCTGACGTTTCCGATTTATGTCATGTCATGAATCATTGCGCGCGGGGAATCCCCGAAATCTTCAAACCAATTTAATCAAAACATCATTAAAGCCCGAGATTCTCCATTCTGTCAAAGCTAAACAGGACCCAATTATGTTAACGATCATGCTAGATTTTTACATGATCTGTAAATCAATCAATGTGACGTAGTCATAGTTTACAGACGCTACCCGATCGCAAACGACGTGAAAGAGACACTAGTGAGACAATAGAGAGTCAGGTGAGGATTATATCACAAATGCTTCTAGTTTGTCTCAGCCTCCAACAATCATTGCGTGATGACTCCACCAAAGGTTCGAAGCATCCGAATTTCAAAGGTTGTCTCATTAGCAAGTAAGTTATCCGTATTTGCGTCTGTATATTACAACAAATTAAGTAGAGAGCGTGGGAGTATCATTCACTTTTCTGGGGAATGCTGGGATAGGGAAAAATCCCTTGACCGCAAGGCGTGAAACAACATCATCTCGTGATCTACGATAGACAAATCATATGACCAGTCCTTAGACTGCGTGAAGGATTAAAGGACAGTTCATCCCTGGATTCAAAACGCAGGTGATTCTATTTATTTTCAGTTGCTAGAATCGTGTGTCCAAGCGTGTCTAGCAACCATTTACACCGTGACACTGTCAAGTTTTTGTCATACATAGGAATGCATCCTCTGTTTAGTAAGGATAACCGGTTCCTACCATTCCTGTTCTTGAATTTCGAAAACCATCTTCTGAATTTTGACTGATACTAAAACAGGATCCCACTGTTCTAAGGGATTCTGTACTGATAGATGCTTCTGTTTCCCGTTAGTTGAATGAATTTGGATGATGCAACGCTGTAACTTACATGATTTCCGTAAAGTAGCATCATCGTAATCAGTGGTGACTAAAAAAAATTGGGCGGGATAGCTAAGTTGAACGTCACCACGTAAAATTCGTCAAGCTAAGCTCCGAGTATAAATAATAATATAACCACTCTTTCCCTGTAGTCTTTAAGTAACTGGCTATAGAGTGGAGGACGATATGTCTCTTCTAGCTCCTTTACGACTGACCTGCGCACTGCAGTGATACAAGCAGCGTCCTTTTCTTTGATCTTCCTCCGAAAGGGAATTGCAAATAAATTCTAACATCTACTCATGCGATGACACAATTTCTCCTCTCCAATAACCTAGGTTTTTTGATATGTATGTTTTTAGGTAATCCGCAACTAATATCTCTTCGGAACATCATCTCGTTTGGTTTCATCGCCTCCTTCTGTCCCAAGGGATAAAATCAATTTAAATGCATAATGAAGCAATCGTTCTCGCCAATCACTAAGGTGGTTGAAGAAACCTACACCGTTGGCAACCGTACAGGTTTCTTAAACCACATGATTCCTTACGTTCTTGCGGCTTTAATACAGTGCTGTTTTTGAGATGCTCCCCAATCACTGATGTGGTTGAAGAAACTTTCACCGTCGACAACCGTACGTGATTGCCGTGATTGAGGCTTTTCATTTTTACGATGTCTTCGTTTGTAATTCAGTGCTATTTCTGGGATACTCAATCGCTTTTACTCTTTTACTTATAAGCTGCTTCCGTTCACGAGCACAATTTTTCCGGTATAGAGCACCGCCATGCTATCAAGATAGTCACAACGAATTTCTGCTTACTCATAAATGTGGGCGTCTTCATTTTTGAAATACACTTGAACAAAGTCTTGCCTTTAAAAAAAATGATAATAATAATTATAGAGAAAACACCTTTCCGAACATAAAGACAAGTGAGGCGTCGCACTTATTGTGTCCACTGGCTGGCTGCATCGTTTCTTAGGTATATTGAGCGATTTTGATCGAAGCAACCGATGAAACCCTCTCAATGAACCATAAAAATAAGCTTGTGATTTACGGAATCCCAATTGCATGCATGTTTTCATTATGGAAGCTCCAATATATATTTGAATGACTCTTTGTAATTGTATTAATAACTTGGAAAGATAATTTTTTTCCGGTTTGCCGACCCAAAGTACAAAGCTGTGTCCTTTTATGTCCTTTTATGACTGAATAGGGCAATGCCTAAATTTGGTTCACCGATTAGGGGCAAATAGGGCTAATTCAGGCATTGCCCTATTTGGTCATAAAGACACAGGACCGGTTATTTAAACGAAGTTTAGACAGCGTTTATGAAAGTCGTCGTCTAACCAATGTTTAAACCATGAATATCGATTATTCAAACGTTGTTCTTCCATTACTGTGTGTTAGACTTTGTCTAAACACCGACTAAGGAACAACAGTGATTTAGACCAGCTCACAAGTAGGTTTAAACGTTGTTAAACGGGTTTTTCATGGTCAGCCATTTTGAAATGGACGGACTACTGACAGCGCTACAGACAGTAAAGAGACTACGCCAACCGAGGTAACATACATGTTAGACACATTCGGCACCTTAGGGAAAGATTTAACCCTTTAGAAGAATACGTTGACGAAGAATTTCGATTGCATTTTCGCCTTAGAAAGGCCGCGCTCATTGACCTCGTAGGAATTTTGGATAAAGATCTTCAACATCAAACAAGGAGAGGTCTGCCCTTACACCCATGCAGCAAGTTCTAATTGCTTTCAGATTCCATGCAACAGGAGCTTTCGAGCGGGTTATTGGTGTTTTATTTGGTGTTTCTGTATTAGCTGCATGCAAGGTAATTCACAAGGTTTTAAAGGGCTATCGCGAAACAAAAAGGAAATTTCCTGTTATTCCATGGAAACTTGGCAGATACTAGGTGAAAGTTTTATGATGTTGCGCACTTTCCAGGTGTGATCGGGGCCATTGATTGTACCCACATAAGGATCATATGTCCAAACAAAGAAAATGCTATGGCATTTGTTAACTGACGATCAATAATTACGTTTAACTTATAATAAATTATCATGCAATAAACGATATTTTGAGGCTTTCAAAATTTACTGTACTTCTGACTGTCCTCCTTTTTTGTGAGTTTTGCTTCTTTCCTGCAAATAACTTCAACATCAGCAAATAACTTCAACATCGCATATGGTAGAGTCCCTCTCGTCTTTGTCACGTCTTGAATTAGGTTCCTCTCCTGCGTCATCATCAAATGGTTGCTCTAGCGGATTCACCGAAGTTGGTATAACATCGGCAACTAATTTACTCACTTCACTTGGGGAGGCAGGAACTTTCCCTCCGCCAGTTTTTCTTGCTTCACGACGTTGTAAATCGTATTCTTTCTTGGACTGGAATTCATGTCACTCACGCCTCCAGCATCCTTGGATCTGATTCATGTCCCGTCTGATTCCATTTGGATTTCGGGAGCTGAATTTTTGAAAAATTTCTTCCCAAGCATTTGCTTTCTTTCTCAATGTTTTATTATTGTAGCCTTTACTTTCCACTTCTAGGGATTCTCTTCCCAATTCTGCCAGCAAAAGCTTTTCTTCTTCACTAAAATTGGGCGTTCGACCGGATTTAAAGGCCATAATGAGTCACAACCTCCAATATGGAAATGTGCATACAAATAACACCACAGACAATACACTTCCTCGTGAGACATTGTTTAGCCATTGACTAAAAAAAACACGGTTCAAGGGCGTTTTAAATGTATTTTAAACATGGTTTAATCGAGACAACGTCTAAACCACGGCTTGGCCCTAAACACGGTTTAACTTAGACTTCGTTTAAATAACCGGCCCACAGTATCTTGCAATTGCCTGTTTTTCTTTTTTTAATGATTGCCTCATCAAAAACGAAAAATGAATAAATTTTCCTGGATAACCTCAAAATTTTTGTCGGAATTTTGTCTGAACCACGTTTAGAATTGTTTCCATACAAAAGAGGTTTGTTTCTGTTTTCAATTACTTTACAGTTACATCTATTTGTTCATGAAAACTTTTAAATGTCACTATAAAATTCACACCGAACAAAATAACTTAGCAAACCAAGTGATATCATAGTAATGAAAGTGATACATAAAGAAAAGGATCGGAAAAGTTGAAATAAAACACACAAGGTGGCACCAAGGGGAACAAAGAGGGAACCTTGCCTGGCTCCTGGATGCTATAATTCATAGCTTATGTGTATCTAAAGTGTTGACAATTTAGTAAGGTAATCGCATGGAACCGAGTTAAATCAAGGATTAACATCACGCGTGTTTTAGGAGCGACGAGGGCACTTTCTGCCGACTTCTGAAAACACAAATGACATCAATCCTAATTTTTTAGAAGAGAACAATGCGATTACATGTTAGTGATATAAAAATTAAGATGTTCGAAACGCACGTTATTGCGCAATTTCGTAGAAAGCCATTTCAATGTTCATTACCGTCAATGAACTGTAAAAGGCACGAATTTTATACAACAACGCCAAAGCAATGAAATCAGTCCTGCTAAAAATTATTCGTGATAAATGAAATTAAAAGAATTATTTTAAGTTAAAGTTAAGCCTTTCTTAATGTTTTCAATCTCCAGTAATTTTGCCGAGGCAATTATCAAAATTAATCAAAAACGCCCTCTGTCTCAGCCAGTCAACATTTAGTAATTTTGCCCTCTATGATATAAAAGCTATAATTGTCGCTAGTTTGTGAATTGTGTGTTTTTTCATTATTTTCATCCTGTCAGAATGAGTTCCAAGAAGACAACCGGTTGTTCTCAGGACCGAAAAACAAGGCTTCCAAAGCAGGTGAGCCTTTTTTCTTGACCGTTATGCACAACAATTAAATCGTACAAAGATTACTTCTCCAGACAAACATGAAATACTTCTCGAGAAGGCTGAACTTTACTCTAGAGTCTTGAAAGAGGCGCAGGATTCACACTGAGCCATTATTAAACTTCCGGCAGAGACCATTATTCTATACATGCCATTTAGACTTTCTAAGGATGCTAAAGCCCGAGCTAAATGCTGGAGCTTGACACTTCGTATAAAAGTAGATTTTCGAGTGAAATTAGAACAGAGTTTTAGAGTCATGTTAGCGTGTCAGCTGCGCGTTTGACTTTTTTTTTGCCTAGAATGAACGAAGAGGGAGTACCGGAAGAAATGACAGCATAACTTCTCCGACTATTGAATTGTTGTGCGTCATTCACAGGAAGTTGTTTTTGGGCTGTATATATTTACAACAATTCTCACGACAAATATCATCAACATTTTCAGTTTTCTGGATTGCAATGTAAATATAGTTCGAGATTTCTATCGAAAAGAAGTTTAACATTCTACTCTAAGCTAGATTGATTTCTCTCTGCTAAAGGCAGATTTACTTAGACTTATCAATTGATTATAGTTCCTCTAGTTGCGTTACTGGTTTTCTAATCATTTTCACAATTCACTTACTTATCTCCTGCCTTTATTTGTTAAGGTTTATCCAGATAATTTAATGAGACATGAAGTGCGTGAATTAGAAGCCTTTGTTGCTAACCATAATATATGCAGTGCTGACACGGGACTCTCAGAGGTAACTAAATGTGTTTACCTGTAAAATGAAGAGAGCCAAATTGACCCCAAAAGCCAAATTGGCCTCAGTGTCTTGAGGTAAGGGCCTCAAGGTTCGTTTTGAACCGCTATTTAAGCCAAAACGGGTCGGACAGGTATCATTTCGACCTCTCCAAAATCTTAATTCAAGTACCTTTGGGTTGTATTAAATTTTGCTTGTTTTTGTTCAGTTTTTTTTATTTGGCAATTGTTTTTTAAATCTCCTGTCGTCAAACCCTTAGATAAATATTACATGCAGAATAGCTGATTCTTTTCAGATATTTTGGGAGTTGTGCATTTTTTTTTTAATATCCTGTCGTCAAAACCATTAGATAATTATTGCACATGGAATAGCTGATTCTTTTCAGACATTTTAAGAGTTGTGCATTATTTTTTTTTAATTGCCTGTTGTCAAGCCATTAGATAAATATTGCACATGGAACAGCTGATTCTTTTCAGATATTTTGGGAGTTGTGCATTATTTTCAAGCCTTGAAGGGAAGACAAATTATAAGCATTGAGCCAAATTTCCACTTCCATTTCTAGTGTTTTGGCTTATAGTTTTTAGAAAAACATCTTATATAAATATATATATATATATATATATATATATATATATATATCATCTAAGTAAATAAAATGAAATGAGAGGAAAGTGACCAACTAAAAATGGCAGACTAGCTGGCAATTTTTACTGGCTACAGGCACTTTTTGCACTTTGGCTTGTTTTCAATATGGTTGTAAAATTTATTTATATTACATAGGGTAGCTGATGTTGACTCAGCAATCAGAAATTATGTCCAGCACAAATTGCAATTGTTGGAGATCTCCAATACATCAATATCCTGTATATTAGAATTTTTTCTTGTGGGAGGTGACAAATTATACTTCCCTCTGTTACTAAGTAACAGAGGGAAGTATAATTTGTCACCTCCCACAAGAAAAAATTCTTGATGCTCTCATTGGGTGCTAATAGTTCATTTTATATTTTCAATGTTTCTTATAATCAGTCAAAGGCAATTTTGACTTTTTTAGAGCAAGTGTTGCTTGAAATTGCAGGGCACAGGCAGACTCTTGTCACTATTTTTTACTCTGTTTTCAATGACTTGGCAAATGCCCAAGGTAGTACTTGCTGAAATTTTATATTTTGATCATATCTAAAGTAGCAATATGAGTGCATGTATTCTCACATCCACTGGTAGAATACTCAATGCTGCTCTAAGGTTCTTTGTTTTTCAGATGCACAAGTCAAACAAGATCTATATTCTTGGGCAGGAACTAGACCATTTGTTGCATTTCTTATTTTGACAATTTTCTGTCCTTTAAATCAGTCTTCATCGTAAGCTGCATCACATTATCACATTTGCTAAGTCATTGAAAAAGGAAGCTTTACTCACAAGTGTCTCTTGGGTGTAATTTCTAGCAATGCTTGCACTGTTTAGAAGTATACTGATATATGGAAGAGACCTATTTTAGAAAATAATTGAATTAATGTTAAATATGTATGTAATATGTTGTTCTACACTGTAAAATGAAAAGAGTTGATTTGGCCCAAAAATGGTGCCAAAACAAGTGAGTCCAGTTTGGTACTGGCTTGGGGTCAATTTGGCCCCATTGAAATGGGGCTGTTTTTGGCACCAATTTTTGGGGTAAATCAACCCAATTGTAAGAGCCAAATTGGACCATGTGAAAGGCCAATTTGGAAAATACTGGACCCTCATTTGAATTTAAAGGGGCTAAAACGGCCCCCAGAATTTCAGCCCTCCCACAAATGACCCCCTTAAAAGTAGCCAATTCAGCTCCAATTTGGGCCACTTCAGAAGTAGAGAGCTCTTTCCTCTTCATACTGATTTCCCCCCTTACTTTTCACCCTCACATAATGAAAACACACCACATACTTTATCTTTCAAACACTCATTTATTTGGTTCTTGATATTGTTTATGTAAAAACCTTTCACATTGCATGATTTTACAGTTATTAAGAGTCTTAATTGTGATATAAAACAGACAAACTTTGAAACATCCTATGAAAGAATAGAAGAAACATACATATTTAACATTAATTCAACCATTTTCTAGAATAGATCTCTTCCCTTAATCAGTACACTTCTTAACAGTGCAAGCATTGCAAGAAATTACACCCAAGAGACACCTGTGAGTAAAGCTTCCCTTTTTAATGACTTAGCAAATGTAGTAATGTAAAGCAGCTTATAATTAAGACTGATTCAAAGTACAGAAAATTATCAAAATAAGACAGAAGCAACAAATGGTCCAGCTCCTGTACTAGAATATAGATCTTGTTTGATTTCTGCAAATGAAAAACAAAGAGCCCTAGAATAGCATAGAGTATTCTTCCAATGGATGTGAGAATACATGCACTCATATTGCTACTTAAGATATTATCAAAATACAAACTATCAACAAGTACTACCTCAGGCATTTGCCAAGTCATTGAAAACAGAGTAAACAGCGACAAGAGTCTGCCTGTGTCCAATTTCAAGCAATGCTTGCTCTAAAAAAAGTCAAAATTGCCTTTGGCTGATTGTAAGAAACATTGAAAATATAAATGAGCCAAGTAACCCAATGAGAGCATCAAGAATTTTTTCTTGTGGGAAGTGACAGATTACACTTCCCTCTGTCACTATATTCAGGAGATTGATGTATTGAAGATCTCCAACAATTGAAACATTGAAAATATAAATGAGCCAAGTAACCCAATGAGAGCATCAAGAATTTTTTCTTGTGGGAAGTGACAGATTACACTTCCCTCTGTCACTATATTCAGGAGATTGATGTATTGAAGATCTCCAACAATTAAAATTTTTGCTGGACATAATCTCTGATTGCTGAATCCACATCAGCTGCTCTATGCAATGAAAACGAGTTTTACAAACATATCAAAATCAAGCCAAAGTGCAAAAAGTGCCTGTAGCCAGTAAAAAAAAAAGAATATATCTATATATAATGTTTTTCTAAAACTATACGCTAAAACACTAGATATGGAAGTGGAAATTTTGCTCAATGTGTCTAATTTGTCTCCCCTTCAAGGCTTGAAAAAATAATGCACGACTCCCAAAATATCTGAAAAGAATCAGCTATTCCATGTGCAATATTTATCTAATGGTTTGATGACAGGAAATTTTTAAAAAATTGGAAAATCAGAAAAACTAAACAAAAAGAAGGCAAAATTAAATACAACCCCAAAGTACTTGAACCTTTGTATCTGGACTTCATTAGCAAATGGGCTCAGAAATTTTAGCAGCTCATCTTTAGTACCAAAGCAGCAGTTTTTTGGACTCATACATGTACCTCCAAAATGCTCACATCTTCATTCAATGCATATGTGATGGAAAACACACAAGAACAAAGGTCATGATCTTATAAGGTGAGAGTGATTATTTTGCAACTCTTTAGTTTAAGGCAAGAGATTCAGCACCACAAAATTGTCCCTCTTCACTGCAAGCAGAAGAAGCAAAGCAATAGATTTTTAAACCATACCAATCCTTTCAGTTTCCAAGTCGACCTAGTCTAGTATCCCACTAGCCATACAAGGATACTTTGCAATAATTTTTTTTGCAATCCACTACAGCTCAGAGTACTTTGGGCTTCTGAATATCCAACTCTACTGAGGTAGAGAACTGTACAAAAAAAGCAAATGAGCAAATTAATTTGTCGTTGGAGAACATTAAATTTTTGCAACTACAAAGTTGCAAAATATGTGTAAGCAAACTGTGCATAAAAAGTAAAAACACAATAATGGTGATCATCAATGATGTATTTTCACCAAACTGTATATGTTCTTATCAAGAAAAGAAATCATACTTCTATGCACTTCAGTTTTAGTTCAGTATTCATGAATTAATAAGGATTGCTTGTAGACTAAAAAACAAAACAAATAAAAGTTTCTTACCCTCAATGGTAGTTGGAATTTTGAAAGCTATCCAGGAGGAACCTATGGGTAAATATTTGTTTTCAAAAAAATTAATCTGTCTGATAACATCCTATCAATTCACTAATTTTTTAATTTACCAGATTTAAACATTGGGTTTACTTTGTTTTATGCATGGTGCAAGTAAATACATATCTAATATATTTCAATTAAAATAAAGCAAATCTCACCATTTTTGTAGGTGCTATCCCCGAGATTTCTCATCTTTAATTGACCAACTGGCACCTTGTGTGTTTTCCTTTGGGATAAAATCGAAAGAAAGTAATCAATAATGTACTCTTCACCATCCTGCTAAGTCAGTTAAATATACAAGAACTTACTTAGACAATGCTCAGTTCTGTCGCCTCGTCCGTAAAACAGAGATCCTTGGGCGATTTACCTTTTCTTTCGGTGCCGATGTCACTTCTAAATTTTCATAATCGCTGATGTTTTCTGAATCATCAATTAACGTTTTAAAAAATTCACAGCATAAAGTTGAGTAAGTCAATCGATAGTTTATTGTGCCGGTTTCGACCGAGCGAAAAATTTACTTCTACCGGTTTGTTGCCCTTACAACATCCCAAATCCCTGCGTCCTTGTGTCGTTTAAGTCGTGATGGGACTTCCATGTAACCAAAATTGTTGACAATTTTGGGATAATTATCAGTCATTTCAAAAATTGCACCTCGTTGGGGCCAAAATTGGTAAATCCTACATAGCTCTTGAAAGGGCCAAATTGAGAAAAAGTTCCAAAGTAGAATTCATTTGGGCCAATTCAGATTTTGGAGAGGACGAAATGGTACCTGTCCGACCCGTTTTAGCTTAAATAGTCCAAAACGAACCTCGAGAGGCCAAATTGGCCCTCAAGACATTGGGGCCAATTTGGCTTTTGGGGTCAATTTGGCTCTCTTCATTTTACAATGAATTCTTTCACACGATATTTCAAAGTTTGTCTGTTTTATACCACAATTAAGATTCTTAATAACTGTAAAATGATGCTCTGTAAAGGGTTTTCACATAAGCAATATCTAGAACCAAATAAATGAGTGTTTGAAAGATAAAGTGTCATGTGTATTTTCCTTACTTGACTGTGTGGAGAGGAAAGAGCCCTCTACTTCTGAAATGGCCTCTCATTGGAGCTGAATTGGCTCTTTTTAAAGGGGTCATTTGTGAGAGGGCTGTAATTTCGAAAGCTGTTTTGGCCCCTTTAAATTCCAGTGTGGCTCCCGTAATTTCCAAATTGACCCTTCACGTGGTCCAATTTGGCCCTAACAATTGGGTCGGTTTAGCCCTCAAAAATTGGTGCCAAAAACAGCCCCATTTCAATGAGGGCAAATTGACCCCAAGCCAGTAATAAACTGAACTTTCGCCCCAGTTTTTGGGCCAAATCAACTCTCCATTTCACATGAACTTGGTAGGTAAACATACTATTTATTAACTTTCCCAGACGAGGCAAAGAACAACGCAACTACGCATGCACAGGACTATGGTGCAAAGTTAAAAATTTAACAGATTCTGGTGCATGCAGTTCAACACCTGTGCAGTAGAAGATTAGTGAGTTTTCCCCATACGAGATAACTAATGATATATAGCCGTGGCTACATCGTTATTGTATCCTTCAACGTAAAATTATGTGTCTCCATATAAAAAGTATTCAGCTGTTATTCAATAGCAAGTGTGGGAATATTTAACAAATAGAGAAGCCTTGACTGTGCTTTGTTCTGTTGCAAAGCACGCAGGAAGCGGCTAGAGCACGAAAGAAGTGGGGTGAAAAACACGAGACGTTGTCGAAAGTTTCTCCCCACTATTTTTAATGTACTTTTTTTGGGGGGTTCTCAACGTCATCTTCGAAGCAACCCAATATATGACATAGGAACTGACTGAGCCAGTTGTTGAGTTTTTCCGAGTAACACAAAAGCCAAGAAGGCTTGGGGCAGCCTGTTATTCTACCAGTACCAAAGTGCGCTTGTACAGTCAGATGCTTTAAAATACCAACACCCTGCATACACCCTGCGTCGTATAAAATGACGTATAATCGTATCAATTTAGAAATAGAACTATTTTAACTATTTTGATATTCAAAAGTTTAAATTCGTGAGTATACTCAGTCTTTATAATGTGCTAACGTTCTCTTCGCTTTAAATATGCCGTGTATGGCTTTTCAGAATCATAAAGAGGCAGAATGTTCCGTGATTTCAGTCGCTTGTGAGAAATGCAGGGCTCACGGCATTCCTAAAACAAAGGTAAAATATATACTTACTTCAATAACTAGATGTAGGTTTTTTTTCCCTCATGATAATATGAGGTAATTATGATATGGTTACAAATGTTATTTACACTGTAAAACATCTCATTTCATGGAACACGAGGTATTCCTGTATTGTGAAAATGATGAGACATCATATGGTCTGTCAAACCTAGCCTTTTTAGATCCGCAACCGCTACTGGGGCGAGCTTGACCTTTAAGGTTAGAGTGGAGGAGAACATTTGGAGTGCGCTACACCTGTCCCTTGCCAAGCATTCTCATTTGTTCTCAGAACTGCTTGCCACTATTTAGCGTAGATAGTTACCAGAGAATTAGAAACTTTAGAAACAAAGTAAATGAAACAAAACTTGCGAGGATGAATGACACATGATAATCTAGAGTCATATACAAAGACAGCAGCAAGTCCCGCGCTTTGCTTTAGAAACGAAGTCTACTCGTAACTGGTTAGCGTACTTAGCTTCTGCAGTAAAGGAGTTGTTTTTTTTTTAATTAACCTAAAGAATTCAATGAAACTGGCCTCGGTGACGACGAATCGAACTGTGAAGCTGTTACACTTACAAAGCGTTGTTATTTTTTCGTCCGAACGTTCCAGCACAACCGAAATCCAACCATAACGATCCTGAAAGCAAATCAGGAACCACGTCCGTTTTCTACCGGATGCTGCACAATTAAGGTAATATAGGTAATGTAACTGGGTAAGTAGACATACGCTTCAGTTAAAGCTTAGTCCTAAAGTTAAAGTTAGTCTCTCCTTCTGAGATCCACATTCGTTTCGAGAAATATCCATACTGACAAACAAACGTAACTTTTGCCACGGGAATAATTTCAAAGGGCGTTTTGTAGATATCCTTCAAGCAAACACGTGTTCAAAAAAACTTTTTTTTTCTCTACTAAGGATAATCTCCGACTTTTTCCTTAAATGCGTGCAAAATGTGATCAAATTAAAATGAGGCCTAAAATGAACGCTCTTCGAAACCTCTTAAAGGTTAAAGGAGAAAGTTGAATTGGCGACAAATGATGCACATGAAAAGGTGTTCATGATCAGACTTGTGAGTGTAAATGATCTGTAGAAGGTTAGCAAATCATCATAACGCTGCTAAAATAATCCTTTAGAATTCTTTCTCTTCAATCCTTTAAAGAAGAAATTTTAAAAAGCGAGAAAGCTTTTAGGCGAACATCCTCTATTGTTTTTCTATATGGTAATAGGCACGACTGAACGTCAGCAACGATGATGACAATGATGAAGACGATGAAGACGACGAAGACGACGAAGACGACGAAGAAGATGAAGACGATGAAGACGATGAAGACGATGAAGACGATGAGGACGATGAGGACGATGAGGACGATGAGGACGATGAGGACGATGAGGACGATGAGGACGATGAGGACGATGAGGACGATGAGGACGATGAGGACGATGAGGACGATGAGGACGATGAGGACGATGAGGACGATGAGGACGATGAGGACGATGAGGACGATGAGGACGATGAGGACGATGAGGACGATGAGGACGATGAGGACGATGAAGATGATGAAGATGATGAAGACGAGGAAGACGATGGTGTCGATGATGACGAAGACGACGACAATAAAAACGATGACAACGACGATGACGAAGACAATGATGACAATGACGACGGCGATGATGACTATAACGACGATGACGATGACAATGACGATGACGACGGTGAAGATGATGACGATGACGAACCGGATCAAATAATAGAGGGTGAGCATAGAGAAGTGGGGTAAAGCAAAATTGATCGTTTTAATTTCGAGCAAACAAATTTCGGTTTACCATGCTCTGTTTTAATTCCTTCTTAGGTTGTTTATGTACTATCACGATTAACATTCGCTTATTTGTCATTTATTTGTTCATTTATCTATCTGACAGATTTCCTCTCTGATACTACTTGTGTGCCATACGAACTGTAAGAGGCAAAAGGAGATGAGATAGAGATCATTGGGAAAGCCTCAGCTAGGCCGGACGATTTGATGATCCCTAAATAGAGATAATCAGGGTAGAACCAGCTCATTCATGTTATGGCTTAAGTTTGTATTGATTTCTTAGACTTGTTTAATATAGATACAGTTGAATTCGGTTCATGTAAACTTTCAAGACTTATGGAATAATTTTTTTTTTGTCTTTGGGCAGTGTGATAAGAAAACTTGTGCATTCGTCGTGATGGGAATTGGAAAAAAGGTTGTGTGGGCTGAAGGTGGGATGGGCAGAGGTCATTAGGCAGACAGTCTCCTTTTTGTTGGTGTGTGTGTTTGTGGGGCGGATCATCAGAACATCAAATTTTGCTCTAGCAGCAAAATATTAGTAGCCCTCATCTTTCAAGATCATTTGTACTACTGTGAAATATTCCTTGCCCGTTTCTTGACATCTTTTGTTTTTAACAAAGGGACCATTGCATTTGGTTTTTAACAAAGCGGCCACAATCGTTCTAATTTCGTTCGAATTTTCAAGCCTTCAAATAGTCTGATTTTCACATATTAATATTGCGTAGTCGCCAAATAGATGAGAAATAAAACCACTAAAAAAAGTAAACGACTGGTTAGTCACGAAAGCAACGCTTCGCTTTCCCCTATAAAAATTCGCTAGTTCCTCGTGTAAATCACTAACAATATAAGGCACATATATGCAAAAAGCAGTGTGTGTACACCCCTGAGCGTTGAAAATATACCAAGTTGAAGGAACAGTTTTGGTCTCGGTCCGCATTTTTGTTAACAAAATGAGCACATATCGGTTAAAAAGGTGAAACATATGGACCACCTGCAAAGCTGTCAATTGTTTCTCGAATATTGCGCGTGTTAAATATTCAGTAGTGACATCTCATTTACATATACATCTACTTTAATTTAGTTGGTACATTCTGTGCAGACATCACACCAACCTACTCGTGCGCAAAGTGAGAAGACTATATGAAGACTTGAAATTATATTAAGAACGATTGTGATCAAGAAACGGGCCAAGGGATAATAATCGTGAGAGATGATCGCGGAAAAGCGATTGCGTGACGCTCGGTAAGTTGTAAGAAGACATGTATCAGACGAAAAAACAGTATAATTCTCAGTCTGCATTTTGCACCCAGTCTGCAGTCTGCAGTCTACAGTCTGCATTTTGTACTGACCGGATAGGTATTGCTGTTTTTGTTCGAGCGAGCCTCAAGTCCAGACCGAAATATTGGAGCTCGTAAAAAACAATTTTAGTGAGACTATCTTGACCGCTATGATTGATGAGTGGACTGTGTGTTGAAGAGCTCCTGATGAAAAAGACCACAATAGAGCAATGATTACTTTATATCAACAGAAGACTAACGCAAATGCGCGGCTTACTGAATATGGCTGCTTCTGATGCTCTTCCGCGTGGTCACAGCGTGTGTTGAAATGAACCCGCACGGGTCCCCTAGGTATGAACATTTCGGCTTCTTGATTTCAAGTTGCATTTTAGAAGTTCGGAAATGTGATTTGAAGTTATTATTTTTATTAAACCATACAAACATTTTATTTCTTTCCATGTGAGTTTCTGAGCCTCATCGAAATTAATTTTGACTTTCACTAAGTGAGGAGGGGTAGCATGCAAGACTACTTACGTTCACGGTCCACAATGCAACTTCTGTCTGCGGAATACAACCTCCCGTCCACGGTCGACAACTTCCGTCAACATCCGCTTCACTACGATACCTCATTCATCGCTTCCAGCATGAATGAGCCAAAAATGAAATAGTCCTGATCGTTCTCTGCGATGCCTTCGTTATACCCAGCCCCTCTAGCATGGCAGTAAAATTAATGGTTACACGACTCAAAAAGAAACTTAGTTCTCTAATGCTCGAGGGTTTCTCGAGGGGAAGTGAAGGAATGATCACTTTTGAAAGGCGAGTCGTATTTATTGATTCCTTCAAATAGCAAACGAGCCACGATGAGGTGAGATGCTCAGGTTTTTTTGTCCGCGCAATTTATATGTTTCGGGAAGCGATACGGAGGCGTAGAGGAAGAGGGCAGGTTCACGGAAATGAGCAAATTTCGGCTTCAAATGAAGGCCATTGAGCTCACATATAAAAACAGCTTACCATCAATAATTAAATGATTTCTGTTGCAGTTTATTTTTCAGTGAGCAAGTTTGTCTTTCTCTATATAACCACAGAAACACTATCCAATATTGAAATAAATTCGAAAAGTAAGTTGTAAAGTTTCACGCGTGGGCTTGGAAAAGTGGGCATTACCAATCGAAATTAAAACCACTTTAAAAACATTTTCATTTTCACAATCCGCTTAGCCTAATAGCACTCGAGGATTATCATATAATACATCATAAATTCAGATCAACAAGATTATGCAGGAAAAATTTTTTTGCAGCTTTGTTTAAAGGTTATAAGTCCCCAGTATCAACAATAACTTTGATAAACATGGTATCGTCCTTTACATAAGCGTGGTTATTTAACTGTGTCATAGCACAGAAGGTCGGGCACCCACTGGCTATGTTCATATCCCTTTTTGGTCTCTGGAATGAGGAGCTACTCGGATCAGGTCTGAAGGCGTCAACTACGTGTTCTACGTTATCCTGATCTAATAACATAAAGCTGACCTTTTGTCTAAATGGCCAGCGGAGTATTGCGTCATACTCACCGCGCATAACAACAAAGAATATTGAAAAATGTGTTCCCTTTCCGATACCATCACCGTTAAGATAGATGCGCGCGCACATCTTATAACCGTGACGACTAGTATAGAAACAGGGACTATAAGTAGATACGTGTTGGCCGGATCTCGCCTCATTTCGTTTTCGGGTGAAGTCAGTAATTTTCCATAAAAGCACACCATTGTAGCTTGAGAATTGCTCTTGCCTAACGTAATCTTCAAGCTCAGCTATAGCAATGTTTCTAGCACCTAGAGTATGTTCTAGATACTCCGTCCGTCGTTGAAGTTTTCTTATCTCATCGTTAGCAGTTTTAAGCTGAGCCTCCAGTCTTTTTATTTCTCTATTCCTATTTTGAATTTCCGAGTTAAATTCAACCAAAAGAACTTCATGATTGGCTGCCTTAGCATCCTGATTGTCCAGCTTTTGTAGAATATTCACAATTTCAGCTTGCGAAGAGCGATGCGCTGATGAATTTAAAGGAGCACTGTCGGCTACCACGTCATCCATTAAATAACGCTTGATACTTTGTTCAAGATTACTTAAGCGAGTGCCATGTCCTTGAACCATTGATGTTAGGTTAGAATTTTCACCGATTATGACATCTACCTTGTTTTGTAAAGTTTTAAGGATTGAATCCATTTTAGAAATGACTCCGGCGTCAACATCGCCAAGTTTGGAATGAAACAAGTTAGACAATTGGTCCACAAACAGAAAAAGGAGTGTCAAATGATCAGATACTTGTTTATCCTGGTGTTTTCTACGTTCTTTCCTTTTCATTTCCTGCAAATAGACACACCAACTCCCCGTTAGGTCTAGGTGTATAGTTAATATTTTTAAAATGTACACACACTTTCTGATACAAATGATTTTAGCTCGTTTTTGAGAAAGGCTGATCAACGTTAGAGTCGCATCTAGAATTGTGACCGACTTTTTCTTAAGAACTTCATCAATCACTCTCTCTCTCTCTCTCTCTCTCTCTCTCTCTCTCTCTCTCTCTCTCTCTCTCTCTCTCTCTCTCTCTCTCTTTCTTTCTCTTTAACTCTCGCAGTCTCCATTAACAGGATCAAGGTGATTCGAAAGCTGTAATCAAAACGGAACAACAATTCTGTTTATGGTAATCTATCAAAGATTTTCTCTTTCTGAACTTCTTACTTATGAACACTACTGTGGATATCAAATTTTTAAACAGGCTGCCTGTGGGTATTCAGAGACAAGAATGCGATATTTACCGGTTGTAATCAAAACGGAACAACAATTCTGTTTATGGTAATCTATCAAAGATTTTCTCTTTTGTGTACAAAACAAAAGTTACAAAAGGATTGACTGATAACTTTACCTGCTTTCGTGAAATTTTTTCAGTTTTACACTGCAAACAATCCACAGGGTATTCTAGGCACTCCTTTTCAAGATGTTCCTACAGTTTACAATTAAGAATGTAAATCTGAGTTTGAAATCGACTACTGCTGTGCTAGAAATGCTAATCATTCTAAATACTTGTTATGCGACATGTGGTAGCATTAGCTGGATGCTCCGTGCATCTCACCAATCAGAATTAAATCCTTACATGTTTGCATATCAAATTCAGAACTAACTTTCATAAACTTGAGATCTTATTTACCAGGAAAGAATCGTTTTTGTTTTTTTTGTTTTTGTTTTTTTGGCCATTCAATCTGCAGTGATTTGTTTGAGGAAGTCATGACACCTTGAATGCTATATTTTACAGTTTCCTATAGTTCTAACAAGAAAATAGCGAAGTGCATAGAAATTTATCAAATAATCATAAAAGACCGACCATACCTCAAGCTTATCAGCTGTAGTCTTTATGGAGCAATACCCACACTGCTGCTCTCTGAAGATACAATCCTCCATAAGGTGCCGAGGTAAGTCATCTCTCCGAACAAGAGTTCCGCAACTGGAATGCACACATGGGACCTTGGCATAGGGGCACTGGGCCTCATGTTTCTAAAATGAATAGTCACGAGTTAGAACTTAGTGTGCATTATGAGCTTCTCGACGTCTGAGCCGAATGCTGACTGACGATGCAAAATCACGACAACTTTTCTTTCTGTGTCTTTCTAGCTAGCTCCCTAAACTCCATAAGATATGTTGGAATTGATGCTAACATACCTCCAACTGCCCCAGTTCCCCACTCCAGTCGCAGCTGTCGCAGTGATTTGCACACTGGACTGGTAACGACAGGATTTCACGCTGCGCAAACTTGTCTTCAAATGTCTGATGGTGGGAGATAAAATTCATTTTAGATTATTTTATATATGTAAACATTATAATTGAGATCGCTATTCTGATTTCTTAGAAAGATGCACCTTTGGTTTCAAAAGGTGGGGTCGACTTGTGAGCCAAGTGGCCTAGTCCACCACGGCTTATCTCGGTTTCAGTAACACGCAACGATAAGGAATATTATACGTACTCCTTCCGTTCTCCAATTCACAGCTGGGAGCTCCCCTCAATCAATTCGTCAAGTTTACCTGACAGTTTAACTTTCAGGTACTCTTCAACCCTTTAACCTCTAAGAGTGACTATTGCATCTAATTCCTCATTACAGTATCACAGCTGAATCAAACATTTAGGTCATGAGAATAATGGAAATGATCAACAAATACGGGAGCTCTTGCCTGTTAAGCAAAATCTCTTTGTCAGCATCTTAGGTCAAACCTCGGTGGACCGTTCATTGTGGAGCAAGATAGAGACAGCGAGAGTGAACCTAGTTCACCTATAAGTTCAAGATCACTTCCTTCCTGGCCTGAATTCCGTGTGGGTTTGTAACTCAGTTGGTAGTAGCGCCTGACAAGAGTTTATATTAACTGTAATCTATTGCGCCAAACTAGCACAGGTTCGAATTCCGTCGAAAACTGAATTTCTATTTCATGGTTCCTTTTCTCGATTGCTTTAATTGCAGGTTACTTGCGAAGATCGTTACTTCACCTACCGTTTTTAAGTAAGTTTAAGAACATAGCCCCCCGATTAGACAGCGGAGCTTAAACGAACTTCATTTTGTTAGAACTGTACAAAAGAAGGATTTGGTAGAATCGGTATCCTCTGCAATAAGCAGTTGTCTAAGTTTTTCGACAGGAATGCTGTTTGTTTCGAGTTTGTCTCACCTCTCCGATCTCTTCGCCATCCACTACACACTTTGGAAATGGCGACCTAAAGACAAGATTTGCCTGTAATGAATATCATATTGACATAAAATCTGATTTCTTGATGCTAGACCCATTAAACGCTGCATTTTGCCATGACCGTGCTATGGGCAAACTTCACTACAAGCCCTAAAATTTCCGCTGATGGGATCTATCTGAGCATTTTAATAAGCACAATAGAGCGATACAGTCATAACAGCATTTATACAAAGAAATGTATTCTGGGGATCAAGGAAAGGAAAAACATTTAGCCAATTCATAAACAATCTTTTCATATATTTATACCTCAACAGTGGCTCCACACATGTCTTGCAATAGCGATGACCGCAGCTCGTCTGAAATGGATCCCTCAGTACCTTTTCACAGTAGGGGCAGAGGTATTTAGCATCAATAGACTTGCCATCCTCGCAAATACAATCACATGTATAACCAGGCATGATCGATGGATAACTGTGGAACAAATGTCGAATTGAGTTCAGAATTTTGTGTCCTCTTTTCAATATCCTTGGAAAAATTAAAACGTTGATATTAATGATTTTTCAAATAATACCCCGAACACCGGCAGAATTTTACAGCGCTCGTTGAAGAAGAAAAGCTAAAGCTAATTCAATAGAATTAGAATCAATATATTCGCACAACCATAGACCAAGGGAAGATTTAAGTAGATATCATATACATTAAAAACTGTTCCCGAAAATTCATGTCTCTGTTCAGCATCGTGACACGTTTATAAGTCACGCAGTTTTGTGTGACAGACAAGTGTTTGTAATCTACATCTTTGTTTTGTTACCTGCCTCTTCACGCTTACTAATTCGGAATGTTTAATGATTCTTGTCTGTTTCAAGTTGTCGCGTTGGAAGCCTTGAAGGACTGTTTGTATTCAATGTAAGCGGTTGAGGGAACGTGAAAGGTCAAATTCATTTAGCTCTCTGTACGTTATAGCTGCTGTATCTCAAAGACAGTAACTAGCGCGAAAACGGGTAAAGTACGAATATTAAGTCTTAGCCAATTTTTGTCTGTCCTTTCTAGAGAAACTGCCCCTAGATAGGTGAGAAGCTCGAAGAAAAAAAGCTTTAAAGGCCAGAATTCAGGGTATTTTCAGAGTTGAAGTATGGGAACTTGGAATGAAATCAAACGGCACATTTTGAATATCCATAACACAATACTTTGGTGTTGTCACTAATAACTAAAATAGTCAAATTGGTTAACAGTATCGCTTGAAACTACACTTATTTAAACGTAACTTACCAATTGTACTGTGAAGCAACGCTAAGTCCTGTTTAACCAAGTCCCTGTACAAAGTCACTAACGTCTCGCTGACGAACGGCTTCAAGACAGCCTTTTTAAACAGTTGGCCCTTTAGTGATTCAACATAATATCATATACAATACGCAATGGCTTGAGAAGGGGGTTCCCCCCATCAAAACGCTAAAGTCCACAAAGCGGAAATCAAACCAAACCGTTTGGATACCCACTTATACTTGTGTTAGGAATTATCACAAATAAGTAAAGCCAATCATGACTCTTTTATTTTTGTCATTTAAAGGAATGTTTTCTTTTTATTTTATTTCAGCTTTTGCTAGATGGTATTAGGTGGTTTACCTGTCATGACAATCGAATTAAAGTTTTACGCATTACCTGCCAAGGGAAAAACCCGTCCTTGGCTGAAGGGAAATTCCTTATAAATGAAAACCGATTAAATAACAACATGAGAAAAACAAACTGATCAGGTTCCCCTTCTCTAGCAAGGTTTAGTAGACAGTCATGATACAGTTTTGTCCATTATTTAGACATGCCTACGTCTGTTCGATTCATTAAGTGCAGCTACCGCAAATGTCAATTTCTTCCACTTAATATTCTGCGTAGTTACCGTTTCCCTTCCTGTATTATATTTCCTCATTCGTGTTATTTTCGATTTAATTCACGTTAATTGATGGGTATCTTAAGAAACCGCCCTGTGGAAGATTGATTGCATTTCCTTGTGCTTTCAAACAGGATTTTTAGAGCGCTTGATATTAATTCAACGGTTATTAAAGGTTAAATTAAAAGGCTATTAAGACAAACGCTGAGGTAGAGGAAATTGGTGTCGCGTGATCTGTGCAGTAGTGGTTCCATATCAAATGCTCGGTAGTTTTATCCAAGAATCATACAAAAGTCACTTTTCACAGTTATTTCCAAATCAATGTACAACCATGATGGAATTGAATGGAAATCAAGGACAGCGTCCGTTGTCTCAGTCTAAACGCTGTCCAACTAAGGTATTATAAGTAACGTAGCTGGGTATGTTACTCACTCTTCAGTAATAGCTTACTTTCGGTGAGGATAGTGAGTCTTCCTTTCCCGAAATCCACAACGTTTTCCATACATTCGTCTAGACATATTCATGCTGATAAACAAACATAACTTTTAGTCAGGGGAATATTTTCTTAGCGCTTTTGTATATATGCATCTGAAATATAAATATAATCAAACAAACACGTGTTCACGAAAACCCTTTTTGTTCTTCGGGGAAAAGGGTGCTTTTTTGCTACTACACATTTTATGCTTCTTTTTATGGTAAGTCTAGTTTTTTTTTATTATAATGTCTGCAAAACGTGGGCAAGCGAATTAAAACAAGGCTCAGAATACACACCGTCGAACCACTTTAAAACACATCTATTTCCGAGAAAGATGAATTGGTGACAAATGTATGAAAAAGGTGATCAGAATAGTAAATGTAAATCGATATTTAAGGTAAGCAACCCTGTTTAGGCTGCTACTTTAATCCTTCAGAATCCTTTCCCTTCACTAAGAAGGTAAATGTTTTTACATGGTGTTAGGCACACCTAGACGGCAGCGATAGTGATGACGACGATGATAACCCTAACGAGGATAATGACGATGACAACCATGGTGACAATGATGAAGACCCTGATGATGAGGATGATGACCATGGTGATGACTATGAAGATGATGATGATGATGACGACGACGTAGATGACTATAAAGATGATAATGATGATGATGACAATGAAGATGATAATGATGATGATGACGATGATGACCATGAAGGTGATAATGATGATAATAATGGTGATGACAATAAGGGGGTTAACGATGACGATGATGACGATGATGACGACCTGGATCAAGTGATTAAAGGTGAGAATAGAGAAGAGGAGGGTCCGTCATTTTCATTTCGATCGAAAGAACTTCTGTTTGTTTTTGTTTTCCTATGCTCTTATTAATTTTTCATTTTTTTTTCCAGATTTTTTACTGTTTTCAATGGTGTAATCAAAGGATTCACATCCTTCAAAGTCCTGATCGTCCTCTTGATTTTCTTAGTTATACAGAAATGCAAGGCATCTATATCTACATTATTGTCCTAGTGGATTAAGGATCGCTGCAAATGTGTCACACTAAAGGAAGAATTATATGTATAAACAACAGCCTCAAGTAGAAGCGAGATGCTTCTCTGCGAACTAAATTTGTCTGTTTCGGGTAGCAATCCGGAAGCGTCGAGGAAGAGGGAAAGTTCATTGATAACATCATGTGCAGATTTCGGCTTTAAATGAATGCCGTTGAGCTCACTGTTCAAATATTCTGAGCAGTGCGAGCGACAAAACATTCAAAAACAGCCTATTATTGAAAATGATTCTGGTGCGATAAATTTTTCAGTATAATTATGGGCAGGTTTGTCTTTTCAAATATAATCACAGAAAATACTATTTTTTTTTAAGTAACAAACGTGGGTTGGAAAAGAAGGGGTTATCATTCAAAGCAAGAGAATGTAAACAGATTACAATATCTTGCTTATACATTAAACACTTTTAGCTTACATTCATTTCAATAACCCGTTAAGGCCAATAGCACTCGAATATTATCATATAATGCATTATAAATTCAGATCAACAAAATTATGCAGGAAAAAAAACATTGCAGCTTTATTTAAAGGTTATAAGTCCCCAGTATCAACAATAACTTTGATAAACATAGTATCGTCCTTTACATAAGCGTGGTTGTTTAACTGTGTCATAGCACAGAAGGTCGGGCACCCACTGGCTATGTTCATATCCCTTTTTGGTCTCTGGAATGAGGAGCTACTCGGATCAGGTCTGAAGGCGTCAACTACGTGTTCTACGTTATCCTGATCTAATAACATAAAGCTGACCTTTTGTCTAAATGGCCAGTGGAGTATTGCGTCATACTCACCGCGCATAACAACAAAGAATATTGAAAAATGTGTTCCCTTTCCGATACCATCACCGTTTAGATAGATGCGCGCGCACATCTTATAACCGTGACGACTAGTATAGAAACAGGGACTATAAGTAGATACGTGTTGGCCGGATCTCGCCTCATTTCGTTTTCGGGTGAAGTCAGTAATTTTCATTTGCATTTCCGAGTTAAATTCAACCAAAAGAACTTCATGATTGGCTGCCTTAGCATCCTGATTGTCCAGCTTTTGTAGAATATTCACAATTTCAGCTTGCGAAGAGCGATGCGCTGATGAATTTAAGGGAGCGCTGTCGGCTACCACGTCATCCATTAAATAACGCTTGATATTTTGTTCAAGATTACTTATGCGAGTGCCATGTCCTTGAACCATTGATGTTAGGTTAGAATTTTCACCGATTACGACATCTATCTTGTTTTGTAAAGTTTTAAGGATTGCATCCATTTTAGAAATGACTCCGGCGTCAACATTGCCAAGTTTGGAATGAAACAAGTTAGACAATTGGTCCACAAACAGAAAAAGGAGTGTCAAATGATCAGATACTTGTTTATCCTGGTGTCTTCTACGTTCTTTCCTTTTCATTTCCTGCAAATAGACACACCAACTCCCCGTTAGATCTAGAGGTATAGTTAATTTTTTTAAAAATGTACACACACTTTCTGATACAAATGAATTTAGTTCGTTTTTGAGAGAGGCTGATCAACCTTAGAGTCGCATCTAGAATTGTGATCGATTTCTTTAGGAACTTCATCTATCACTCTCTTTGTGTGTTTACCCGTCAAGTTGTCAAAATAAAATTGATTTACAGTAATCGTTCTCTTAATCTCTATCTCTCTCTCTCTCTCTCTCTCTCTCTCTCTCTCTCTCTCTCTCTCTCTCTCTCTCTTAATACTCACCCCTTTCTGTTTGCATCCCACTTTATGAAAAGGACACGGAGCTTTAACAGCTTCGCAGTCTCCATTAACAGGATCAAGGTGACTCGAAAGCTGTAATCAAAACGGAACAACAATTCTGTTTATGGTAATCTATCAAAGATTTTCTCTTTTTGAACTTCTTATTGATGAACACTACTGTGGATATCAAATTTTTAAACAGGCTGCCTGTGGGTATTCAGAGACAAGAATGCGATATTTACCGGTTCTGTAAAAAACCTGATCGGAAATCTAATTGAGATGTAGTAAATGATAACAAGTTACGCCTTTGTGTACAAAACAAAAGTTACAGAAGGATTGACTGATAACTTTACCTGCTTTCGTGGAATTTTTTCAGTTTTACACTGCAAACAATCCACAGGGTATTCTAGGCACTCCTTTTCATGGTGATCCTACAGTTTACAATCAAGAATGTCAATATGAGTTTGAAATTTACGTTTTCAACCTAGTTGTTAACACTAAATTACCTGCTATACTCTCCCACCGACGCAGCTCCAGTTTGAAATCGACTGCTGCTGTGCTAGAAATGCTAATCATTATGAATACTTGTCATGCGACATATGGTAACATCAGCTGGATGCTCCGTGCATCTCACCAATCAGAGTTAAATCTTTACATGTTTGCATATCAAATTCAGAGCTTGAGATCTTATTTACTAGAAAAGAATGGTTTTTGTTTTTTTTTTGTTTTTTTGGCCTTCAATCTGCAGTGATTTGTTTGAAGAAGTCATGACACGTTGAATGCTATATTTTACAATTTCCATCAGCTCTGATAAGAAAATATCGGCGTGCATAGAAATTTATCAAATAATAATAAAAAAAAAAGACTGACTATACCTCAAGCTTATCAGCTGTAGTCTTTATGGAGCAATACCCACACTGCTGCTCTCTGAAGATACAATCCTCCACAAGGTGCCGAGATAAGTCATCTCTCTGAACCAGGGTTCCGCAACTGGGATGCACACATTGGACCTTGGCATAGGGACACTGGGCCTCGTGTTTCTGAAATGAACAGTCACGAGTTAGAACTTAGTGTGCATTATAAGCTTCTCGACGTCTGAGCCAGATGCTGACTGTCGATGTAAAATCATAACAACTCAATAATCGTTACCAGTAGACCTCTCAGGGTTCCTCAACCTCAACCCATCTCCGTCTTTTATCCATGAACATTTCTCAGACAGTAATGCATGATTTAGGTTTATGTCTATTTTTTCATCCTTAATGCTCTTATGATCTAGGAATGCATCTTTCTAGTTAGCTTCATAGGCTCCAAAATATATAATGAAATTGATGCAAACATACCTCGAACTGCCTCAATTCCCCACTCCACTCGCAGCCGTCGCAGTGATTTTCACACTGGACTGGTAACGACAGGATTTCACGCTGCGCAAACTTGTCTTCAAATATCTAATGGTGGGAGAAAAAATTCCTTTTTAGATCAGTTTATCTATGTAAACATTAAGATTGAGATCGCTATTCTGGTCTCTTGGAAAGATGCACCGTTGGTTTCAAAGAGTGGGGTTGACTGTGAGCCAGGTGGCCTGGTACCCTCACTGGGCTTATCTTGGTTCCCGTAACATGAAGCGATTAGGAATATTACTACCCTCCCGTCCTACAATCCATGGCAGCCCCCCTCCCCCCCTCCACCTCAATCAATTTGTCAAGTTATCCTAACAAGTTACCTTTCTGGTACTCTTTAATACTCGCAGATGCAAAAAGAGGCTCTGAGGCAGTGGAATGCCTTGGCAAAGACACTACACAACAGAATGTCCCTGTCATTGTCGAACCTCGGCAGAACGTTCACTGTGGAGCCCTGAAAGCTAACCACTCCTGGTCACCTCTCTGTCTGTAAGATAGAGACAGTGACAGTGAACCTAATTCTCCCATGAGTTCAAGATCTCCTCATGTACATCCAACTAGCTGACCTGAGAGGCACAGGTTCGAATCCTCCTTGTCAAAGCCTGAAAGTTATTTTTCGGCTTCTTCTCCCCAATTGCCTTCGATGCAGCCCACATGTTAGGTTCGTTACTTCACTTTCCGATGTTTAGTAAAATAAAGTGCAGTGCCTCCCGATTATACAATGGTGCTAAAAGGCATTTTTGTAAGAACTTTGCAAAAGATGGATTCGGTAGAAAATACTCTGCAATTAGCGTATAACTCAGTTTTCGACAAGAACAAACTGATTGTCTTACCTCTCCGAACTCTTCCCCATCCACCACACACCTTGGAGAGGGCAACCTAACGATGGAATTTGCCTGATATAAATATCATGTTGACAAAAATCAGATCGTTTGATGCTGGACCTGTTAAATGTTGCATTTGGCCATGACAGTGCTATAGGCAAATCATACTACAAGACTACCATTTCAGCTGATAGGATCTTGAACTGAGAAATTTAACAAGCACAATAAGGCGTATCAAGGAAAGGAAAAACTTTATTTCCTTTGATGTATTACCTTAACAATGACTCCACACATGACTTGCAGTAGCGATGACCGCAGCTCGTCTGAACTGGATCCCTCAATACCTTTTCACAGTGGAGGCAGAGGTATTTGGGATCAACAGACTTTCCATTCTCGCAGATACGATCGCATGTGTAACCAGGCATGATCGGTGGATATCTAGAGAATCAATTGTAACGTTAACCTCTTAATTTTATCTCTCCGCAACGGCACAGCTGGTAAGATGAAAACCATCATTTATGTAATGATTTTCCAAAGACTGAGTACTCCAATCACTGGTGGGGTTTGCAGCACACGAGCAGTGCCTAAGGTTTACGCACAACTTGAGTTCAACAGGAGATCCAGTGGGGAAAAAATCAGGCCTGAACCTCCTGTGACACGGTTTTTTTGGTCACGCAGTATTGTGTGACAACCACCTCTTTGTTATGTCGCGTGCTCGGTTGATACGGAATGTTTATAATTAATGACTTTCGTCTAATGCAAATTGTCGTTGGTGTGATCAACTCAAGCGGTGTGAAATATTTTTAAGTTAAGTTTCATTCCCAGTCAGATGTATTTTTGCTGTCTGTGCCGCAGTCTGCTTTTAAATGCACATTAATCGCTCAAGATATGGAAAAGTTCGAGAAAATGTTAATTCAACATACTTCCCGCGCGCGCCATTTCTCGTCTTTCGTTTCAAGGAATGAAACTGCCTGTGGAAGATTGAGGGGCCGAAATAACCAGTGGAAAAAATAAATTTTGAATACAAAATTATATTGCAAAAACTTGGAAGAATAAAAGCAATGCATTTCAAAGATGTGAGCTATGGTTAAATACACAGGGCAGGTTTAAATTTGTCAATTTCATCTCACTACTAAGGAGAAATTTTGCCTTAAAGGCTTGCATTTGTGCCTAACAGAAATTTAACTTACCAACTGTAAACGCTAAAACCTGTTTTACCGAGTCCGTGTGCAAAATCAGCGACGACTGCTTGATAACCGATACTACTTTTCGATTTAAATAGTGTTGTTCGCACATGACGTAGTTGTAGGGGTTTACCCAAGGGAAAACCCCCTGAAGAACGTGATCGAAATATGTTAATCCCTGCCTCGCCTTTGCAAAGAATCCATTGGCAAGCATCTTTCAATTTCTGACTGTTTCCCCCACTTTTCTCGATCATACATAATTCGGTTCATTGCTAAGGTGAAAGTGCTCATTCGGCTCTCTCTGAAATTCTTACCGACATTTTCGAACGTAAACTGTCAATCTTAGATTTCATTGACCTACAGCATCCATTGTCATATGTATCGTGGGAAACCCTGCCTCTCTGCAAAGCCTTGTTTTCTATTTACGAGCCAAAGGGCAATATTTCGACAAATTAAGAGTCAATAAGAATTTTTAGTACGCTTTTGACACCTATAGCGTTCCAGCTAACTCAAGATAACCAAAGTTTTCGTTTGGAAGGGAGATTAGTGCTATTTTTGACACAAATTACATTGTTTATCAAAAGTCGAGAGACATCTATCAATTTTGACGTTGTATATTTTTATCCCCTACTCGCATCTCCGATATCAATGGAGGGTTTTCCCCTAAAAGCTCCAAGTACCTTCCTTTGCCACTTTATTTGCAACGCGTCCGCATCATTTCGAGCTAGATCTCATACAAAATCGAGAAATCCAGCGATCGAATCGCGATAGATTGATAGATGTGTAACTGGTAAAATATAATCATCATGCTATTTGCTTCTTTCTGATTTGATCACATACGCTCCGTGATAAATCCTGAGTGGCATCAAAGGTAAAAACAAAAACAATTCATACCTTCGAAACTGACCTTAAGACCTTGTTAGGAAATAATCAAGGCCACAACAATACTTACATATAAAAGAGAAACTCTGAATTCCGTGGAACACTTTGTGCATATCGGTCTAAATGTGACGAGCAAGTTATGGTTGCTAATGGGGTAAATGAACACTTGAAAGAGGATTGCAAGTGCACATCAGAAGTCTATGGATTCCGAAGAGGAAAAACCAATTTGAACAAGATGAAGGTACTGTGTGGTGAAGTAAAATAGCTCCCTAATGGATTAATTTTAGAAAAAAATATGTCAACCCTTCTGATCTTGTAGGCTTGAGTTTGTGTAAGGTGCAAAAACTTTGGCTCAAAGAATAAGTGCTCTCTTGACAGTGTCTATGAATCGCTAAAATTCACAATTCGGTCAAAGTGCTTATTTTCATTGATAATAATTAAACCATTCTACTGAGAAAATATTGTACCCATGAATTACGGTGACGTTTTCCAATTTGCATGTAGCGTTTTCAAGGTCATTTTCACCGGAATTAAGTCAATATAAAGAATAGCACCAAATTTCATTTTTCCGTGTAATTCAATAGCCAAAAAAGACTTTGGGTGCGTTGCCATTATACCAGTGCAAAAATGCTCTTGTAGTTGGATTAGATACTTTCACGTGGCTTAACCCTGCGTCTTTCGAAATAATTTACAATCTTACTAATGTAGATATTTAAATATCTTAAAACTGTGATATTCAAAAATCTAAATTTATAGTACTCAATACACAATGTGTCGAAGTTCTCTCCTTTATTTATACGCAGCCTATGGCCTTTCAGGATCACAAAGAGGCAGATTGTCCCGCAAATTCAGTCGTTTGTAAGAAATGCAATGAGGACGGCACTCCTAAAGCAAAGGTAACATAGAATAATTTCAATAACTAGATGAATGTAGGTTTTGTTGCGTTCATAATAAAATGAGTTAATTATGTTATAACAAATGACATTTACACTCAAAAACATCTCATTTCATAGACCATAAGATGATAGGCAAATTTTGCTTATGCATCCCCCATATTTAATAAAGTAGACAGCGAGGGTGTTGCGGTGAAACTCGTTGAATAAACACGTTCAGTCTCATAATTTGGAAAACTGAGAATTAAGGAGCAACTTTAGCTGTAATTGACAAATCACTTTATAAACAGCCCGTATACTTCTCTATCACATCGATACGCCTCTACAAAAACTAGGATATTGTTTATATGTAGCACTCACTGTTTCACCCAACGCAATTTAACCATATTTGATATTCAGGGTCTGAGCGAAATAAGTTAAATTTTTCAATTATTTCGGGACATCCTTTTCCATATGCTTTTCTGTAGGAGTGCTTGCTGCTTCTAGCACGTGGCGGCGAAAAAAGTAAAATTTGCTATGGTATCTTAATAGGCGCAAACAGCATTCCCGCCAAAACACATCATCACCTCCGATACACAACTCGTTTGTCACGTTTGAGACCACATGAAATTTAACGTGATATCAGTATATGTTAGAAGACGATTTGGTGTATAATATCGCTGAGCATTTTTACGGATTGTACCGTATTTTGAGGAGTTAACCGTATTGTACCGTATTTTGAGGAGTTGGCATTGACCGATTCGACTTAGAAGCTAAGCGATTCTTTTTTCAAGTTTGGAAAAGCGCTTTTTGAGTTTCATTTATTGAGATGATGGTGAGACATCTCGCATACTTCTTATGGTCTGTCATTTCCAGCCTCTTTGGATCTGACAATTGCTGCTGGTGTTGCGAACGTGACCTAGGGCAGTTCTGGTTAGATCTCAGACACAAAATGAACTAGAGTGCTAGACAAGGACTTTGCAAGTCGCTTTTAAAATGTGCTATGATTTAGAAACCAGAGACTTTCCTGGCTACTTGCTGTTTGTTATTGTTTTATTAAATCTAAAATGATTCAAAGTAACTGGTCGATGGTAATGACCAATCGGACTGCGAGGCTGTTATACTTACAAAGCTTTTTTGTTTATTCTACCGAAAGTTCTCACAGTTATTTCCAAATCAATGTACAACCATGATGGAATTGAATGGAAATCAGGGACAGCGTCCGTCTAAACGCTGTTCAACTAAGGTAATATAAGTAACGTGACTGGGTATGTTGACTTACACTTCAATAATAGCTTAATTTCGTGGAGGATAGTGAGTCTTTCTTTCCCGAAATCCACTACGTTTTCCTTACATTCGTCTAGAAATATCCATGCTGATAAACAAACATCACTTTTAGTTAGGAAAATATTTTCTAAGCGCTTTTGTTCATATGCATCTGAAATACAAATATAATCAAATAAACACGTGTTTACGAAAACCCTTTTTGTTATTCGAGGAAAACGGCGCTTTTTTGCTACTACACATTTTATGCTTCTTTTTGTGGTAGGTCTAGCTTTTTTTCCATTATAATGTCTGCAAAACGTGGGCAAACGAATGAAAACAAGGCTCAGTCGAACCAATTTAAAACACATATATTTCCAAGAAAGATGAATTGGTGACAAATAATGTATGAAAAAGGTGATCAGAATAGTAAATGTCAATCGTTATTTAAGGTAAACAATCCTTTTTAGGCTGCTACTCTACTCCTTCAGAATCCTTTCCCTCCACTCCTAAGAAGGTAAATGTTTTTTACATGGTGTTAGGCACACCTAGAAGGCAGCGATAGTGATGACGACGAAGATAACCCTGACGAGGATAATGCCGATGACAACCATGGTGACAATGATGATGACCCTGATGATAAGGATGATAACAATCGCGATGACTATGAAAATGATACTGATGATGATGACGATGATGACTATAAAGATAATAATGATGATGATGACGATGATGACTATAAAGACGATAATGATGATGACAATGAAGATGATAATGATGATGATGACAATGATGACCATGAAGGTGATAATGATGATAATGATGGTGATGACAATGAAGGTGATAACGATGACGATGATGACGACCTGGATCAAGTGATTAAAGGTAAGAATAGAGAAGTGGAGGGTCCACCATTTTCATTTCGAGCGAAAGAACATCTGTTTGTTTTTGTTTTCCTATGTTCTGTTTTGTTTCCTTTTTACTTTCATGGTGTAATCTTATCATTAATACACACTTATTTGACATTTATTAATTTCTTTAATAATTTTTTTTTATCTGACAGATTTCCTCTCTAACACTGTTTACGTGCAACACGAACTGTAGGAGGCAAGAGAGTGAAATCATTGCGAAAACCTCCGGCAAGAGAGTGAAATCATTGCGAAAACCTCCGCTAAGCCAGAGGATTTGATGATCCTTCAATAAACATAAACTAAAGAAAGTCCTGATCTTCCTCTTGATTTTCTTAGCTAAAATGTTACAAACAGTAAAATCGATGGTTACACTGGTTAACAACAGAACTACAGCTCTCTAATGCTCGAGGGTTTCGTTGCCATTATTTGGATGGCGAGAGATGGGGTGAAAGGAAATGAGGGAACGATCGATTCAGTTTGAAAGTTTTCATGTAAGTCGTATACTTATTGCTTGCTTCGAATAGCAACGAACTACTTCAGCAAATCAAAAACCACATCTGACAAACTTGACGAATACAAGTGTCAAACTCGATCGATAAAGTTTTATTGAAGGGCAAAAAACAAAACCGAATCGAGAAAGCATGGAGAAAGGTGTGGCTATCTAAAAAAAACGATTCTTCTAAATTTGTTCATAGTGGGAACAAAGAAACAAAACAGAACAACGACAAGCGATATTAGCCTTTAATTTTTATTACAATCTCATCAGAGACAAAGTAAAGCTGTGTCAAACATCAAACAGTAGGCAGTGCAAGGCATCTGGATCTACATTATTGTCCTAACGGATTAAGGATCGCTGCAAATGTGTCACACCGAAGGAAGAATTTTATGTATAAACAACAGCCTTAAGTAGATGCGAGATGCTTCTCCGCGAACTAAATTTGTCTGTTTCGGGTAGCAATCCGGAAGCGACGAGGAAGAGGGAAAGTTCATTGATAACGTCATGTGCAGATTTCGGCTTTAAATGAAAGCCGTTGAGCTCACTGTTCATATATTCTGAGCAGTGAGAGGGACAAAACATTCAAAAACAGCTTATTATTGAAAATGATTCTGGTGCCATTAATTTTTTAGTATGATTATAAGCAGGTTTGTCTTTTCAAATATAATAACAAAAGATTCTTTTTTTTTTTTAATTAACAAACGTGGGTTGGAAAAGAAGTGGTTATCACTCAAAGCAAGAGAATGTAAACAGATTACAATATCTTGCTTAAACATTAAACACATTTAGCTTACATTCATTTCAATAACCCGTTAGGGCCAATAGCACTCTGTTACGGATACTAGCCAGAAGGCTCATTTTTATAATTGATTATTGATTAGTTAACTAATTTCAGAATGATCTTAGATACGTACATAGTTACAATGTTTATCTGTTTTTTCTGCATTTCTATTGGTTTTGTAATCGGACCTTTCGGCGTCACCACGCGCATATAAAAGATTAGTTTAGCGTCCCTTTAATCAGTTCCTCTTAAGTTCTTGAGTTGTCTTGACAAACTTTCGCTCTTTCTCGATTTCTCAACCTTTGGCACAAGCGGGACCGATATGTGAGTACTTTTGTAACTTTGTTTTTTTTTCTAGTCTACCTTTTCAGTGTTGGGCGATAATATACGAACAGATATTCCGTTGTATTGTAGTTTTTCGCGATTGATTTAAGATTTAAAAGCCAAAATTGTACCAAATGCAAGTGAACGCCCACCATCTAGATAAAAACAATGGGCTGTTATCCAGCCACCTAAAATTCTTGTAATTTGTATCCAAACTTTTGTACATTGTACTGTTTCATTTGCTCTTTGTCATTTTTAATCTCTTTATCGACGTTTAGGCCCAATTCTTTACACGCGATTCTTTGATTATGTATTCCGCGACATTTCATTATATTGATAGAGCTTCGTTGCATTGTTGTTTCAGCCAGATCGATAGATTGATTGATTGTGCAATTGCTCGTGATTTTTCGTCGTTGATTGTGGTTCGTGGTTGATTGCCTTTCAAGAGTAAAAATTCGTGCAAACAGTCAACTTTGGTTCGTCATATTAATCTGTAAATTAGTCCCTAACACCTCTTTAACCGCGTTCGGAGCGGAGCCCCTTGGGACTTGAGACCCTAGACTTTTTGGTCGCCGTAAACGCCACACACTCGAATATTATCATATGATGCATTATAAATTCAGATCAACAAAATTATGCAGGAAAAAAACATTGCAGCTTTGTTTAAAGGTTATAAGTCCCCAGTATCAACAATAACTTTGATAAATATGGTATCGTCCTTTACATAAGCGTGGTTGTTTAACTGTGTCATAGCACAGAAGGTCGGGCACCCACTGGCTATGTTCATATCCCTTTTTGGTCTCTGGAATGAGGAGCTACTCGGATCAGGTCTGAAGGCGTCAACTACGTGTTCTACGTTATCCTGATCTAATAACATTAAGGTGACCTTTTGTCTAAATGGCCAGCGGAGTATTGCGTCATACTCACCGCGCATAACAACAAAGAATATTGAAAAATGTGTTCCCTTTCCGATACCATCACCGTTTAGATAGATGCGCGCGCACATCTTATAACCGTGACGACTAGTATAGAAACAGGGACTATAAGTAGATACGTGTTGGCCGGATCTCGCCTCATTTCGTTTTCGGGTGAAGTCAGTAATTTTCCATAAAAGCACACCATTGTAGCTTGAGAATTGCTCTTGCCTAACGTAATCTTCTAGCTCAGCTATAGCAATGTTTCTAGCACCTAGAGTATGTTCTAGATACTCCGTCCGTCGTTGAAGTTTTCTTATCTCATCGTTAGCAGTTTTAAGCTGAGCCTCCAGTCTTTTTATTTCTCTATTCCTATTTTGCATTTCCGAGTTAAATTCAACCAAAAGAACTTCATGATTGGCTGCCTTAGCATCCTGATTGTCCAGCTTTTGTAGAATATTCACAATTTCAGCTTGCGAAGAGCGATGCGCTGATGAATTTAAAGGAGCACTGTCGGCTACCACGTCATCCATTAAATAACGCTTGATACTTTGTTCAAGATTACTTAAGCGAGTACCATGTCCTTGAACCATTGATGTTAGGTTAGAATTTTCACCGATTATGACATCTACCTTGTTTTGTAAAGTTTTAAGGATTGAATCCATTTTAGAAATGACTCCGGCGTCAACATCGCCAAGTTTGGAATGAAACAAGTTAGACAATTGGTCCACAAACAGAAAAAGGAGTGTCAAATGATCAGATACTTGTTTATCCTGGTGTTTTCTACGTTCTTTCCTTTTCATTTCCTGCAATTAGACACACCAACTCCCCGTTAGGTCTAGGTGTATAGTTAATATTTTTAAAATGTACACACACTTTCTGATACAAATGATTTTAGCTCGTTTTTGAGAAAGGCTGATCAACGTTAGAGTCGCATCTAGAATTGTGACCGACTTTTTCTTAAGAACTTCATCAATCACTCTCTCTCTCTCTCTCTCTCTCTCTCTCTCTCTCTCTCTCTCTCTCTCTCTCTCTCTCTCTCTCTCTCTCTCTCTCTCTCTCTCTCTCTCTCTCTCTCTCTCTCTCTCTCTCTCTTAATACTCACCCCTTTCTGTTTGCATCCCACTTTATGAAAAGGACACGGGGCTTTAACAGCTTCGCAGTCTCCATTAACAGGATCAAGGTGACTCGAAAGCTGTAATCAAAACGGAACGACAATTCTGTTTATGGCAATCTATCAAAGTTTTTTTTTTCTTTTTCAACTTCTTATTTATGAACACTACTGTGGATATCAAATTTTAGACAGGCTGCCCTGTGGGTATTCAGAGACAAGGATGTGACATTTACCGGTTCTGTGCAAAACCTGATCGGAAATCTAATTGAGATGCAGTTAATGTTAACAAGTTACGACTTTGTGTACAAAACAAAAGTATTGCACTATAAGAAGGATTGACTGATAACTTTACCTGCTTTCGTGGAATTTTTTCAGTTTTACATTGCAAACAATCCACAGGGTATTCTTGGCACTCCTTTTCATGATGATCCTACAGTTTACAATCAAGAATGTCAATATGAGTTTGAAATCGACTGCTGCTGTGCTAGAAATGCTAATCATTATGAATACTTGTCATGCGACATATGGTAGCATCAGCTGGATGCTTCGTGCATCTCACCAATCAGAATTAAATCCTTACATGTTTGCATATCAAATTCAGAGCTAATTTCCATAAACTTGAGATCTTATTTACTAGGAAAGAATCGTTTTTTTTTTTTGTTTTTTTGGCCATTCAATCTGCAGTGATTTGTTTGAAGAAGTCATGACACGTTGAATGCTATATTTTACAATTTCCATCAGCTCTAATAAGAAAATATCGGCGTGCATAGAAATTTATCAAATAATAATAAAAAAAAAGACTGACCATACCTCAAGCTTATCAGCTGTAGTCTTTATGGAGCAATACCCACACTGCTGCTCTCTGAAGATACAATCCTCCACAAGGTGCCGAGATAAGTCATCTCTCTGAACCAGGGTTCCGCAACTGGGATGCACACATTGGACCTTGGCATAGGGACACTGGGCCTCGTGTTTCTGAAATGAACAGTCGCGAGTTAGAACTTAGTGTGCATTATAAGCTTCTCGACGTCTGAGCCAGATGCTGACTGTCGATGTAAAATCATAACGGCTCAATAATCGTGACCTGTAGACCTCTCAGGGTTCCTCAAGCCTCAAACCATCTCCGTCTTTTATCCATGAACATTTCTCAGACAGTAATGCATGATTTAGGTTTATGTCTATTTTTTCATCCTTAATGCTCTTATGATCTGGGAATGCATCTTTCTAGTTAGCTTCATAGGCTCCAAAATATATAATGGAATTGATGCAAACATACCTCGAATTGCCTCAGTTCCCCACTCCACTCGCAGCCGTCGCAGTGATTTTCACACTGGACTGGTAACGACAGGATTTCACGCTGCGCAAACTTGTCTTCAAATATCTGATGGTGGGAGGAAAAAATTCCTTTTTAGATTAGTTTATCTATGTAAACACTTAGATTGAGATCGCTATTCTGGTCTCTTGGAAAGATGCACCGTTGGTTTCAAAGAGTGGGGTTGACTGTGAGCCAGGTGGCCTGGTACCCTCATGGCTTATCTTGGTTCCCGTAACATGAAGCGACTAGGAATATTACTACCCTCCCGTCCTACAATCCATGGCAGCCCCCCTCCCCCCCTCCACCTCAATCAATTTGTCAAGTTATCCTAACAAGTTACCTTTCTGGCACTCTTTAATACTCACAGATGCAAAAAGAGGCTCTGAGGTAGTGGAATGCCTTGGCAAAGACACTACACAACAGAATGTCCCTGTCATTGTCGAACCTCGGCAGACCGTTCACTGTGGAGCCCTGAAAGCTAACCACTCCTGGTCACCTCTCTGTCTGTAAGATAGAGACAGTGACAGTGAACCTAATTCTCCCATGAGTTCAAGATCTCCTCATGTACATCCAACTAGCTGACCTGAGAGGCACAGGTTCGAATCCTCCTTGTCAAAGCCTAAAAGTTATTTTTCGGCTTCTTCTCCCCAATTGCCTTCGATGCAGCCCACATGCTAGATTCGTTACTTCACTTTCCGATGTTAAGTAAAATAAAGTGCAGAGCCTCCTGATTATACAATGGTGTTAAAAGGTATTTTTGTAAGAACTTTGCAAAAGATGGATTCGGTAGAAAATACTCTGCAATTAGCGTATAACTCAGTTTTCGACAAGAACAAACTGATTGTCTCACCTCTCCGAACTCTTCCCCATCCACCACACACCTTGGAGAGGGCAACCTAACGATGGAATTTGCCTGATATAAATATCATGTTGACAAAAAATCAGATCGTTTGATGCTGGACCTGTTAAATGTTACACTTGGCCATGACAGTGCTATAGGCAAATCATACTACAAGACTACCATTTCAGCTGATAGGATCTTGAACTGAGAATTTTAACAAGCACAATAAGGCGTATCAAGGAAAGGAAAAACTTTCTTTCCTTTGATGTATTACCTTAACAATGACTCCACACATGACTTGCAGTAGCGATGACCGCAGCTCGTCTGAACTGGATCCTTCAATACCTTTTCACAGTGGAGGCAGAGGTATTTGGGGTCAATGGACTTTCCATTCTCGCAGATACGATTGCATGTGTAACCAGGCATGATCGATGGATATCTAGGGAATCAATTGTAAAGTTAACCTCCTAATCTTATCTCTCCGTAACGGCACACCTGGAAAGATGAAAACCATCATTTGTGTAATGATTTTCCAAAGACGGAATATTCCGATCGCTGGTGGGGTTTGCAGCATACGAGCAGTGCCTAAGGTTTACGCACAACTTGAGTTCAATAGGAGATCCAGTGGAAAAAATCAGGCCTGAAGCTCCTGTGACACGGATTTTTTTGGTCACGCAGTATTGTGTAACAACCACCTCTTTCGTCTAATGCAAATTGTCGTTGGTGTGATCAACTCAAGCGGTGTGAAATATTTTTAAGTTCAGTTTCATTCCTAGTCAGATATATTTTTGCTGTTTGCGCCTCAGTCTGCTTTTAAACGCAAATTAATCGCTCAAGATATGGAAAAGTTCGAGTAAATGTTAATTCAACATACTTCCCGCGCGCGCCATTTCTCGTCTTTCGTTTCAAGGAATGAAACTGCCTGTGGAAGATTGAAGGGCCGAAATAACCAGTGGAAAAAATTAATTTTGAATACAAAATTAAGTTGCAAAAACTTGGAAGAATAAAAGCAATACATTTCAAAGATGTGAGCTATGGCTAAATACACAGGCCAGGTTTAAATTTGCCAATTTCATCTCACTACTAAGGAGAAATTTTGCCTTAAAGGCTTACATTTAAGCCTAACAGAAATTTAACTTACCAACTGTGCTGTGTTGCAACGCTAAAACCTGTTTTACCGAGTCCGTGTGCAAAATCAGCGACGACTGTTTGATAACCGAGACGATACTTCGCTTTATTTAAATGATTTTGACTACACATGACGTATTGTAGGGGTTTTACCGCTGGGGAAAAACCCCTTGAAAGTGAAAGTGCTCAATCCGCCATTTCTGGAATTCTTACCGACATTTTCGAACGTAAACTGTCAATTTTAGATTTAATTGACATACAACATCTATTGCCATACGTATCGTGGGAAACCCTGCCTCTCTGCAAAGCTGTGTTTTCCATTTACGAGCCAAAGGGCAATATTTCGACAAATGAAGAGACAATAAGAATTTTTAGTACGCTTTTGATACCTATAGCGTTCCAGCTCAAGATAACCAACGTTTTCGTTGGAAGGGAGATTAGCGCTATTTTTGACACAAATTACATTAGAGGAGTGGGTTAGAGCTCATAATTGTTGTTCATCAAAAGTCGAGAGACATCTATCAATTTTGACGTTGAATGTTTTTATCCCTCACTCGCATCTCCGATATCGATGGGGGTTTTCCCCTAAAAAAAAGCTCTTACTTCCGTAATCGTTTCACTTCCGTTTGGAGACTGCAGACTTTGGGCAATTATTTATTGTACATGTACATAGGACATTGATTTTTGGAGTTGATTCCGGGGAACTCTTTCCACAAAAATTTTGCCACGGGAATTTCTAGACTGGTACAGTCTTCTACGAAAACAAACCTGCATACATTGCTTAGAACCCAACAAACACCCTCAAACGGTTAGACCCTTAATTAATTTTTAATCAAATGGAAACGTATTTGGATGTCGAAAAGCCTCATGTTATTGTGCTAAATTGCAGATTTTTTTTCCTCGATGTTCTCTGAACGGCGGTTTTGGGTGATTTTAAGAGTTCCGCGGCGGACCCTCATCTAAGTGTATTGTACTGCGACAGGGGAGGAAAGGTTGAATTTCACCGACAAATAACCGTCGCATAGGTTCGAAACCCCACACCAGATAAGTTGAAAGCCCCAAGTTCCTTCCCGTGCCATTTTATCTGCAACACGTCCGCATCATTTCGAGCTAGATCTCAAACAAAATCGAGAAATCCAGCGATCGAAGCGCGATAGATTGATAGATGTGTAACTGGTAAAATTATCATACTATTTTCTTCTTTCTGATTTGATCACATACGCTCCGTGATAAGTCCTGAGTGGCATCAAAGGTAAAAGCAGGATAAATGGCTACTGGCTATTCAGCATATTTGTGGTTAAAAACAAAAACAATTCATACCTTCGAAACTGAAATTTAAGATTTTGTTAGGAAATAATCAATGCCAGAACAATACTTACATTTAAAATTAGCAGAAGGGGCAAACCCCAATATTTGGTCACGCAATCCTGTTTTAAATTTCGTTTTCGTTTTCATTTCATTTTTCATTTTTCTTTGTAACCACTAACAAGAAAGGTTACTGAAAAACTATGAAAAACAATTCGAGGTCAGAAGAAGAATTAAGAAAATGGTCAGAAACTTTCATAAATATTATTACTAGTAGTGCAGAATACACCGGGTAAATTACTGCCACTCGCTGAAAAGTGGAGGGTTCTGTTGTCAAATATACAAACTTTAATTACTGACGCTATGCAAACGAAAAAACCATTAAATCATTAAGCAAGTTTTGAATTTTACAAGGAGAATGTAGTCAAACCCTCTGTTGATGTCAATGGTCTTATTTTAATTTTTTCGGAAAGGAAATAATCCCTGCTGCTGGTCAAAACTGAGACCGTGGAGGTGACCGAATGACATATTATATATACTGATTCTGCATATAGTCGGAAGTAAAGTTGCAATTCAGTTGCACTTCACTTCAGCAGTTTGGTTTTAATACTAAGCGATGATCATCATTGATGGCCAACTCGTATGATCGCGTGAATGACTCGTGTACCAATGTTCACATGGTCACGCGTGAAGTCTAGAGGAGTTTATACCCTTCACCCTCCCACGACTCGTGCAATTTAATTTGAGAACGTTCACATAAATACTCAAACAATAAATCGCAAAATAGCAACCAGTGCAAATGCACGAGTGGTACATGTGATTCATTAGGTGTACTTGGAGATTAAACACGCTTTACTGAGCTTTCGATAAAGACAGTGGTTGGAGAACGGCCTGTTTATCAATTTCTTCTCTTTTATTTAACTTCTGATCTTACCTTCGGGAAGAGGGAGATGAGAAAATATTGAGGCTGAAGGCCATGTCCAGTCATAACTGACCTGGTGAACAACGGATGTCTTAACTATATAAGCAAACGATGACAACAGAGATTTTGCTCCGAGCGGGGAAATAACCTCATCTAATTCCAGCCAATCAAAACACAACATTTGTTCCATCTAAGCAAAACTATCAAAATTATGAATGAACCTTGAACTCGTAAAGCGGAAATAGTTTTTGAGCTCATGCTCACATGTTCAGCTTAGTAATTTGGCGCTAGCGTTAAGCACCAACAACAATAGAGCCATTTATCATATCTTATTTTTGATTTGTATCATTAGAACCCAAATTTCTGCGCTATGTGCATCATAAGCTAAGGGAATAATTGTTAAAAGAGAAAATTGGTGTCGCATGATCTGTGCAATATTAGTTCCATTTTAAATGCTAGGCAGTTTTATCAAAGAACCATACAATTTATGGTCTCGTTTCAGATCATTTGCTTTAGGGACATCATTTGCTTTAGGGACATGAGTTTCAGTTGCCGACACCGTGACTGACGTTCAGAAAATGCTTAGACCTACACAAGTTTCAACAAATCATTCATTATTTTCATTATTCGACTGATATTTACCCAACGCTGTTAAAAAAAAACCTGACCCCTCAGTAAAATACTCAAGAGAATTCTTTCTCTTGACGTCAATGAAGTATTCGTTCCTACAGTGATTCAAGCTATATAATAGAACATAATGGTAGGTGCTTGCTCAAAAAAACAAAGCATAATAAAGAAAACTTAGGTGTCATCCAACAAATCATTCATTATTTTCATTATTCGACTGATATTTACCCGATGCTGTTAAAAAAAAAAAAAAACATGACCCCTCAGTAAAATACTCAAGAGAATTCTTTCTCTTGACGTCAATGAGGTTTTCGTTCCTATAGTGATTCAAGCTATCTGATAGAACATAATGGTAGGTGCTTGTTCAAAAAAACAAAGCATAGTAAAGAAAACTTAGGTGTCATCCTATCAGAGATAAACGCGTGAAATACTGACTGACCACTGGTGCATCGACCCAGAGACTCAAGGTACCGAGCAATTATAAGATCAACCAGACATCAACACTCTTGTACAATAGATATCAGCTTCCGGCACTCGAGCCGCTCGACGTGAACAAGGAAAGGAATTATAGATTGCATATACAAGAGCAAGTCGATGGAATTCATCAGCGTAAACATTATTCTGGCAATCATTCTGTCATTGCTAACAGCGGTTGTTGTCTTACTTATTGTAATTTTGCGCAATTCTCGCGGTGCAACGAAGACCGTTGCACCGATACAATGGAAAGAGAAAGAACCAGAAGAAAACGACGAGCGGTTTGCAACAGGTTAGAGCACTTCATTTGCAGTGAGTTAGAAGCAGCATGTATGAATTATTTCTATAGAAGGCGCTAGCAGTAAACAAACCTGCACCTCTTTTTTCCACTGCCCAACGAAAGTTCAGTATAACTGTACTTTACAGATCTTTGTTTTCGGCTTAGACATCAAGTTATTGCCCAGAGCCGTTTCGTTGCGAGCGCGCATCAGTGAAACTTTGCTGCAGGCGTGTCATCGCCATTAGCAAGAAGCTCAAGCAATGCGTGTTCTTCTATGCAAATTTGACAACGGACAAGTGATTGCATGAACATGATAAGAGCAAAATATTTGTTGAGGTAGTCCGTAAGTCACTATGAAGGACTTCCAGGTCTTCAACCAAAGTCAGAGAATTCTGAGTATTTTAAGACAAAGACATAAGTGGGATGATCTTCATCAACCTTTAAGATAATTATCATACCGAAGTTATTGGCTGAAATACATCGCGCAAAATGAGTATCTCAATTTATTATCAAGGCTCTATCTTGTAACACAATTGAATACATTTAATTTAAATAATCAACGGTTTTAAGACAGTACTTCACATGATCACACGGTCTTTTAATTGTTGCGGATGACTAAGGCGACAAATGACACCAGCACATCACAGGAAACATTTTTAGGTTTAGGAATCTGTGTTTTTCAATTTTCGTGATATATCCGAAGTACCTCATAAATTTGAAGTACGTCGAGGAACTATTAAGTGAACCCCTTGAAAACCTTGTAAGAGTCGCATTCGGGTCAAGTTCTTTTGCGATGACGTGTTTCATCAATGAGTCACTGTTTGAAAAAAATATGTTGATACTTTTGAGAAAAAAAAAACAATTATTTTTTTTTACGGGATTGAAGATTGCCAATCTACAAAGAAATCCCAAGTTATTAGACGTCCATAGTAAACAAGATAAATATGAAGAGGGCAACTCTTTCGTGACAGTTTACATAAGGATATTGATATGATAGCAATTTCAAAACACGCTTCACATACCTTGAAGTGGCAAAATATAATTTTATGTAATTATATTTGCTTTTGAATTGGTTTGGTAATTGTTTGAACATCTCTTTCTCAATTAGAAGGCTCACGAACAATCAGCATATTTACTTACAAGTTTGATGAAAAGCACTGCACGTAATACAACAAAAATACCACTTCAATGAAAAACTTATTATTAACTACGCTTCGGCATTAATAACTCTTTATAGTCGACTGAAAAAAATGACAAATGATGGTAACCTTTTTTCTTTTATTTTTTTTTGTCAACAGTATTTACACTAGTGATTAGTGCTATATCTCATTTGAAAGAGGACAAAATTAGCTTTTCAGAAAAAATATACTTAGCCTCCAAAAATCCATGGATTTGAAATCATGCTAAGAAAATGGCATACAATTTGCATAAATTATTGTACAACTTTTGACTTTGAAACAGCCTGAGCCTGAATGGATTGGAGTTAAAAGGAAATATT